CCGCGTTTGAGGAATCTGGTTGCGAGCTAGGGCCGGGAACCCCTGCATCAGCACCGGTTGATGGTTGAGATTGGGAGCTACCCTTATCTTCACCAACATACCGCTTCCATCCTCTGCTGTTCTGAATGTCACGGACTATATCCGTAGGGGTACGCTTTTCCCCATAGACGTTTCCTGGACGTGTAGGCACATTCCGCTGGCGTGAAGACCTTCGAGGCTCAGGAGCTGGTGAAGCTTCCCGACTTGGTCGTGGAATTCTACTTCTACGAGTCCTCTGAGGTTCATCCCGACGCTCTGGCGGTGGGTCCTGACGATTATGACCGTCGTCACCATCATCATTTTCCTGTACGGGAGGTGGTGGAGCCGGATCAGATGGCATGGGAAATGGAAAAGGATTATCTCCATATAGCCAATCTTCTCCGTCTACCTGTGGTGGATCTTGTGGATTCACTGGGTCATCACGTTCTGGAAATTCCTCTCCAACAGGAACGTGGGGTGGTCGATTGCTGTCAGGACAGCGGGGGAACAACTCCTCGTCGAACAATGCCTTGGTGGCAACGAACGTGGAATTGTTTGTGCGCATGAACAAAAATCCTTTCACACCATCAGGAATGCCCAAGTAGGTCATCAGCTCCGATTTGGGCGATAACTTGTTGGCGCGCTTCTCATCAGGGATAAAGACATATGCAGCGCAACCAAAGACTCGGAGCTCGGAAACATCCGGTTTTTCCTTGTGAAGAGCTTCAAATGGAGTTTTCCATTTTAGACGCCTGATAGGTGTCATATTGTAGATCCGTGTCGCATGTTTGATAGCGAATTCCCAATAAGAATTAGGAAGACAGGCAGTGAAGCGCATGGCTTCTGCCTTATCCATGATCGTACGATTGAAGCGCTCGGCATGCCCATTCTGCTGGTGAGCATATGGAGCACCCTTCTCCACTAGAATTCCTTGTTCCGCGAGAAATTCTTCCATTCCCATCCCCATGAATTCTCCCCCATTGTCAATATGCCACTTTTTGATGGTGACATTGAACTGGTTCTTGACCATTGCAATGAAATTGCGCATAGCCTGCTTGGCATCGGATTTCTGCGCAAGGCATACTGTCCAGCCATAGGAGAGTGCTTCGTCGAAGAAGCTCATGAAGTAGCGGTACTTGTGATAAGACACCGTGGGAAATTGTTTGAGATCCGAGTGGATCAAATCAAACGGATTCTCCGCTCGTTTTTCGGAAGGCGGGAAGGCACGTTGGTGCATTTTCCCTTGCGCGCATCCTTTACACGGTCGGGTTTCCTCGGGAAATACTAGGTCTTCTGGAAAGCCCTTGGTATTCTTCTTTGCCTGACGTAAAACGTCTTTCGACGGATGTGCAAATCGCCGGTGCATGATCTCATAATCCACCTTGTAAACAGTGGACATGGATCGCACTGTCTCAGCCGTGCTAGGCTTTGACATCAGGAAGTACAAGGCAATGTCCTTCCCTAGAGTTCTAAACTCCATGATCGAGAGTGGGGACTTCCCTCGATGTAAGCTGATCCGCGATTCGTCTCCACGAACGCGAGATCCTCCTTTGAGTAAGGAGCCCAAAGACATGAGACGACCATGTAATCCTGGCACTAGGTACACTGGATATATCTGAGAAGTCACCATTGTCTTTTCTCCATGCCTTGTGACGTAATGATCGATGAAGGCTGTTCCTCGACCAATAAGGGCAACACGTGTGTTCTTATCAGCGGTCTGAGCAACAATAGGATCTGAGAGCTTTTCATATCCGACCAGATCACTAATCTCCGATGTCACATGGAGAGATGCACCTGAATCAAGAAGCCATAGAGGCCCTAATTCATGATGATGATGTTTCCCCTTACACTTAGAGCAGGCAGCAAAATCGGAGTGCACACAGAATAGATTGGTACAAAAATCATGCGAACGAATCATCAACGAATTAAGTACAGAACCCGGGGCGGCGGTGATTACGCGCTCTGGCTGTGAGCAACAATCAGAATTGTGCATATGCCCAAGAAGGCAGGGTACTTGCCTTTCGGCGGAAGGAGCGTCCATCTCCTCCAGAAGGGTGTTGAAGTCGACGACTTCATCCCAATTGACCGGTTCAGCCTGGGCGAACTTGCTATCTCCAAACAGAAGATTAAGATCGTTCTGTTGGCCGGTGGCCATCTCGACGTCGGGGATCTCCTCGATACGACTGCGTTTGGCAGGAGGACCATCATCCAGCGTGTGATTCGAGCCGGAAGCAACCGGAGATGGAGAACGCATGATTGCGTCCTCGCGGAGCATTCCTTTCTCATTGACGATCTTGTCGAGAGTCCGGAAGCGTTCTGCGGTCACCGTCACATCCATCTTCTTGGCCAGCTCGAAGACCTTACGAGTAGGCTTCTGGAACTCGGTGTCAATAATCCCATTGTTGTTAACGGGAGACTTCTCTTGAACCGCGCGGATTTTGGGTCCATCGCGAGAGATGTGCGTGACATGCGAGATCGTCGGCGCAGGGATAGACGGAGTGAGCGAGGCGATCTAACCGATAGTGAGGGAGCCAGTGATCTCGGAGACTCCATGGACATGACTGTGATCAGCCTTGCCCTTGCCCTTGTTGTCCTTGTTCTTCCCACTGCGCTTGCCTCGCCGGTTCTTCTTCTTTCCATCAGCCTTATCACCCTTATCGGGTGCAGAGCCAGAGCCCTGTTGCTGATTGGTGAATGAAGGGTCATCGCGCTTGCGCTTGGTATTGAACTTGGCCACATGATTCTGGCTTTGAGACTGCTTCTGAGCGAAATGCGTCAAGAGAGCGTCACGAACCGCCGAGACTTTGATCTCGTCCTTTTCATAGGTCTGGAGAACAGTCTCTGTGACGGAGGGAATCCGGGCTATGTTGAGAATGATCATCGCTCTGAGGAACTCAGGGATGCTCAAAGACTCATTCTCCAGGCGAGCGAACGCCGTAGTGATCACCAGCAGCTGTGGATCCGGGTGCAACCCCACGTTGTACTTGGCGTTCAACGCGGTTTGGAAGTACGCATATAGGTCGGCGCACTGAGCACCACCGTATTGGGTCTTCAGATGCGCCCAGATCTTGGCAGCTGACACTATATCCGCAGGAGGAATGTTAGCAATGACTCCCTCAGTCAGGCGCAACTTAATGCTGCCTTTGGCTCTGAGATCATCATGCTTCCATTGTTTGATCTCCGATGCGTTGGTCACAGAGCCATCGGTAGCTTTGACTTCGGTCGGCGCTGTTTCGGTCAGCACATATGAGATCCCCTGATGTTCCAGGTAGGACTCCATAGTTCCGGACCATACGAGCCAGTGCTTTCCATCAAAGATGGAGACAGCATTGAAGATGTTGTTGGAGTTGGACGACATATTGATCTGTGTGAGTTAATCAGCATCAATCTAATCTGATAGATAAAATCAAAGATCAAGATGATCAGATTCTCATAGATCATAATCTCCTTGAGAGATCGATGCATCTGGATCAAACGATGTAATCGCGATCCGGCATGGTTTCACCAGCGCTGTGCAGCAGCTGAAGTGAATACAGATAGGCTAAAGACGCTGCTCATCGTTGCAGCCAGTGACGGCGCATACAATGAATGTCGCGGCCATTGAGGCGCAGACATAGCTCTCGGGGCCCATAACCTGTTGAGCACTGGGGAGAGCGTCTAGCAACCCACCTGTGTGAGTTGAGAGCTTAGTGTGGGCACTATGCGGGAGTAGTCAAGAGACTTGTATTAAAGGGTAATAGAGCCCTCCTTATATATGATACAGGGGGCCGTTTGTGTCTATTTGGGACGAGTCGATATGACTCTAGATGACACGTGATGGAGTCATAGATATGTATCACGACATCCATCTTGACAGATGATATTTGATCAACATTCTCCCACATCGGTCCCTTCGACCACACCTCAAAGCGACGTCGACTGTAGTCGACCGGGGCCCAGCAGACTGGGCATAATTGGCTGTGTTTAGATTCGTTTAGTAATTGGGTCTACCACTCGGTGGTAGGCTCCTGGGTTGATTCTCGTGCCCGGGTTGCCTGGGCGCGAAGTCACGCAGTAATAGATAGAATTCCCCTAATCCTATTCTTCTCCCCGTAATCTCGGATTCCGCTACGATCGTCTAGTGGGAAAACTACCTGACGCGTTACAGAACGCCGGATGCTGCACGCGCTGCTGAGTGCGCCGGGCGCACATGTGCTGGTCATGCGCGAGGAGATCGCACGCATGCTGCGGCGCCTGGAGGACGCCGCGGGTGGGCGTCCGGACCTCTTTGATCTCGTCGAGCGGTCAGTGCAGATATCGCCTTGTGTGTGTGTGCTCCATCGCGATGCCCGCTGAGTGAAGCAAACAGCCTCACCGCATCGATCATGCTCCGGATCGCGTACGGCTACCGCGCGGTCGACCCGCCCGCCACCGACCCGTACATCCGCGCGTTCAAGCGCAGCGGGCACAACTTCGGCATGCTCAGCCGCCCCGGTGCGTTCCTCGTCGACCTGGTCCCCGCACTACGCCACCTGCCGGGCTGGATGCCGGGCGGCGGGGCACGCGCGTTTGCCCAGCCGTTCCGGGATGAGCTGGAGCGGATGCTCGACATGGGGTTCGATATGGTCAAGGAGCGGATGGTGCGTCGGTCGCGTCGCATGTCGCACGTGGGAGTCACGACCATGACAGCGCTTTTGGTAGGCGGGGGGAGGGGAGATCGAGCCGTGTTTCCTCGCGTCCCAGCTCGAGGAGAGACCGACGTTTTGGGCATGCCAAACGGGCATTCCCCCGCGCAAACGGGCATTTGATGGGCATTTGACAGGTTTGGCTTGAAATTGATGCAATCAGGCATGCATGCCCGTTCGCGGGCATGCCAAGCCAACATTTTGGCATGCCTCAGGCCATAAATAATTTGTATTTACTTGTTGTAGGCTTCCCTATGGGCTGTATTTAAGCATGTCAGGCCTACCAATGCACTTAGCAATGATGTCTCGAGAGATCTGCTGCGCGCTACATTACTGATGCTGCTTCGACGCTGGCTTTCAGCAAATCGGACCGCGTGGGAGTGTTGTAGCTTGATTCAGACACAAAATTATGCGGGCTTTTCACGTCGTGATTGTTCTACGGGGCTCTGCGGAGACGGGATGGCCCTCCCCGCTGAGCTTTCTTCTATGCAGTCGATGATAACTGACTCTCAGGAGAAAGGCAGCGTCTCAAAGTCAAGGAAAGGTCTCAGAGTCATGGCTTAGGACTACGCCTTCACCCCTACACCTCCATTTTTCAATGCATACGGGGCTACATTGTGTACTGGTTAGCCTCAAAGTCCAAATTGATCCCATCCGACGAACGGGCATGCGTCCGCATCTTGATTGCTTAAATTCCGAGCTTATATCTTGCCGCGCCGCCGTGATCTAAGTTTCTAGAACACCTTATCTAGAGATTATGACTGCCTTATTAGCCAACAAGCTCATGAAGTGCGCAGAATCGAGTGCATGCCCGCTCGCTTGATGGCATGCCTGATTGCTTGATGCAATCAACATTTTCTGTCTGCAGTGCGGATATGATCCAGTCGAGATGGGGTGATGTCGATTATGTGCAGGCTGTCCTGTTTGGCATTCGGAAGAGCTGAGCAGATCTCTCGCCTATGGAGCTGAGATAAAAGTGTTCAGGCGGTCGCATTCCCTCTACAGTGCTGGCGTGTTCTATTATTGTACGTCAGGTTCTCCTAAATTGGACGCCGGGTATCCCATCTATACGATGCCTCCAGCTCCGCGCGGCGACGCAATGGACAAGGAGTCAATTGGAGAACAAAAACCGAGGCCAAGACCGAAGCCCATAGCTCGGAATGCGGCAGCACGCGTGCAGGACAACGAGAGCGACTCGGGCACTGGTGCAGAGCAAGCACGGCCAGCAAAAAGGGCGAAGAGAACGCGTGAAGGGAAGGCAGCACAGACAACGGTGGCGCAGAAAAAAGGAAGGCGGGGCATGGTAATAGAAAGAATCAGGTCGTTGTATTATTCAATGACACGTAGAATAGCTCAACTTAGTCTATTGATCTTAAGCTGAGGCCACCCGACGGCGACGACGAAGGTTGATTAAGTAGTGTGGGAAGCCTTGCATCACCACCAGTTCCGATCCGGACTCGACCGATTGCAGAGCGACCAACCCGGCGACAGCGCGATGTCCGCAGCGTCCGTCCGACACCAAACAATGTCCCAAGGTTCAAAAAGTTGGGCACAAGCCATGCCCATGCCCATGCCCGCCATCAAATGCCCGCCAAGCGAAATTCAGACTCCGCTTGGCGGGACATGCCCGTTTGCCATGCCCGTGTAATAAGTCTGAGCTCGAGGACCAGCAGCACGAAGAGCACCTGCTCAAATGGGCCGCTGTGTCCATCCAAGTCGGCGGCAGCGATACGGTCAGTCAGCTGGAATCACAAAAAATGAAAGGATTTAAACAAGATTCCTCAGACCGAAGCCACGATCGAAGGCTTTTTCCTCGCGATGATGCTGCACCCAGACGCCCAGGCTGCCGCACGGGCAGAAATCGATGCCGTGGTCGGCCGGGATCGGCTCCCAGCGCTTGGAGATCGCGCTGATCTGCCGTACGTCAATGCGCTGTGCCTCGAAGTTCTGCGCTGGCACAATGCCTCACCCACCGGTCCGTTCTTCGCCGTGTTGAGACATAGAACGCCCGCTTGGGGGGCTAATTGATTGATTGATTGATTGGAACTGTAGGCGTGCCGCATAGCGCTCCGGCTGATTTCGTGTACGAGCAACGCGATGGTCTGGGACCGGTGCTCATACCCAAGGGCGCGATGGTCATCCCCAAAGTCTGGTCTGTAGCTCCTCCTCTTCTGATTGGTGACATCTGATGTTAACCAACCGCCCACAGGAAAATGATGCACGATGGAGAACGGTACCCCGACCCGATGACTTTCCGACCCAAGCGATTCCTGGGCGCCGAGGCTCAGGCCGATCCGAGACAGGTCGTGTTCGGCTATGGACGGCGGTCCGTTCCATCCATCCGCTCGCTTATGAAATGGCTCACGCATACCAACCCTAGTGGTAGGAATAAGCCTTCGCGCATGGATCTACCCACAATTCCATATGCCTTCCGGGCCAGTTCTACCCACGGGCTGTGGGTAGAACCAGGACATTTGGGTTTGGTTTCAGTGGGAATTGAACTGATGACCTTCTAAAAAAGAAATCCCTAACCAATGCATTATCACACTGGGCCAAACTGGCTTCATGTTAAAAGCATTGTCCCTTGACAAGATGTGACGATAGGCCTAACTGTCTTAAACAAACCGCGCCCCTCTGGGCGCGGAGGTTAGCGGTTCGGGCTCGGGTTCGGGTTGGGGCTAAAGGTTAGTCCCCAAAGATGTCATTTTCTCTCAGTAATGGTTGGGAGAAGGTAGCAAAAAAAAAATAAGACCTGATATAGGCTCAGTTAGGGTTGGTTAGGGTTGGTTAGACTCAGAAATATGTTTATTGGATTGTTAGGGTTTGAAATAACCAATACTAGGATAAAGCTTTCCCTCCACTTAGGGTAAGCCGCTTGCGGGTTACCCTAAGTGGAGGGAAAAAGTGGGGACCCTATATCGGCTGTTTAGCTCAGTCTGTTCATGCACTGAATTTGAATCATTTTTACAAGGTCAGTAGTTCAATCCTCACTGAAACCGATATGAAATTTTCTGGTTCTACCCAGTGGACGGGTAGAACCGGCCCCGAAGGCATCTGAAATTCTGGGTAGATCCACGACAAAAAGCCTTTAGATTACGGTATAGGCTCCGCATACCGTCAGCATATGCCCAGGTTCGTCGCCGTCGGAGTTTGGTTATGCGTAGTGCTCAGGTCGCACCAGGCCAGCAGCTGGCAGACTCCATGCTCTTCCTGACGTGCGCTGCCGTTCTATCGACCCTCACAATCTCCCCAGTCCTGGATGACGACGGCAGGCCTGTCATGCTGACGCTCGGTGGGACAACTCAGGTTGTGAGGTGGGTTTCCCGTCGACATCCTGCAATCACATCTCACGTTGAGCTGCTCTCAGCCGTCCTTTCCCGTTTGATTGTGTCGTTCGGGCAAGGGATGAGCGGGCTCGAGCTTTGATACATTGTGATTGATCACCTATTTGCAATACGAACACATTCTGTTCGACTTGTCCATGATCCATCCTCTAGCCACTTACCCCAATCTCATACTGAACCAGAGATCGCACATCCGCAGACCGCGGGATGAACCGGAACTTCTGGAGTACCGGATACCTTGCAGCAAGCATCAGCCTCCCGCGCTCCAAAAAACAAAAGACGCCAACGCACGAGACAAGGCCGGAGGTGTATTCCTCCGACGGCTGGATCTCCCTCCCCTGCTCGTCGACCGGTTTGCGGATATCGAACGTCGCGAGGATTGAGATCATGCAGATCCACACGGACCACTGCGCCATGTCCTTCCCCGGGCACACCCGCCGGCCGAACCCGAACGCCGGGGTGGGCTCGGGGATCGCGGGGTTCAGCGAGCCGTCGGGATTCAGCCAACGCTCGGGGATGAACTGCTCGGTGTGGGCGCCGTAGACGGCTTCTTCACGCAGGATGGCCCTGGGTTCCGTCAGATGCATGCACGAGTGCTCTGGGAGTCGAGCCCACCAACTGTTTCCGATGACAGAAGCGCCGGCGGGGATGTGGTACCCGTTGTAGGTGTCTGCGGCCGTCGTGGCGTGCACGATAGCTTGCGAAAGATAATGAAAAACGGACAACCGCGGGGCGATCGACTCGACGCACCGAGTGGCGTGACGGGATGCCACCGCAGAGCCTCCCGGAGCAGCGCATCGACATACGTCACCTGATCGTCGAAGGTGGGCAGCCTGTGTCGCCCCACCACGCGATCCACCGCCGCCTGGGCCTTGGTCTGTACCTCGGGATACAGCGCCATTGCGAGGATAAATGAGGCTAGTGTCGACACAGTCTGTTGAGTGGTGTATTTTATTTAGTGCCTGCGAAAAAAGCCCGGCTTTAACTGACCGTGTCTGCCCCGGCTGAGTCCACGCAAACAGATTGGAAGTTCAGAAAGCGGAGTTGACTGTGTCACGCACCGGCTGCGCATAAAGTCAGTACCCTGCCTGGATATAATCCCTGGAAGGAACCACTGACCATACCCTGCGGAGAGGACGTCCCTGAGCACGCCCTCTTCCCTCTGCCGTTGGTCTTCAGGAAGCTCCTGGATCTCGTCCAGAACCCGAGACGCAATGCACGGTTGCAGATCCCCGGCCGCCTGAAGTAAGTCACCCATGAGAAACCAACGACCCCCTGGAAACGAGAGCAGCCCACACGCACCCAGCGCTTCTTCGCAGCCTCGAACGGGACTCGCGGCATGCTCGTCACGCAGCGGCTCCATTCGCGTGCATCCCGCAGGAACCGCGCGCCGGGTAGCCACCCGGGGATATGCTGGAGACTTTCGGCCGAGTCAGCGTGGACGTGGACGTGGACGTGGACGACGAGGAGGGGCACGCTGCTGTGCGGTGGCTCACATCGGTAAAAAGTCGACGAGGTACGAGCCCCTGTTCCCGGTCAAGGCCATGACGTGCAGCGCCTCGGTGGAGATGTCGACGTGCGGGTCGTCCTGCGGCTTGACGTCGATGCCGTATGCGGTGGTCAGGATCACCATCGCGGCCATGCTTCACACAGACACATATATACGTCAGCAGCGAGCGCTGGAATTCCGGATCTGATGCCCACGTACTGCCTCAGATGCCGCTCGTACGCGTCCGGGGACTCGAGGAGGCCTTGCAGGAGCACGTGCGCGGCGTGGAGCTCGATGGGGCGGTGCACCGCGATCTGCGAGGGCAGGAATTCCTGCGTGAACATCTTCCGGTACGCTGGAACATCACTCTCAGCCTGGGGAATACAGCGCGCTTTTCGGGGCCCCACCCTTCCAGGTGTGGTTGTACGGCATGAATGCCAGGTGCCAGGTAAATCCCACACTATGTCCCTTCTGCATGAGGAACTACCAGCACGTTGCGTAACAAGGACGGGCACGCACAGGTCATTGAGCATCCTGAACGCAGGCCGATCCGAGTAGATCGCAGACCGCGTCTCGAGCAGATCCTGCGCCGATCTCATCGAGTTGAGCACGATCACCGTCTCGTTCAGTAGACGGAGCGAGATGATGTCCGAGTCTGGCCGCGCAATCCGTCAGTCGAGTGCAAACCACACGAAAAACGCAAATGCATCGCGCACTGTATCTCTGCGACAGCGCGAGGTACCACACCCACTCGTCCTTCTCCGGGATCTCGAACCAGTTGCCGATAATCGGGAGCCCGGGCGGCCCAGGAGGAAGTGGGGGTGCGTTTCTACGCCGCAGGACGTGGTGCACAACGAACGCGACGAGCAGCGCGATGAAGGAGTAGTAGTAAAGCATAGTGGCTCCACCGTACGCAACCTCACGACCCTGTATATACGTACCGGGAAGTCACGGAATGTCGCTGTCTATGCGGAGCAGAGTAAGTGCTGTTCAGAAGCAATGATAAGCTATGCTTGGCTGCGAAAAGCTAGTCAATGCTGGCGAGAAGAAAACTCGTACCATCGGGTACTCGTATTTGGAAGTCCGATGATGACATCCAGCAGAGAAGCATAGTAAACTCGGCTCTGAGATAAGATAAACTCAAAGGATCCATAGGGTGGACGTCTCGAGGACAAGGGGTATAAGTCGGTCGTGATGACATGGGCATCAGGACGCCATCAGTCACGTCACTCAACCCACTTTTTCCTGCATCCCCAACTCCAGCCATGCCGCTGCGCCAGGACGATCTGGAGGAACTCGCTCCGCCGGGCTACGAAAGCGACACTTCCGACACCGCACTGCCGACCTGTGAGGATCTACGGCTGGACCGCCCCGTCGCAAGAACACCGCGATCGGCCCATGCGAGGTAAGCACGCATGGCAGCCGCGCAAACACCCCGAGAGCGCTTCGTTCCTCTGAACCTTCCACCACAAGGAGAAACGGCCGCCCGGTGAAGGCGCTGAATAGGCCTGCGCGCGCGATATGCCGTATCCTCGCGGCACACGGCTGGAGCAACCCCGCGCTCGGCGCGGTTTTCGGCGTGTCGGGGGAGACCGCGCGCCGCGCGGTGCGCAACGTGCTGTATTCGCCCCGGGACCGCGTGGAGGAGGACTACGACCGCGTCGATCCGGAGTTTCGGGTCCTGTACCCGCCTGTGGGGGGGAGCAACAACGGGTCCGACACCAAGGCCAGCAGCGCATGTGCCTGACGCAGGGGGGTAGACTCACGGCTGTACTCCAGATTGGGCCAAATTTGCGTGCGTACAGACGAACCGACCCAGCCGTCGAGGGGGACGATGACGCCGAGGATGACGAGGAAATTCAATGTCTCGGCATCGTCAGTGGCTCACACATGCTGCTGGGACCTTCGCTCTGACGACTGGTTTCTGGTCCATACAGAAGCGGAGGGGCCAAAAACCGCAACCGCTCCAGGCCATAACCGGAAACCAAGACTCTGACACCCAGCACCAGCGCCCACCGCCCAGCCGCCTCGCCCTATTCCTCCAGTCCGTTCCCGACGTCAACCTCTCGCAGCATCTTCCATTTCTCGAGTCCCAAGGCCTCAACTCCGCGAACCTGCACACCGTGGCACTCTGGCCGGCCGACGCAATCCAGCACATGATCGAAGTACTGCTCCTCGGCACCCCGCCTGCGCGCGATGGGCGGCGCGTGAACGGGCTGACCGCAACCGAGGCTGTGTGGCTTGAGGTGGAGCTCCGGAGGCTGAGGAGGAGCGTGGGTGGGCTTGCGCAGGTGCGATCTCCTCGCTCGCATGTTGCGTTGATCTGGTCTCAATCCGTGGCGGTGCGCGCCACACTTCGCAGCCGATGTCCCCGCCGTCGGGAGCGACGCTGCGCCAGTTTCTGCGCAACGTCCTTGGCCTCGATCTCTCATGCCACCACGATTTGATTGTTTCACAAGGCCTGGACGGGCACAGCATCCGCACGTTGTGCTTGGCGGAAGTTGTGCCGTTGTCGAAACTCGGGGACATGACCCCGCTAGAGGTTTTGGCTGTGGAGATAGCGAGGATTTGGTGTGGAAACGACAACGGGGCGAAGAGCTGATGCGGCCCTCCGATCGATGATGCATACCAAGTTTGTCTGGCACAACGACTCCGAATCACAATTCACTTATTTTACACCTTTCAAAATACATTCGGAGGGGGAGCATTTCAGGAGTCGGCTTGTGATTCCGAGGATCAGTGCGCGCTTGTCGCCGACTCACCTCTTCAACGGCAGCCGATCTGGAAGCCAATCGAGTTCGTTCCCGGCGCTGAGATGCATGCATTGGCCGTGTTGCAAGTCACCGGCACAGCCCACTCGTTGTGGTTACAGTTCGCAGGGGCCTACCCCAGTCAGAGTCCGTCTTCTTTCGCCGCACGGACGGGCGACTCACCCAAGTGTGGATGTTGGCGTCGCTGAGGCTGTTGAAACGGATGCTGTTGACGCCGCTGAGCGATCCGCCGCTGAGGCACCCGTTCGACGTGAACGTCCCGCTCGAGGAGCCCAACAGCGACTGGCAGTTGCCGTCCGAGAAGTACGCGATCGAGTAGCTGCTGGCGTGCGCCTGTCCCGCGGCGAGAATCAAAGTGGCTGCCGTGAAGGTCGAGAAAGAAGACTTCATCATGCTTGCTTGGACGACGTAGTTAAGGGTTGCAGTAAAAACTTGGGCCGCTTTTATGGATTGGTTGGGTCGCAGCACGGCGACAAGACCCCGGTAGGAGTTGCTCGAATGAGTCAGCTGACACTTCTGACCCTCAATCTCGAATCTCGAGAGGTCTTTTCTGTTTCGACAAGGGTCTCGAGATTCTTGCCCGCGTCGTTAGCAGCTAAGTGCGGTCTTTAGTGCGACTTTCCCAGAGGCTCGGGAGAGCATTCGAGTATCTGACTCACGCCGCCCTCCAAACAAGGCAAGTCGCCTGGTGGTGTCAAGTCGCCGCCCCTCGAATTGGAACATCACAGCGGGGCTTGGTCGACGATGATGACTGGGTTGCGGGACGGTGTCACTTTCGTAGGGCGTAAGTTGACCCCAGAGACAGGATGCACATGCCGAGCAACGTCAGCTGGGAGTCTCACATCTCAACTTTCGATACAAGCCCACACGTCACGCAACACATGCACAGACTTTACAACATACCATAGTCAACATAGAGCGTCTAACATACAGGCCCCTTCCTATTCGTAGTATTCAAGCACCAGATACGTGCCATGTCGATCGCCAATATCTCCAGCGGCGACATCTGGTGCAGATACCTCGGCGCCAACGTCACATCCAGCCGCACATGCCACATCCTCCACCCGCTGATACCCTGCGACGCCAGCATCCCATGATAATGCGAAAGATCGAGCCCTAGGACGTTGCGGAGGAAGTCCTGCAGTGTGCTCCCGGCGGGAGGGCAGATCGGCTGCTCGAGGGGGGTGCGGGTGGGGCTTAGTCAGTTGTCTTTTCGGATCCGGGGCCAACGTAGGCTAGGGTGGACGTGCACCTGTTCCAACACGACCTCCTTCCTCAACGCGCGGATCTCGACCTCCAGCCAGACCGCCTCATGCGCCGAGAGCCCGTGCATCGGCCGCCCGTCCCTCCCCACCGGCGTGCCCAGCAACAGCCGCTCGATCGCATGCCGGATCGCGTCGTGCGGCCAGTGGGCGATGATGCGCAGGTTTGCGGAGGTGATGCCCTGGGCGTGGAACAGCGGGAGGTGCGGCTCCAGATTCGCGTCGCGGATCGAGGCCAGGAAGAGGCGCAGCGACTGCCAGCGCTCGGGCGCGGGCGGCGCGTAGGGCTGGATGCGGAAACGAGTAGTTTGGTATTAGATGGACCTGAGTCTGACGGAGAAACCGGGAGCATCACCATCAGACAGTCTGAATCGGCTTTGCGCAAGGGCCTGCGTGTCGTTGGTTTGCCGGGAGAGACTATCATCGGAGGGGGTACAATGGAGATGTGGGCTCGGGCGTCGCGCAATTTAAGCGGTTGGTATGTCGAAGGTGGCGTAGATATAAGGTCGGCCAGCACCAAGCGTAGGCGAGATGGAGAAAGCAAAGTCCAGCCCAAGCGCGGATCTAGAATCACGCTCCCAAGCCACAACGCGCGCGCGGATGGCCATTCGAGATAAGAGATTCATCCATTCACCAAGAATGATGCGAGAGATAGCAGCGTCTCTCCACAGCGTCTCATTGTTTCGCTGGAGACACGACAGAGGAGGACAATGTCTCGTCCAAAAAGGAAACTTCTGAAGCTGCGATCGGCTGTCACACAGGCTGACACAGCCCCCCCATCGCCCATTTGTGGCGATCGAAATCAGCTGATCCCTACCACGTGATCGAAGTGGGCCACTTCCACACCGCTCATCTTACCTCATCCGAGGAGCATGTTTTTGCCTCTCTTGTCGGGACCGCCAATACGTCCGAAAACCTGGGGAAGCTCTAACAAGTCTCCCTACCAACCGGCTATGAATCGCATCATCGCATGGCCCGTGACCGCGAGCCGCCTATCATTCTCTTTCCGAGTCCCTTCTCTCTTCTCTTCTTTAGACATCCGTTAACGCGCTCCCTGAATCATTTTTCCTGTCCTCCTTTCCCTTCTTCCTTTCCCATGCGGACAAGTGCGACTTGGAACAGGAACAGTTATGGACGACGCTGAGCTCATGCTGGAACTGTGCGTGATCTGGCACCCGCTCGTGTGATCCAGCTGGGGCGTTGAAAAAGGGCTATCTAGGAACAGCAATTACTCACTCAGCGCCATCTCCTTCGGTTCGTCGACCCTTCATCTCTGCTCCGTATTCCCGTGCTCACAGCTCGCGCCAGCGATCCTCTTCTACGACTACTTCCTCACGCTCCAGAGCGAGATCGAGCGATACTGGCCGCGGGCTCGGCACAGATGGAGCTGGAACTGGGCGTCGATCCTCTACTTCGCCAACCGCTACGGAACTCTGCTCGGCAACGTCCCTGTCGTCGTGCATTACCTCTGGAGTGCTGAGCCCACGGCCCACAAGGAAAAAGTGAGCGATCCATCTCATTGCCATTGTGGGTTCTGTCTCCTCACGCACAGGACGCAGATGTAAGCTCGCCTACGTTTTCTGCACCCGCGATTCGATATGCATCCAGATGCCACCTACTGGAGAGCTACCACGAGTACTACATCGTCGGCTCGCAGGTCATCGTGGGAAGTGCGTGAAAACTGGGAAGGAGTGGGTGACACATGATTGAGCTCTGCCCAGCGATGCTTCTCCTGCGGACATACGCGCTCTACGGCCAGAACCGATGCGTGCTGGGGTTCCTCCTATTGGTCGGGGCGGCTGTAGTCGTCTGCGGCGTGGTGCGTCGCTCACACCGCTTCCCTGGCACACCCGGCTGAACGGGCTCTTCTCAGTACGGCACCGTCTTCCTCGGCAGCCCCGGCAGCCACGAAGCAAACATCCCGCTCGAATTCGGCTGCGACTATCCCATCAACCGCAAACAGTGCGTGTCCCTAGTCGCATTCACTCTGCCCACATCGGCTCGGCCGGGCTGACACGGCGTGCAGGGCCAACGGCGCGATGTTCGCCTGGGCCGCCATGGGCGTCTTCGACGTCGTCATCTTCCTCCTGACGGTGTTCCGCGCGATCCGGATGCGGGCCCGCGGGGACCACATGTGCTTGCTGACGCTGCTTCTTCGCGACGGTGTGTGTTTATGAATTTGCGCCCACGCGCGTGTCGCGTTGCATCAGCTGACGGCGCGGCCCTCGCAGGCTCGATATACTTCGGGTGGGTGCTTCCTTCCTGATGGTCTGCAGAAGCCGCGGAGATTTGACCGCGGAGCTTGTAGGGTCATGGTGCTGCTCAATCTGTCGAATCTGCTGACATATGTTGTGAGTCTCCGAGACTGAGCCCGAGCATCATGGTGAGGCTAATTTGCCGTCATTTAGTACGCTCAGGTCTGCCTCCCTCTCGACGCTCGATTTCAAATCACGCTTATTTTCCAGAAGTACACCCGCGGAGTAGCCACGACATTCATGAACATGTGCGTCTCACTCCTCGGCTTTCCCGCTTGTGCCTGATGCCGCGCTCTGACGCACGCAGAATGTCATCGGTCATGATTTCTCGATTGATGCTGAACATCCGCGACCCTGCCTTGTCGTCTCCGATTCTGGGCCACTCCGACACGCCGTGCGATACCACAGAAATCACGAGGGGTGCCATGTTATCCACGGTTCTGTCGGCGGAGGAGAGCGAAGGAACCGGTTCGGCTTGATCGCTACAATAGTCATTCCTGTCATTGCGTCACCTCAATCATTCACAAGCTCCTCAGTTCCGCCCAAACACATTTGCCGGGTCTCTGGTTATTGGGCCAGATCAACCCAGAGGCAGAACAGTGACCAAGCCGAGAAAAGATCGGAGCCTTTGCTGTTGTCCGGTCGACGCGTCGTGCACTGGTGCATGGGGTGAAGTGAAGTTTGCGCAGATCCTTACGTTTACGTAAGTATCCGCTCGGACATTCGGACTACTCGATATTCGGAGCCGCAGACTCGGCTCTCATCACTGTCACGTCATGTAAGGCCCCCAAATGTAATTGTGCGCGCTGAAAGAGTCAACGGGGGGATTACCTCGGCGTGAGATCACTTTCTTATGAGTGCCCGTGGAACAAGCGTCAACGCGGCAGACATCCAACGGCCGTCCAAGCTATTGAGCTGTGGAAGATATCGGCGTGCATTTACTGCAATGGGCTGTGGGCATCGTCCGCTCCTGTTGAGTACGGAAAGAAGTCGGGATATGAGAATACTGTAGATTTGTTGAAAATTATAGATGAAGACTGAACCAGGCTCAAGGGTAAGGCAGATTTCAGCCAGAAAAAAAAGACAGCTATTCAGATCATACTTAACAGACACGTATGGATCCATCATAATTCATAATGCATAATTCATACTTTGTAAAAACACATCTACACCTTCAGATACTGCCACTTGGCCGTACTCTTCGACAACTCGAGCGAAGCCTTGAAATCACCCTCCCTCTGCTCAGGAGTACGCGCAAACCGCGGGTCGGCATCCACATACTGATACTGGTCGCGGAACGTCTTCGCACAGTGCACCGCCTCGAGCACCTCCTCGCTCAGATCCGCCTCGACGCCCCACTCGAGCGGGACCTCGTACAGCTCCGTCGGCTCGAGGACCGTGATGTCCCCCATCGAGAAGTTCGGGAACGACACGGACCGGTGCAGCCGCCGGATGCGCGCCTCGCGGGACTCGGGCGCCAGCGTCGCGAACGTCGGCCGCGGCACGGCGATGTGCTCCACCGGCAGCGGGGGGAGCCGTTTGTTGCGGTTCACCGACGCGAAGGAGGCGGGGATCGCGAGGTGCGAGTTCGCGGCGAGCCCGTCGGCCAGGCGCTCCAGCCGCGCTTGCTCGACCAGCTCCGGCGTGAGGGGACCGAGGGCGGCGGTGCTGTCGGCGGGCTGCGGGTGCGCCGGCGAAGTGCCCCGGCGGTGGAACAGCACGTTCACTCGGCCGCGGAGGCGCGCGGTCAGGCTTTGCTTCGCGGTGCCTTGGCGAACGGACCCGATCCACTGCACCGAGTCGTCCGGTGCGGCGGTGAACTCTGCATCGCGTCGAACAACGCGCAGAGAGCTGGTGGTCCGAGCGGAGGAGGTCGAGCGGATAGTGTTGGTCACGGTCACAGCGCGTGGGCGTTTGGGATGGTGGGCACGCGGGGGATCGGCGATGCGCACGTTGGGCAGTGCCATCGGGACAGCAAACTGTTGGAACTCGGTCGCAGAACCGTCGGGGTTCATCTCGGAAGTCGGGCGCGAGCGCACGTAGACGGCCCGGAGGGACGATGTGGGCGAGTGGGGCGGGTTGACTGTGAGGTAGTCCATTGCGGCAGACAAAGTTGAGCATTCGCAAAAAGTGCCGGTCTTATAACACACGGCGGGCGCAAAGCGTCTCCCCTTTCGGATGTCCATGTCACCATGGGCATGAACCATTGTTCTCAGACTCAGTCGGCCCGGCAAAGCGCGGCCGAGAAGCGACGCTTTCCAGACATTCAGCGATGAGACTAATGCGATGGAGAAGCATGTACAAACCAAGAGAACAATGAAGTAGCGCACACTGCCCTCTATGGACGCTCCTGAATTCATGACACGCCCGATCACCCACAATGGCCATCAGAAGGGTCCGATCTTCTTCCTTGACCATTTATGGACAATGCAGAGAGGTCTCTCGTCTTCTTTTGAGTAAGGCCGATGGCATTCGTTGGTGCGCATCAATGAGGATGAGGGGGAAGATTGCTCGTCTTGAACACGTGATCTGCATAAGTTCTCCCCCATCCAGATAGCAGGCGCCCGGAAGTGTTGGGAAGCTCCCCATAAGCCGTGAACAGTCCAACGACAAAGAAAACGTGGCGAAAATGATGTTCTGTGACTTGCAGCAGAATTCCAGGCAATTTACGATGGTGCGATAGAATCTGTCGAGATCTTAGCGTCAATGAATTCAATCAGCTCGAGAGCGACTGCATTTTTTGCCAAGTTTTTCGAAATTTCAAGTTCGGACAATCTTATAAATTCCTGTTGGCGCCCGATCACAAATAATTTGGATAAACCAGACTCTACCAACAAGTTGCGACAACGCCCGTGAGCACGGACACCAGCACCACCCCCGACACCCACCGCCCCTCAAGCCGTCGTCCAGAGCCAGAGACAGAACCAGTCGCAGCGGGCCTACCAGCCCCCGACGGCTCCAGAGAAACTGATAGGGACAGCGACTGCGACGCCACCGGTCTCTGGTCCTGTGCGCACCGGGCGACAAGATCTGCACCCTCGCTCAGCGGATCTGCGATGCAGCATGAGGCGGGATAAACGTACCGCTGATGACGCCCTGCCCGGCACTCTGCGCCAACGTGCTCGGGGCGGTCCCGACGACGCAGTCTATGCAGAGCGCGAAGCTGTGCACCGCCGGGTCCGTGCACAGGCAGGTCAGATTCGTCCCGCATGTCTGCGTTTGATTAGTGTATGCTTTCGGGACTCGAGGAAAGTGAGGTAACCAATCACCTTTTCAGTTTCGAAGATGGGCGCGCACGTCTCGAGGCACGTGGCGGGCACGCTGCTCGTGTTGACGCTCATCTGTGGCGTGAGAACATCACGCGCGCGCACGTCTGGCGTTGCGAGATCCGAGGATGTGTTGTTGCTGCGGATGCCGATTTTCACAGCATTGGCTGCACGGACGTGAGGAACTGGCCAGAGGAAAGAAAAATTGCAGACAACTGCGCACCAGATTGCCCTCCCACCAACACCAACATCGCCGCTGCAACGGCCAACACTTTTCGCGAGATTCGGGCCGCTTGAGAACAGCCACCGTTTCCACAGCTAGCAGGCATGGTACAAGCAGAGAATCGCTCCTCAAAGAACCACCAGAATGTACGAATGAGACGCGGTGAAACGACGGGGGCAGCCCAGCCAGCCCGGAGCGAAAGACGAAAGACAAAGAAGAGGGGGAAAAACGCGGGGCATCGAGTCAAATAAGAGATGCAGTAGAAGGTTCCCGATGGCATTTCCCGCGGTAGATACGCGGCACTGTTTCCCGCCTTGGAGTGCGTTTCAGCACCATCGACGGGAGCAGGGAGAACGTCAAAAAGTGATGGCGTCGCAGTGAGGCTGTGCTATATGTCATTCACGAATTGAGCATCCGGTGAATTTCAGATGTCTACTTTGTTCATGAGTCTCCAAAAGCCTCTGGAGAAGGAGATCTAGACCCAACAACAACTGACGGTGCCAAGCTCTCCTATCTGATATTCTCAGAACTGTATCATTGGGGCAGCGAAGAGTGTACGGTGCGTACTGACCTTCCTTCTTCCTTCATGAAAGTACTGCGCGTTGATACCAATGTTACATGTTAATATGATCCCAAGATTACCCACTAAACCGATTCTCTGCGCACACCCTCAGTCTGTTCATCTTCCACGGCTCTCCCTTGCTCGTTATCACTGTGCTCCACACTCTGCACCGCTCGCGCCGCAAACGGATTGAAACCGCCCATCTTCGCCATCTTCTCCATCACGCGCCGTTTCCGGGCCGCCTCGTCCTCTTCCTCCTGTTCTTCATCGACTCCCCGCTCTCGTTCCTCCGCTTTCTCCTCGTCTCGAGCCGGTTCCCTCTCCTCCTGTGACTCTTTCCTCGCCCCTGGGACCGGACGCGCCGCGAAGGGATTGAAACCACCCATCTTCGCCATGCGCTCCATGACGCGCCGCTTCCGGGCCGCTTCCTCGTCCTCCTCTGGCTCATCCTCCGCATTCTCCGCAGGCTGATCTGCCTTTGGCACCGATTGCTGGACCTGATCGCTTTCCCCACTCGCTCCCGCGCCCTCGTCGACCGGCACCTGCGCCTGGACGTGTTCGACAGCGGGTGAGGTGACGTCACTGTGCACGTGCAAGTCCTCCGCTGGTGCGATGTGCTCATCCTTCGGCGCGACCACGGTTTCAGCAGCCACCGCAGGCACAGAGACGACCGGGGAGACCTGGAGCGCTGATGCAACGGGCGAGGACGCAACGGGCGAGGGAGGTGCGGGCTCGACCGTGGCTGTTGTCACATGTTCGTCCACCGCTGGTATGGAAGAAGAGACATGGTCGCTTGCCAGAGATACAGGCGAGACCAGAGATGTCTGAGCCATGGGTTCCTCGATTGATGCAGGTGGAGGGACCTCCGGCAGTTTGGGGGCTGGGTGTTTCGCTGATTCAGAAAGCGCTTGCGGAGGAGCTGAGACTTCCTCGACCGCATCCTTGTATTCGTCCTCGTCACGATCTGCCTCCTGAGGCGCAATTCCTGAAGGCTCTTCTACTGAATGCTCGATTTTTTTCCGTTCCATCGCGTCTGGCTGGTTATGCACGGCAGCAGGAATGACTTGCTCGTCCGCTTGGATAGATTCGGCCTCGGGTTGCGGAGTGAGAGCAGGGATCTCCGGGACATCTAGAATCTGCGAGACCGTGGTCTTCACGTCAGGAGATCTCTGGACCTCTTCGTCCCTCAGCTCGTCTGCACCCTCGGCCTCGACTTCGACTTCAGCAGCGGGGACCGTGTCCGAGTCACTGAGAACTGGGACATCCACCACTCCCAGCTCTTCGACGTCGCCAACGGCCGCATCGGCATCTACCTCAGGAGTGTCGGCGATACTGATAGCAGCAGGAGCGAACAACATCGAGGGAACCGGAGATTTGTCCTCCGATTTCTCCGTGACTGGCTCTGCCGAATGAGCTGGGGCATGAGAGACATCCTCAGCAAGCGTTTCCTGCTTTTCAGGGACAGCAGCGACTTCTCCTAGACTTGGTTCCGCGTTCTTTCCATCTGCGCTCTCTTCCTTCACGATCTCGGCCACATCGTCTTTGTCGACCGGATCAGCTTTGTCGGCCTCGTCTACGAGAGGAGGAGGCATAGGCGATGGCGCGCGTTTCTTTCTGGGAGGAGCGGCGCGTTTCGGTGCAGCAGGCAGCGGCATTGCCATGGGGGCTGGTTTCGGCGACGGCGATGGGATCTGGACTGCGACAGGGGCTGGAACTGAGGCTGAGGCAGGAAGCTCTGGAGGAGTTTGCGAAGGAACGCCGTTGTCGGTTGGAGGAGCACGAGTAGATGATAGAGTTGGGGACGAGGGCAGGACGTCTTGTGGCGCGGGTAAGGTTGCTAAAGAAGAGGCTTAGAAGATGTGTAGTATAGCTGTAACATGTCGGGCACGCACGGGGAGTAGATGCACTCTCATGCCGCCTGAGCTCTTGCTCTTTGGTGTCGATTGGATCCGTTTGAGTGGTCGGCTCTGTCGCTGTCTCCACTTGCTTCACTTCGGAATCTGGCACGGACCCTTCGACGGTCTCGACCTCGGGTACTACATTTGGGTGAGACAACACATTGCACTGTGTCCTCGGTCCAATGGACAAACCTTCTTGCTCCTTCACTTCCGGCTTTCTTGATCCCTCTTCCTTCCTCGTCTGAGCATCTTCGATCTCCTCTTTCTTCGTATCCTCCTCAGATCCCTTCTGATCGTCATCCTGAACCTTCTGCACCTGATCAGAGCTCGCCTTCTTAGCCCCCACAGGCCGCGGCGCGCCGAAAACTGGCGGTACCATTCCGACGCGCGACCCGCCGAGGCGCGACATGCGTGCGGCAATCGCGGCTCGACGCTCACGTTCCAGTTCCTCGGGGTCCCGTTCACTTTCATCCACATCAGCATCGCCCGCGCCAAGATCGTCGCTCTTGAGGCCCGCTTTCTCAGTGTCACCACCCTCGGGCGTCACCCTGATTTCCGCAGCAACAGTATCACCACGCTCTCCCTCCTGCTCTGCCTTCGCCCCATCGACGTCACCCTCAGCTTCAGGCTCAGGTGCGGGTTTGGGCGGCGGGACCCACCGCCTACCAGTCCCCACCACAGGCGCAGGCGGCGTCGTCCCACCCGCGTCCCCTCCTCCGCCGCCGAATCCACCTCGACCTTGCAACGCCGCCATACGCTCTTTGAGGCTCCCGCCGGCCGCACGCACGGCCTCGCGCGCGTCCGACGCGGACATGCCGCTGCTAGCGGAGCTCTTCACGACGCCGCCGACGTCCGCAGAGGCTGTGGACGCAGTGGTGTCGATGCTGTTGTCGGGCTCGTTCCGCGGCGGGGACGGCGTGCGCTGACGCGGCTTCCAGCTGACCTTCCCCCTGGATGACGAGGCCGGCGGCGGCGGCGGCGCGGCGGACGATTGGGACTGCGCCTGGGACTGCTTCTCGAATGCGGCGATGCGCTCGCGGAGCGACATAGGTTTGGGCGGGTCGGACATGTGTGAAATGTGACTTTGTGAAGCAGTGTGTGAAGTGATGAACAGAAAGTGGTCGAGGTTGCAGTGGTCGTTGGATACTTAGATGCTCGATGTGAATCGATACGATCTGATGCCATCAAGAGACAATTGCTCGCGGAAGTCTAGGTGGGACGACAGCTCACACTGTCTGGTACGTGTAATCGGACTCATTCCATATCATTATATATGCCTATATAATCTTCCTGTGCCGGAAGATAGAGTGCCTACTGGTCGTTTCTTCTGTCATACAAAGTCAGTAGTGGGTGCGGTATAATTACCGGGTGGTCATTCTCAATCACGCATTAATGGGGTAGTGGTAACCTGGGTCGTTGCCATGTTTTGAGACAAACATATATCGACCCGCCGGGGGTTCGATTCCCCCTTAATGCATAAAGATCATCTTTAATCTCAGCACCTCGTTTTTAACCATTGTTCCCCTACCTCTTCGCTTGCTCGGAGAATTCTACTTACCTTATTTTCGACTCAAATGACCAAATAAACAGGTGTTTTACATTCTGGCCAACGATTAAACGACTTCACCCCGCTCATTGGTCAATTTCACGCCCACCACATCCCCACTTTCCTCGCCTATCTGCGGATGTTTATCCACACTTCGATCTCCACTCCCAAACCGCATCCCATGCACACCACCGAACCCCAGCTCCAGCGAGTCGTCGTGCGTCTGTGTGCTGCCGCTGATATTGCGTGTGGCGCTGAACGTGGGCATCCGCAGCGTCTCGGGCGCGGCGAAGACGGACTGCGGATGGCTCTTCCCTCTGTTATTGAGCACTGCGACGAGGGAGTTGGTGTAGAGTTTTCCGATACAGCTCGTGCTGATGGACTTGGTTAGCCATTTTTCTTCAGTTTGGAGCGAGGGCGGGCCCAAGCCTTACACAGGAACAACCATGGATGGTTTCGACTGGAATGGAAACATGAGCAGCTGGGCTATTCTTTGTCTAAACACGACTTACCGGGATGCCCCAGTAAAAAATGAGAGCCAGGACGGCGAATGTCGCTGTGATCTTGATTAGATGCATGATCTCTATTCGAGTGAATGGACCTCTCACCGGTAATGGCGTTTGTCTCTGCTATCAGCCTGACCACCCGGGAGATCACAGAGTTTGTGCTCAAAACGGAAGACCTGTGTTCGTAAAGGAGCTGCATCCGAGAATCTCGTGCGTTAGACTGGCCGCGCTACGCGCCATACATCGAGTACTCACCGTCCAACTCATGACAATCGCAATGGACAAGTCTGCGACCGCAGCCCCGGTAAACCAAATCTGCTTAATCGTTAAAAATAAAACCTAGGAGCAATCAATACCGCGACTCACCGTCGTCTCAACAAACTCGCTCCCAATCAAGGACCACCTGGCCACCTGCTGCGCCTTGATCCCGACGACCATGCCCGCCGCAAACTGCATCGTCGCCACAAGCAGAATCAGCCCCGGGATGGCGTTCTTCCAGCGCCGGCCGTCGCGCAGGAACCAGATGCGCCAGCAGTAGAACGCCTGGGCGATGAACGCAATCAGCGCGTCGAGAAACGGGACGTCGATCCCGTTGATCCAGATCTCGTCCAGCATCTGGGCATTGCCGTAGCCCGCGACGAACCAGTGGAACGCGTCGGCCGTGATCATGGCTGTCTGCGTCGTGTCGAGCAGGAAGAGGACCAGGACCAGCGATTTGATGATCCGGTTGTCGCGCCGGGTGAAGCTGGCGGTGTAGTGGTCTGGAGAACGAAGATCAGCTACTATACTACGCTGAGAGAGAGTTCTGCTTGTGGCTTACAAGCTTGGACACACATCACCCCGTACAGCCACCAATTCAGGCATGTCGCTAGCAGCTACGAAAGTGACCGAGTGAGCGCCGCCGTCAATCAGCTCCTGGAGTGAGGAACTCACGGACGGCCCTGTGCTATACGTAAATCACGTCAGACAACGCCGGCGTCACGAAACAGCGGAGAACATACGTCCAGACAAGCTCTGCAGCAGTCGGAATGGCGGTGGCGGACATGAGAGTAAACGCGGAGAACAGATGATGGGGGAGACTCGACACGCGGATTAAGACAGAGACACCATCCCTCACATGAGCCGGCGACTCAGAACCAAGAATAACCAGCCAATCCAATCGACAATGAATGTCTCCTCTGCTGCCGTAGATCGGATTCGCGAAGCACTGATATCAACCCGTCCGGAGGAAAATCAAGACGGGCTTGGTCTCTGCGCATGGAGGATCCCACGCTCTTCGCACCCGACTCGCTTGGCTGAGTAATCCGCCTGACTTGGTTTCTCATCCGATGCCTTCGACATAGCGGCAGATGATGGTTGTACCGCTGTAAAGTTACGATCCGCGTTGTTTGATGCCTGACGCCGCGTGAGCGCGAGCGGGGGATTGGCTGGACTTCATTCGACCCACGAAGATCCCATGCATCTGCTGGCGGGTGATAGATCATCGCTGGGAGTAAAATCAATCATGTCTTAATCATGATCGATGCCAGGCGCCTTGGGGATAGGAAGAAGTCCGAGTAAGTAGGCCTGTCGAAAGTAGCTGCCCGCTGAGATTCAATGTACGTCATCGTGGGTTGGGGAAGTGATCCGGATCACACAAGAGGATCAGGTGGTGATCAGGTGGGCTTAGCACTTCATCCAGTGTATTCACTCATCCAAGCGATCCTCCGCGCATACTTGTTTCCTCAGGAACGTGTAGAAAAAGATTGCGATGGTACATGAATGCCACTTATGACAACAAATGGGGTGGTACCGTATACGCGTCCGGTGGCCCTCGGCTGCCCTGCATACTTGACACCGACAGACGCCCCACTAACTTGGCTGCTCGCTAGAAGGGACTTCGACCCCGAGCAAACTCCTACTCGCTTGGTGGCAACCATATAACCACCAGATTTTGCCTTGAAGCAGGCAAGACACTGACGAGCAGTGATGCACCCTGGCCCCGCAATCAATTGATCAGAAGCCGCATCAATATGACGTAGCAAGCTGCTTGAGCTGACAAAGCAGCCTCAATTGATCTGGCACGTGATGAAGAGCTTCGGACCGGAATCCAATTTCGGAGTTCATTCCCTCTTTGTGGCTCTAACTCCTTTCATTTCGGCGAAATTCAGCACGGACTAAAGTAATAAATTAACATAGAGCTCAATGGTCACCATATCAACAGGAGGTTCAATTTACTTATCTCCTTCTGATTTGATTCACACTTAGTATAAAAAACCTGTAGTACAGTACAAGAAAAACAAGAAATCTTCTTCACCCACTCTCTAGAGTCTAAAGCGACTTCCCAGTGCTTTCTATCTCGCTTTCTCGGCGCCCGCTTCTGCATTATTGCCCTAACATCGCCCCCAAAACTCCCATTTTGTGCTACAGTCTTACATATTGGTTCCCCCCGTCGTTCTATCGTCTCGTCGTCCCATCGCTCGCCCCCATCGTTGTCCTACCGTCCTAGACTTGTCCTCCGTCCCCCCCTTTTTGCTCACCACGGCCCCTGCTCGTTTCAGTCGAGCTCATTTCCTTGAGCCTGACCTTGTTTAGGATCAGAATCCCACACACAAATACTGCGCGAGCCAGAGCCGCAGCTCACTCCCCTCGACCACCGACTAGTCCCGTGTCTCTCCCCGTACGGCTGCGCGCTCATACGCTCCGTAGGCGTGTCATTTTGGAACCCCTGGCGGGATTTGTTCCAATTACAACATTGATTCAGGCTCTAACCGCGCCCTCCGCCCTTCTGAACCTCGAAATCTCCGTCTAGAGTTCAGGGCTATCTCCCAGAATCCTCTCAATCTCTCAGACACAGCGCATCACACCGATTCATCCTCAGAGGACTTATTGGTTCCTGTTCCTCACGAACTCCCTCATCACTACAACTCGGATTCACCACATTCTAACCTGCCCACCATCGACTCCCTTACCGATTCCTCGCCCTCGTCGCAGTCCTCATCACCGTCTTTTATTCTGCGTCCCGTGTCACCCTCTCCGTCACCTCCACCGCCTCCACCACCTCCGAACCAGAACATGGCAGCTGTTGTGCCCATGCCCGCCCGTGGTGCCCGAGGAGCACCTGAATTCGACCCATCAAAGCCCCGTGAGCTTCCTCGATTTTTCACGGACCTGGAATACCATTTTGGGCTTGCCAGCATTGCGGATGCTCAAGAACGGAAGCGCCACGCTCTACGGTTCCTCCCTTTTGACGAAGCTGAACTTTGGGAGTCTCTAGACTCGTTTTCGGCGCCCCACAACTACGACGCATGGAAAGCAGAAGTCTTGAAGCTTTATCCTGGCACGGATTCTGACCGCAAATATGCTACCTCAGACCTCCACGCGCTCATTGGCAAATACGCCAGCTCTGGGATTCACTCACGCGCTGAATATAGCGAATTCTACCGTCTTTTCCTGGTCATTTCGAAATACCTCTTACTAAAGCAACGGCTGTCTCTGGTTGAGCAGTCCCGTGCGTTTCGAACCGCAATCGCCCCTGCCTCCCTTTGGAACCGTGTGCACCAGCGGCTACAAATCAAGAAGCCTGATGTTCATCCTGAAGACCCATATGAACTCGGTGATATGAACGAAGCCGTGGAATTTGTTTTGGCCGATTCCACGGGCTCATTTTCGTTTCAGAGCACGGCGCCTCCAGCCGCCTCGTCGCCGGCCACTGTCAAGTCCGAAGCCGACCCAAATTCGGCCATTCTGGGCGAAATCCTCAAGCTCCTCGTTGCGCAGAACGCCGCTCGCTTGGGCCCTGCGCCCACCGTTTCATCTACCACGCCGTTGCCCTCATACCCTGCACCTCCACGCGACTCGAACTGCTCATATTGCAGTGAACCCGGCCATTTTATTGCGCGCTGTCCGCGTGTTGAGGATGACATACGCGCAGGCAAGTGCAAACGTAATATTGAAGGACAAGTTGTCCTCCCTAGCGGCGCCTACATCCCACGCCGTGTCACAGGAGTCAATTTACGCGCTCGATTCGACGAATGGCACCGGCAGAACCCCGGACAAACAGCCGCTACGAATTACCAGGACGTCTCGACGAATTTCCTTTCGTCCAATAAACAGAGTCCCCCTGTGTCCACGCTTTCTCTGACGGATTCTGAACGTTTGGAGCAGCTAGAACGCGAAATTTGGGCCGTCCGTACTCGACAACAAGCCCGCGCGGCAATCGAAGCTGGCAGTCGATCTGGGGATCCTGTCGAAGCTCCTGAACAGGCAATTCACTCGACACCGCCCCCAGCTCGTATTCCAGCCCCTGCTGTTGCTACGCCGGCCCGTGCTCCGGTTCTAGCTCCTGCCCCTGCACCCGCTGCTTCTCCGACCAACGCCGTGCCCGAGCATCCGTATGCCCGCGCAAGAGACGCCGCTTATGCGCCACCACGAGACCGCAATTTTGGCGCACGAGTTCCCGCCCCAGTAACCAAGAAAAACGAACTGGCCTATCGCTCCTCAGCCCCGGTTTACGACGAGAAACACGCCGACGCTGTATTTGGGCGCATAATGGACACGAAAATCGAGAACTCCGTCCAGGAGTTGATGTCTATTTCCCCCGAGGTGCGCTCCCGCATGCGCGATGCTACCAGTAGCCGTCGAGTTGCTCCGGCTGCTGATGGTAAAACCGCGGCCCCGCCAGTCTCAACGAACATTTATGAACAATATACCGTTGATCCCCTGCCACCAGACCCTTACATCGAGACTCTGGACGAGCAGAAGCGCAGTGACGCACGAAATGCTGCATTTTTCGACTCGATGCCCGCTGGTTACATGAATTCGGCCCTTCCACCTGGCGCCATCATCATTCCGGACTATTACGAGACGTTGGTGCATTCCGGCGCGTCTATTGACGACCTGGTTGTCTCCCTGGAGTCCTCGGCCATTCGATCTGTCCTTCCCGTGGTTGACAATCGGCTCAGGGTTGAATCCATCATTGACGGCGGTTCTCAAATCATCGCAATGTCTGAGGCAGTCTGCCACCAGCTTGGCTCGTCCTACGACCCCACGGTTGTCCTCCGAATGCAGTCAGCAAACGGATCGATATCCCCCTCTCTTGGCCTAGCACGGAACGTTCCTTTTGCGTTTGGGGATATCACCCTCTATCTGCAGGTTCACATTGTACGAAATCCTGCTTACGACATCCTCCTGGGACGTCCCTTTGATGTCCTGACGGAAAGCATCATCCGGAATTACGCTGACGAGAACCAAACGATCACCATTCGAGATCCCAACACCGGCAAGATCACCACAATTGCTACTGTTCCCCGTGGTTCTCGTCCCCGGGTCCAGGATTTTCCCAACTCGAGGATTTGATCCCAGATCAAGGAGAGGCCGCTTTTATCATTGTACCTGACCCACAAGACCCCCAAAAATTGATTCTCGAAGCCTCCGTTTCTCTCCCTGATAAATATTCGTCTGCTGACCTCAATATTCTTTATCTTACAGGTTGTGATAATTTGGACCAATATTCGGAAAAATTGCAGTATGCATACTCTAACGCACAACCGTTATCTACTGCGGGGTCCAAGTCCCCACCGGGGGATTCAACTCCCCCGTTCATTCTGCCGTTCACATCGCCAGCTATCTTCACTCCATATGACGTGTCTGTCCCTCTCTACAACCAATCCACATCTGCTTCCAATCCTTATGCCGCCTCCCACGTCGACGTGTTTGCCAAGAAACGATACAAACCAGTAGCGCAAAAAGTGCGCCCTGTACTTGGTACTCTACCCGAGCACTTTCGAATTGTCCGCGAGATACGGGGAGATCCCCTCGCCTCACTTCCTACCCTCGATCCCCATCCTCCTCCATTTGTCCCGACTGGCCGCTATACCTCAGAGCGTCGTGACATCATCGACTCCCTTCATCCCGGGGACTTCCTGTGGCCCGAGGAACGACGATTAATGCACCATTTCATGTGTCTGCACAATGATGGCTTCGCTTGGACAGATACAGAGCGAGGGAAATTCCGTACTGACTTCTTTCATCCGGTGATCATGCCGGTGGTCCCACACAAGCCATGGGTCCAACGCAACATTCCCGTCCCACCAGGCATCTACAACGAAGTATGTGAGTTGATACGCCGCAAAATGGCAGCTGGCGTCTACGAACCGTCAAATTCATCCTACCGGTCGCGCTGGTTCTGCGTGGTAAAGAAGGACGGCAGCAGCCTCCGTCTTGTGCACAGTCTCGAGCCGCTAAACGCTGTCACCATTCAGCACTCGGGTGTTCCACCACTCACCGATCAAGTTGCCGAGCAGTTTGCGGGCCGCGCCTGTGGCGGCATCCTTGATCTCTACGTTGGCTATGATGAGCGCGTACTCGACGAAGCCTCCCGTGACTTCACCACGTTCCAGTCACCTTTTGGCGCCCTGCGACTCACCAGTTTACCTATGGGATGGTCAAACTCCGTACCCATCTTCCACGACGACGTTACCTTCATCCTTCAGCCTGAAATCCCTCACTTCACAATTCCCTACATCGACGACACCCCGGTCCGTGGACCAGCCACCCGTTATGAGCTTCCCAGCGGCGGCTACGAAGTCATTCCAGGCAATCCTGGGATTCGACGATTTGTCTGGGAGCACTTCCAGACGCTCAATAGGATCGTACAACGGATGAAGTACTGCGGAGGTACCTTTTCTGGGCCCAAGGCCATTTTATGCGCCGAAACGATCACGGTCCTCGGCCACGTCTGCACGTACGAAGGGCGCATCCCTGACCCCTCCCGCGTCGAGAAGATAGCCAGTTGGGGACCGTGCCGTGATCTGTCCGAAGTCCGCGCTTTCCTTGGCACGGTTGGCGTGGTGCGAATGTTCATCCGTGATTTTGCACGCCGGGCAAGCCCTCTCGTATCGCTGACCCGAAAAGACGTCCCATTTGTCTTTGGCAACGAACAGGTCAGAGCTCAAGACGATCTGAAAGAAGCCCTACTTAGCTCACCGGCGCTCCGTCCTCTCGACTACACGTCCCTGGCCCCAGTGATCCTCTCAGTCGATACATCCTACATTGCTGTTGGCTCCACCCTTGCGCAGTGTGATCCACAAAATCTAGCTCGACGGTTCTACGCACGTTTTGGATCAATAACGCTGAACGAGCGCGAATCCCGGTTTTCGCAGCCCAAGCTCGAGCTGTATGGTTTGTTCAGAGCCCTTCGAGCATGGAAGATGCACTTAATTGGTTTGCGCAACCTCGTGGTTGAAGTAGACGCACGGTACATCAAAGGAATGCTGGCGAACCCAGATTTAGCGCCCAACGCAGCAATCAACAGGTGGATTTTGAGCATACTCACCTTCCATTTCGAGCTCGTTCATGTCCCGGGCATCTCTCACCGTCCCGATGGTCTTTCTCGGCGGCCCCCACAGCCTGGCGATACAGCAGAACAAGACGACGATTTCGACGACTGGATTGATCAGCTTCATGGGTTTGTGCATATGATCAATGACGCACCGTATCTCCAGACTGGATCTCAACGACAAGTGGCTACTCTGCTCAACGAGACACCCTTGGACGTACCAGAGAGTGTCGTTGACGCTCCAACGCCCCCTCTGTCTTACACGGACGTCCCTCGATCATCAGCAGATCTGCTTGCGGATCACCGAGTCGACTTGGTCCAAGCCTGGCATGGAAACTTGCAGCGTCCACGCGACATGTCCGACGCCGAATACAAGACATTTGTGCGCTATTGCATGGAGTTCTTCATCAGCGACGGCGCACTATGGCGGAAAGACTCACATGGACGACATAAACTGGTTGTGCCCCCTGCACGTCGAATCTTCATTATGCGATCTGCGCACGATGACACAGGCCACAAAGGCTTCTTTGCGACGCGTGCGCTAATCTTCGAGCGGTTCTGGTGGCCACATCTCTCGAGTGACGTGGTGTGGTACGTTCGCACCTGTGATCTGTGTCAGCAACGGCAAACGCGCAGGATCCACATACCGCCCGTAGTCGCAACCCCGGCACCAATCTTCGCGAAAATGTACATGGATACGATGCACTTACCAACCAGCGGAGGCTTCAAGTACGTTGTCCAAGGGCGTTGTTCGTTGACCCACTACCCCGAATGGCGCATGCTTCGACAAGAAAACGCGGTGGCGATCGCAACGTGGATCTTCCAGGACATCTTGTGTCGCTGGGGGACATTAGTCGAGATTGTGACGGACAACGGGACACCGTTCGTGAAAGCGCTCACTCACCTTGAGAGACAATACAACGTCCGGCACATTCGAATTTCCGGTTACAATTCACAGGCAAACCTGGCGGAACGCCCACATTTCGACGTCCGGGAGTCCCTCTTCAAAGCCGCGGACGGAATCCAGTCCAAATGGCACTCGACAGCCCACTCAGTCTTCTGGGCAGATCGAGTGACTGTGCGTCGACGTATGGGATGCTCACCGTTCTTTGCCGTCACCGGCGCGCACCCGTTGCTTCCACTCGACATCTCCGAAGCGACCTACCTGCTCCCGGCCCCCGCATCCGTCCTTTCGTCCACGGAGCTCATCTCACACCGTGCCATTGCCCTGCAGAAGCGCCGGGAACAAATGGTGTTCCTCCATTCCGCCGTCCTCGAGGCCCGCGTGCAAGCAGCAATCCGTTTTGAGCAAGAGCACGCCCACACAATCCGCGACTACGATTTTCAGCGCGGCGACCTGGTCTTGATGAGAAATACGGCGATCGAGAAGTCCCTAAGCAGGAAAATGCGCAAGCGCTACCTGGGACCGCTGATAGTCGTCTCAAGGAATCGGGGAGGCGCTTACATCGTCTGTGAGCTCGACGGCTCGGTTTTCCACCGGCCTATTGCCGCATTTCGCGTCATACCTTATTTTGCGCGCCGCTCTATTCCCCTTCCCCCACTCGAGGATCTGCTCGATATTTCGACGGAACGGTTGCGTGAGCTCGAAGAATCCCTCCTGGTGGACCCGGAGGAGATCGACGAAGAATCAGGGCCTCAGAGCGAGTTGGGCGGCGCTGAAGCAGAGCTCTAGCAACCCAATGACCAAGAACGCATTCCGCAGAACGCACCTATTGTGATCAAGCCCCCGAACCAATAATCCCCCCTCACTTCAGCCTCATTTCGATTCGACGACTGACTGGGGACAGTCAGATTTTCAGTTGGAGGGAGATGACGAGCAGTGATGCACCCTGGCCCCGCAATCAATTGATCAGAAGCCGCATCAATATGACGTAGCAAGCTGCTTGAGCTGACAAAGCAGCCTCAATTGATCTGGCACGTGATGAAGAGCTTCGGACCGGAATCCAATTTCGGAGTTCATTCCCTCTTTGTGGCTCTAACTCCTTTCATTTCGGCGAAATTCAGCACGGACTAAAGTAATAAATTAACATAGAGCTCAATGGTCACCATATCAACAGGAGGTTCAATTTACTTATCTCCTTCTGATTTGATTCACACTTAGTATAAAAAACCTGTAGTACAGTACAAGAAAAACAAGAAATCTTCTTCACCCACTCTCTAGAGTCTAAAGCGACTTCCCAGTGCTTTCTATCTCGCTTTCTCGGCGCCCGCTTCTGCATTATTGCCCTAACATCGCCCCCAAAACTCCCATTTTGTGCTACAGTCTTACATATTGGTTCCCCCCGTCGTTCTATCGTCTCGTCGTCCCATCGCTCGCCCCCATCGTTGTCCTACCGTCCTAGACTTGTCCTCCGTCCCCCCCTTTTTGCTCACCACGGCCCCTGCTCGTTTCAGTCGAGCTCATTTCCTTGAGCCTGACCTTGTTTAGGATCAGAATCCCACACACAAATACTGCGCGAGCCAGAGCCGCAGCTCACTCCCCTCGACCACCGACTAGTCCCGTGTCTCTCCCCGTACGGCTGCGCGCTCATACGCTCCGTAGGCGTGTCAACACTACCATGTTCACCTTCAAATCGTCCCACCTTGCTCTCGCTCTCGCGGCTGTATCCGCCGTGAATGCCCTGAGCTTCAAAGCTCCCAAAACCGCGCCTTGCGCCGAACATGTCGCCGTTCCGGCTTTCAAGCATCAAGGATCTGTGCTGACGCACTACGGTGTACGCACATCCTTCAACCTCGTTCCATTCGAGTGATAATTGATGTCTAATCTCCAGCCCGAGCCGGACATCAAGGTCCTCCAGTTCATCAACGTCGGCATCGAAGGGTCCCTCTTCCAGTCCGACTCCGAATCCGAGGACACCGTGAAAATCACGTTCGCGAATCTCGCCCAGAATGACACCGGGCGGGTGAGTTCGGATGCAGCGCTATAAGTTCGACCACTAGAGCTAACTGTGCCCAGTGGGAGTCGATCCGTGTGTACCCAGATGCAGGGATATTCCAGATCAGCAACCTCGAGACGGGGACCTACCTTGGCGTCAAGTACGAGGTCGACGAGCTCAAGCTGGTTGCCAACCGCGATGTCGACCCCGCCTCGTTCGAGTACGAACGTGGATCCTCGCCCGAGGCATTTGCGGTAATTACGTCCCTCGCTGCATCTTACTTGGCACTAAATGCCCGGCCTCCAGATCCGTCTCGTCAACACCAACCTTGTCTGGCAGGCGGTGTACGATGACGAGACCAAGAAACACTCGGGCCATGTATGCTTCCTCAGTTTCTTGCTATTGGATGCGTTTCTGACCATCGCCTACTTTAGGTCGAATTGAGGGACAGGATCGAGAAATGGGAGCACGGGAGAGAGTTCCAGGACTGGATCTTCGCTCACTAGATCATTCCTAAGAAAGTAGTGACACGCCTACGGAGCGTATGAGCGCGCAGCCGTACGGGGAGAGACACGGGACTAGTCGGTGGTCGAGGGGAGTGAGCTGCGGCTCTGGCTCGCGCAGTATTTGTGTGTGGGATTCTGATCCTAAACAAGGTCAGGCTCAAGGAAATGAGCTCGACTGAAACGAGCAGGGGCCGTGGTGAGCAAAAAGGGGGGGACGGAGGACAAGTCTAGGACGGTAGGACAACGATGGGGGTGAGCGATGGGACGACGAGACGATAGAACGACGGGGGGAACCAATATGTAAGACTGTAGCACAAAATGGGAGTTTTGGGGGCGATGTTAGGGCAATAATGCAGAAGCGGGCGCCGAGAAAGCGAGATAGAAAGCACTGGGAAGTCGCTTTAGACTCTAGAGAGTGGGTGAAGAAGATTTCTTGTTTTTCTTGTACTGTACTACAGGTTTTTTATACTAAGTGTGAATCAAATCAGAAGGAGATAAGTAAATTGAACCTCCTGTTGATATGGTGACCATTGAGCTCTATGTCAATTTACTACTTAGTCAGTGCTGAATTTCGCCGAAATGAAAGGTGTTAGAGCCACCAAGAGGGAATGAACTCCGAAATTTGATTTCGGCCCGACACTTGTCATCACGTGCCAGATCAATTGTGGCTGCTTTGTCAGACCAAGCAGCTTGCTACGTCATACCATGTGACATGTGATCATGTGATCAATTGATTGCGGGGCCAGGGTGTATCCACGCTCGTCATCTCCCTCCAACTGAAAATCTGACTGTCCCCAGTCAGTCGTCGAATCGAAATCAGGCTGAAATGAGGGGGATTATTGGATTTTGGGGTCGATCAAACCAGGTGCGTTGTGCGGACTGTGCTATCAGCAATTGGGCTGCTAGAGCTCTGCTTCAGCGGTGCCAAAATCGCTCTGAGGCCCTGATTCTCTGTCGATCTCTTCTGGGTCCGCCAGGAGCGATTCCTCGAGCTCACGCAAACGTTCCGTCGAAATGTCGAGCAGATTTTCGAGTGGGGGCAGGGGGATAGCGCGGCGCGCAAAATAAGGTATGACGCGAAATGCGGCAATAGGCCGGTGGAAAACTGAGCCGTCAAGCTCACAGACGATGTAAGCGCCTCCCCGATTCCTTGAGACGACTATCAGCGGTCCCAGGTAGCGCTTGCGCATTTTCCTGCTTAGGGACTTCTCGATCGCCGTATTTCTCATCAAGACCAGGTCGCCGCGCTGAAAATCGTAGTCGCGGATTGTGTGGGCGTGCTCTTGCTCAAAACGGATTGCTGCTTGCACGCGGGCCTCGAGGACGGCGGAATGGAGGAACACCATTTGTTCCCGGCGCTTCTGCAGGGCGATGGCACGGTGTGAGATGAGCTCCGTGGACGAAAGGACGGATGCGGGGGCCGGGAGCAGGTAGGTCGCTTCGGAGATGTCGAGTGGAAGCAACGGGTGCGCGCCGGTGACGGCAAAGAACGGTGAGCATCCCATACGTCGACGCACAGTCACTCGATCTGCCCAGAAGACTGAGTGGGCTGTCGAGTGCCATTTGGACTGGATTCCGTCCGCGGCTTTGAAGAGGGACTCCCGGACGTCGAAATGTGGGCGTTCCGCCAGGTTTGCCTGTGAATTGTAACCGGAAATTCGAATGTGCCGGACGTTGTATTGTCTCTCAAGGTGAGTGAGCGCTTTCACGAACGGTGTCCCGTTGTCCGTCACAATCTCGACTAATGTCCCCCAGCGACACAAGATGTCCTGGAAGATCCACGTTGCGATCGCCACCGCGTTTTCTTGTCGAAGCATGCGCCATTCGGGGTAGTGGGTCAACGAACAACGCCCTTGGACAACGTACTTGAAGCCTCCACTGGTTGGTGAGTGCATCGTATCCATGTACATTTTCGCGAAGATTGGTGCCGGGGTTGCGACTACGGGCGGTATGTGGATCCTGCGCGTTTGCCGTTGCTGACACAGATCACAGGTGCGAACGTACCACACCACGTCACTCGAGAGATGTGGCCACCAGAACCGCTCGAAGATTAGCGCACGCGTCGCAAAGAAGCCTTTGTGGCCTGTGTCATCGTGCGCAGATCGCATAATGAAGATTCGACGTGCAGGGGGCACAACCAGTTTATGTCGTCCATGTGAGTCTTTCCGCCATAGTGCGCCGTCGCTGATGAAGAACTCCATGCAATAGCGCACAAATGTCTTGTATTCGGCGTCGGACATGTCGCGTGGACGCTGCAAGTTTCCATGCCAGGCTTGGACCAAGTCGACTCGGTGATCCGCAAGCAGATCTGCTGATGATCGAGGGACGTCCGTGTAAGACAGAGGGGGCGTTGGAGCGTCAACGACACTCTCTGGTACGTCCAAGGGTGTCTCGTTGAGCAGAGTAGCCACTTGTCGTTGAGATCCAGTCTGGAGATACGGTGCGTCATTGATCATATGCACAAACCCATGAAGCTGATCAATCCAGTCGTCGAAATCGTCGTCTTGTTCTGCTGTATCGCCAGGCTGTGGGGGCCGCCGAGAAAGACCATCGGGACGGTGAGAGATGCCCGGGACATGAACGAGCTCGAAATGGAAGGTGAGTATGCTCAAAATCCACCTGTTGATTGCTGCGTTGGGCGCTAAATCTGGGTTCGCCAGCATTCCTTTGATGTACCGTGCGTCTACTTCAACCACGAGGTTGCGCAAACCAATTAAGTGCATCTTCCATGCTCGAAGGGCTCTGAACAAACCATACAGCTCGAGCTTGGGCTGCGAAAACCGGGATTCGCGCTCGTTCAGCGTTATTGATCCAAAACGTGCGTAGAACCGTCGAGCTAGATTTTGTGGATCACACTGCGCAAGGGTGGAGCCAACAGCAATGTAGGATGTATCGACTGAGAGGATCACTGGGGCCAGGGACGTGTAGTCGAGAGGACGGAGCGCCGGTGAGCTAAGTAGGGCTTCTTTCAGATCGTCTTGAGCTCTGACCTGTTCGTTGCCAAAGACAAATGGGACGTCTTTTCGGGTCAGCGATACGAGAGGGCTTGCCCGGCGTGCAAAATCACGGATGAACATTCGCACCACGCCAACCGTGCCAAGGAAAGCGCGGACTTCGGACAGATCACGGCACGGTCCCCAACTGGCTATCTTCTCGACGCGGGAGGGGTCAGGGATGCGCCCTTCGTACGTGCAGACGTGGCCGAGGACCGTGATCGTTTCGGCGCATAAAATGGCCTTGGGCCCAGAAAAGGTACCTCCGCAGTACTTCATCCGTTGTACGATCCTATTGAGCGTCTGGAAGTGCTCCCAGACAAATCGTCGAATCCCAGGATTGCCTGGAATGACTTCGTAGCCGCCGCTGGGAAGCTCATAACGGGTGGCTGGTCCACGGACCGGGGTGTCGTCGATGTAGGGAATTGTGAAGTGAGGGATTTCAGGCTGAAGGATGAAGGTAACGTCGTCGTGGAAGATGGGTACGGAGTTTGACCATCCCATAGGTAAACTGGTGAGTCGCAGGGCGCCAAAAGGTGACTGGAACGTGGTGAAGTCACGGGAGGCTTCGTCGAGTACGCGCTCATCATAGCCAACGTAGAGATCAAGGATGCCGCCACAGGCGCGGCCCGCAAACTGCTCGGCAACTTGATCGGTGAGTGGTGGAACACCCGAGTGCTGAATGGTGACAGCGTTTAGCGGCTCGAGACTGTGCACAAGACGGAGGCTGCTGCCGTCCTTCTTTACCACGCAGAACCAGCGCGACCGGTAGGATGAATTTGACGGTTCGTAGACGCCAGCTGCCATTTTGCGGCGTATCAACTCACATACTTCGTTGTAGATGCCTGGTGGGACGGGAATGTTGCGTTGGACCCATGGCTTGTGTGGGACCACCGGCATGATCACCGGATGAAAGAAGTCAGTACGGAATTTCCCTCGCTCTGTATCTGTCCAAGCGAAGCCATCATTGTGCAGACACATGAAATGGTGCATTAATCGTCGTTCCTCGGGCCACAGGAAGTCCCCGGGATGAAGGGAGTCGATGATGTCACGACGCTCTGAGGTATAGCGGCCAGTCGGGACAAATGGAGGAGGATGGGGATCGAGGGTAGGAAGTGAGGCGAGGGGATCTCCCCGTATCTCGCGGACAATTCGAAAGTGCTCGGGTAGAGTACCAAGTACAGGGCGCACTTTTTGCGCTACTGGTTTGTATCGTTTCTTGGCAAACACGTCGACGTGGGAGGCGGCATAAGGATTGGAAGCAGATGTGGATTGGTTGTAGAGAGGGACAGACACGTCATATGGAGTGAAGATAGCTGGCGATGTGAACGGCAGAATGAACGGGGGAGTTGAATCCCCCGGTGGGGACTTGGACCCCGCAGTAGATAACGGTTGTGCGTTAGAGTATGCATACTGCAATTTTTCCGAATATTGGTCCAAATTATCACAACCTGTAAGATAAAGAATATTGAGGTCAGCAGACGAATATTTATCAGGGAGAGAAACGGAGGCTTCGAGAATCAATTTTTGGGGGTCTTGTGGGTCAGGTACAATGATAAAAGCGGCCTCTCCTTGATCTGGGATCAAATCCTCGAGTTGGGAAAATCCTGGACCCGGGGACGAGAACCACGGGGAACAGTAGCAATTGTGGTGATCTTGCCGGTGTTGGGATCTCGAATGGTGATCGTTTGGTTCTCGTCAGCGTAATTCCGGATGATGCTTTCCGTCAGGACATCAAAGGGACGTCCCAGGAGGATGTCGTAAGCAGGATTTCGTACAATGTGAACCTGCAGATAGAGGGTGATATCCCCAAACGCAAAAGGAACGTTCCGTGCTAGGCCAAGAGAGGGGGATATCGATCCGTTTGCTGACTGCATTCGGAGGACAACCGTGGGGTCGTAGGACGAGCCAAGCTGGTGGCAGACTGCCTCAGACATTGCGATGATTTGAGAACCGCCGTCAATGATGGATTCAACCCTGAGCCGATTGTCAACCACGGGAAGGACAGATCGAATGGCCGAGGACTCCAGGGAGACAACCAGGTCGTCAATAGACGCGCCGGAATGCACCAACGTCTCGTAATAGTCCGGAATGATGATGGCGCCAGGTGGAAGGGCCGAATTCATGTAACCAGCGGGCATCGAGTCGAAAAATGCAGCATTTCGTGCGTCACTGCGCTTCTGCTCGTCCAGAGTCTCGATGTAAGGGTCTGGTGGCAGGGGATCAACGGTATATTGTTCATAAATGTTCGTTGAGACTGGCGGGGCCGCGGTTTTACCATCAGCAGCCGGAGCAACTCGACGGCTACTGGTAGCATCGCGCATGCGGGAGCGCACCTCGGGGGAAATAGACATCAACTCCTGGACGGAGTTCTCGATTTTCGTGTCCATTATGCGCCCAAATACAGCGTCGGCGTGTTTCTCGTCGTAAACCGGGGCTGAGGAGCGATAGGCCAGTTCGTTTTTCTTGGTTACTGGGGCGGGAACTCGTGCGCCAAAATTGCGGTCTCGTGGTGGCGCATAAGCGGCGTCTCTTGCGCGGGCATACGGATGCTCGGGCACGGCGTTGGTCGGAGAAGCAGCGGGTGCAGGGGCAGGAGCTAGAACCGGAGCACGGGCCGGCGTAGCAACAGCAGGGGCTGGAATACGAGCTGGGGGCGGTGTCGAGTGAATTGCCTGTTCAGGAGCTTCGACAGGATCCCCAGATCGACTGCCAGCTTCGATTGCCGCGCGGGCTTGTTGTCGAGTACGGACGGCCCAAATTTCGCGTTCTAGCTGCTCCAAACGTTCAGAATCCGTCAGAGAAAGCGTGGACACAGGGGGACTCTGTTTATTGGACGAAAGGAAATTCGTCGAGACGTCCTGGTAATTCGTAGCGGCTGTTTGTCCGGGGTTCTGCCGGTGCCATTCGTCGAATCGAGCGCGTAAATTGACTCCTGTGACACGGCGTGGGATGTAGGCGCCGCTAGGGAGGACAACTTGTCCTTCAATATTACGTTTGCACTTGCCTGCGCGTATGTCATCCTCAACACGCGGACAGCGCGCAATAAAATGGCCGGGTTCACTGCAATATGAGCAGTTCGAGTCGCGTGGAGGTGCAGGGTATGAGGGCAACGGCGTGGTAGATGAAACGGTGGGCGCAGGGCCCAAGCGAGCGGCGTTCTGCGCAACGAGGAGCTTGAGGATTTCGCCCAGAATGGCCGAATTTGGGTCGGCTTCGGACTTGACAGTGGCCGGCGACGAGGCGGCTGGAGGCGCCGTGCTCTGAAACGAAAATGAGCCCGTGGAATCGGCCAAAACAAATTCCACGGCTTCGTTCATATCACCGAGTTCATATGGGTCTTCAGGATGAACATCAGGCTTCTTGATTTGTAGCCGCTGGTGCACACGGTTCCAAAGGGAGGCAGGGGCGATTGCGGTTCGAAACGCACGGGACTGCTCAACCAGAGACAGCCGTTGCTTTAGTAAGAGGTATTTCGAAATGACCAGGAAAAGACGGTAGAATTCGCTATATTCAGCGCGTGAGTGAATCCCAGAGCTGGCGTATTTGCCAATGAGCGCGTGGAGGTCTGAGGTAGCATATTTGCGGTCAGAATCCGTGCCAGGATAAAGCTTCAAGACTTCTGCTTTCCATGCGTCGTAGTTGTGGGGCGCCGAAAACGAGTCTAGAGACTCCCAAAGTTCAGCTTCGTCAAAAGGGAGGAACCGTAGAGCGTGGCGCTTCCGTTCTTGAGCATCCGCAATGCTGGCAAGCCCAAAATGGTATTCCAGGTCCGTGAAAAATCGAGGAAGCTCACGGGGCTTTGATGGGTCGAATTCAGGTGCTCCTCGGGCACCACGGGCGGGCATGGGCACAACAGCTGCCATGTTCTGGTTCGGAGGTGGTGGAGGCGGTGGAGGTGACGGAGAGGGTGACACGGGACGCAGAATAAAAGACGGTGATGAGGACTGCGACGAGGGCGAGGAATCGGTAAGGGAGTCGATGGTGGGCAGGTTAGAATGTGGTGAATCCGAGTTGTAGTGATGAGGGAGTTCGTGAGGAACAGGAACCAATAAGTCCTCTGAGGATGAATCGGTGTGATGCGCTGTGTCTGAGAGATTGAGAGGATTCTGGGAGATAGCCCTGAACTCTAGACGGAGATTTCGAGGTTCAGAAGGGCGGAGGGCGCGGTTAGAGCCTGAATCAATGTTGTAATTGGAACAAATCCCGCCAGGGGTTCCAAAATGACACGCCTACGGAGCGTATGAGCGCGCAGCCGTACGGGGAGAGACACGGGACTAGTCGGTGGTCGAGGGGAGTGAGCTGCGGCTCTGGCTCGCGCAGTATTTGTGTGTGGGATTCTGATCCTAAACAAGGTCAGGCTCAAGGAAATGAGCTCGACTGAAACGAGCAGGGGCCGTGGTGAGCAAAAAGGGGGGGACGGAGGACAAGTCTAGGACGGTAGGACAACGATGGGGGCGAGCGATGGGACGACGAGACGATAGAACGACGGGGGGAACCAATATGTAAGACTGTAGCACAAAATGGGAGTTTTGGGGGCGATGTTAGGGCAATAATGCAGAAGCGGGCGCCGAGAAAGCGAGATAGAAAGCACTGGGAAGTCGCTTTAGACTCTAGAGAGTGGGTGAAGAAGATTTCTTGTTTTTCTTGTACTGTACTACAGGTTTTTTATACTAAGTGTGAATCAAATCAGAAGGAGATAAGTAAATTGAACCTCCTGTTGATATGGTGACCATTGAGCTCTATGTCAATTTACTACTTAGTCAGTGCTGAATTTCGCCGAAATGAAAGGTGTTAGAGCCACCAAGAGGGAATGAACTCCGAAATTTGATTTCGGCCCGACACTTGTCATCACGTGCCAGATCAATTGTGGCTGCTTTGTCAGACCAAGCAGCTTGCTACGTCATACCATGTGACATGTGATCATGTGATCAATTGATTGCGGGGCCAGGGTGTATCCACGCTCGTCAGTAGTGCATAGTAAGAAACAATGCCCAATGCAATCTTCGAAGCACGAATCGACCCCGCTTATCTGCCGCACTCGCAGAGAGTCCCCCAACATACAATGTCAGATGTCCATTTACAGCTGCTTCAGTCGCCCAACCTGAGAGAGGCTTATCACAAGTTGTTTGACATTCCTGCTCCGTCAGCACAAAATGCGGCCCAACGTTAAGAATTCTTGGAGGATATGGCAGGGACATTCATTGCTGACACCGGCACCAGTGGAATCGGTCGAGTTAGAACTTAATATTCAACGGGATCGGGCTAGAAAGATCATAGAAACAGAAGAGCAAATGGCCTTAGTGACATATTCATCTATTTATCTATAGTTTATATTCTCTCTTATACTATCCTCCAAGGTTCGATTAAACCGATCAGAACAGGCTTCTTTCGGGAGATCATCTTTTGATCAACATGTGTAGTCCGCTGAAAACATTCTCGTAATAGTCAGGACCTCGAACATGCCCTGAAACATCATTAGTATCCCAGACCTCTCTCGAGCATGGTTCTCGACACACTGCTCTTCTTCAAAGTCGCGGAAACTCGTGCTCATGCCCCAGGACCGCGGCAGATGGCGAGGCTGTTGCAGGACTGCAAATGACTCCTTCGACGAGGAAGTTTATGGTCGGACTCCCGAAGACGATCAAGGCGGATAATTTCCGACGAGCCTGAGAAACTGGACTGAACGATCCCACACGACTGCAGTTTGCGATATAATTACCTGCTGTATTCCAATGTACGTCATCGTAGATTAGCAAAGTGATCCAGATCACACAGGGCGGATCAGGCAGGCTTTCCAGTACTAATCACATTCTGGTGATCCTACGCGCAGACCGGTTTTTTCGGGAGCATTTCGAGAAATCCTTTGAGGCTTCGGAAAGGCCACTAATATCAACAAACGGGTGGTACCGTATACGCGTCCGGTGGCCCTCGGCTCCACTGCCTATTTGACAACGACAGATGCCCCATTAACTTGGCTGCTCGCCAGAAGAGATTCTAACCCCCGAGCAGACTCCTACTCGCTTTGCGGGAGCCATAAAACAATTGGATTGTGCGACGGAGCAGGTAAGACACCACCATGTTTATCTTCAAATCTTCCCACTTTGCTCTTGCTCTCGCAGCGATTTCCGCCGTGAATGCATCGAGCTTCAAAGCTCCCAAAACCGCGCCTTGCGCCGACCACGTCGCTGTTCCGGCTGTCAAGCACCAAGACTCTGTGCTGCCACAATACCGTGTACGCACTCCCTCTCAACTTTGCTCTTACCGAGGTGTGATTGAGGTCTGGTCACCAGCCCGAGCCGGAAATCAAGGTCCTGCAGTTCATCAACGTCGGCCTCCAAGGGTCCATCTTCCAGTCCGACGACGAATTCGAGGACGCCCTGAAGATCACGTTCGCGAGTCTCGCGCAGAACTACACTGGTCAGGTGAGCCCGGGCGCAGCGTGGTCGACACGACACTAGGACTTGAACTGTGCACTCAGTGGGAGTCGATCCGCGCGTATCCCAGACGCGGGATATTCTAGATCAGCAACGTCCAGACGGCCACCTACATCGGCGTCGAGTACGAGGGTGACGATCCGAAGTTGGTGTTGAACACAGAAAACTCAGATGGGAGCCGCAGGAGGCTAGGGGCACAGATGGGAGGCGAAAAGCCCAGTAGGTCACATTGATCTGATGCTATATACTATGCGTCACAGAGTAATGTCACACCCTTTGTCCGAACCAAGCACATACAATATCCACACATCAACACTCCCACCCTTGGGAGGACAAAGCAATCCAGAAACCCAGCCACTCCCACCCAACTGAGACACTCCCACTCCCACCCAATTGAAATCCACCAGATCCTCGAAAATCCGCACAGCCCCTGCACCCAATTCGAGTCTTCTTCAGCATCCAAGTCGATCTGCAGAGATCCAGCAGAGATCCAGGGAGATCCAACAAGATCTGGCTAATCCACCAAGATCCAGGCAGATCCAAGCAGATCCAACGCGATTTTCGGCCTTCACAAGACAGGGTAGGGTGGTGAGGACTGGTGTGTGCAGGGGGCAGCAGCACAGAGCGAAATTTGTCGAAATCCATCGAAATCAGGAAAGGAGGGAGGTGTAGGGGCAGGGAGAGTGGCAGAGGAAAAGTGGTGAAGCAGGGGGCACTCCAGGGGAATGTGTGTATGTAGCAGCTGTGTGGAAGCTGTGAACTCATCTGCATGAATCTGACACCCTCCCCAACATCTCCACCCAAGATCTGGCTGATCCATCCTAATCCCTTCCTCCAACATGGTTGTACAGTGTAGCAGTGGTGGATGAAGTCGAAATGGTGGTCCTGGAGGTGGCAGATGGTGGTAGATGGTGGCAGAATGGAGATCAGGCAAGATCGGAAAAATGCGCAGCAAGGGGAAGGCCAATGACACCTCAGTTACCACCGCCATCACGCGGTTCTCCCCCCGCGGGGTACCTACTGGGTACCCTCAGACGTCTTGCTGAGGGTACCCAGTAGGTACCCCCTGGCGGGGGGTGGGGGGGCCATTTAGTCGATTTAGTAGCGGGGGCATATGCGGGGTTCAGGAGGAGGGGGGGTGTATGTAGCATGTGACTTGTCCATAAGAGCGGGTAGCTGGGCGGGAAAAAAAAATCCAATCACATGACGCGCTGCATGGGCGGGATGGCGGGATAAAAAAATCACGTGATGCGCTGCACCAAATATTACCAAAATGCTGGCAGGGGTTGGCGGCGTCATTGGCGGGGTCACTACCACCCCCCCGCACACCATGGCGGGCAGTGGGCGCATTATCACGTGACTTTTTGGGCGCCTTTTTTGCAGCATTTGGCATGATTTTGGAAATGCTGCTTGATACATTGCATGCTGTGGCAGACAATGGGCGCAAAATCACGTGATTTTCCGCCAAAAAAATGGAAGACTCCCCAAATCATCCCAGTATAATTTCCATAGGTAAATAGGCTAGTTAAACATGAACTTGAGCTTAGAAAAACCAAAATGCACCCTGCACAATGGGATTGGTGACACACTTGATCCCATCATTTGGCAGGGCCTGCCGCAGGGGCTGCCGCGGGGGGTGCCGTGGGGGGTGCCGCGGGGGGTGCCGCAGGGGGTGCCGTGGGGGGTGATGCGGGGGCTGCCCCAGGGTTGGTCTGTTATGATCCATTTTTGTTCATTGAAGATCTTGTAGAGGTGAGCAGGGCAACAGGCCAACTGGGAATTTATAGGAAGACATTGAAATTGATGCAGGGGTCAGATGCGGGGCCCACTGCAAGGTCTACTGCAGGGGCAGGGGTGCATTATATCAAATTTCGATGTATCTATTCTGGCCATGGCCATAGAATGTCACATAATTATCCTTCAATTTGGCAGGGGTTTCTTGGTATGGTCTGCAGCTAAAGATATTTGATTCCCTTGTGCTTTAGCAGAGCCTGGGATATTGAAAACATGCAATAGCACCTGTATAATCTGTCTATGTAGGGTCAAATACAAGTTATAACTTGGTACATTTGGGCATGGTCTGCTCAAGCTATTAGGTCGAATTTAATGTTTGAAAAATGCGCAACTTGATTTGTTTGGCAAATCCCCCAAGGGAGTTTTCCATGTGCAGCCAAATTGATCGCCAGGAATAGCTACTGCTCCTTGTCTCTGTCTGTTTGCTTCCAATAGTCTGTCTGCTCCCAAATCTTCCTCTCCATTTTCAGGATATCTGATACAGGTGTTAGGATTGTTGATTGATGGATTTCATATTCCTTGTCTACACACCATTTAGACACTTTAATGGATGTGATAATACTGTGAACACTAACAATTGATTAGGCAGCACTTTTGTCCATCCAATCCTTGCAGGGGCTGGGGCAGGGTTGATGGTGGGGGCTGCCGCGGGGGCTGCTGCGGGGGGTGCCGCGGGGGGTGCCCAAGCCTCTGCCAGCCTACCCAATGTGGATCAACTACAGGATCACTTTCCAAAGCTTCTGTACTGCAACCCGAGTGACTTCCAGGTTACCTTTACCCAATTCCAGTGACACAACTTGCCTGCTCTTGTTTCTGGCTGACAATTGATTTTATAAGCTTGAGTGTGTATGTGCACTTTTTGGTGGGAAAGGAGGCCATTTGGTGAGGGGCAGGGCACCGAAACATTGTCAAATACCACATTGAACATGACCAGTGGCTTACATCTCTTCAAACTGGCCCCTATCTCATGTTTATCAAGACCCTATTTTTTGGACCCATTTCAAGTTTTTGAATGGTTCCAGGGTCCAGGGCTCTCAGAATTTGTTTCAGACACTGCCAAGGGGTATATCATTCAGCTGTATTGAGTTGTTCATTTGTAGAAAATATATTTTTTGCAATACCCAAAGTGAACTATGTTGAACCATTATCTATGTAGGAACCTTGAGCAACTGTGAACTGTTTTCATGTTTCGAATTTTGGATGGACAAATGATATGAAATACCTACATATTCAACAAGAACAGCATAGGGAGACCTTATTCCGATGGTTTTCAGCTGCATAACTGTAGAAACAGTGTCAGAAGAGCAGGAAACACTTAGGTACGATGTTTATACAGGTTCTGATTGGCTGGTGACTTGACGTGTTCCGAGCTGTCAGATTATGTAATCTTACATATGAGAAGATGGCAGGGGCAAGGCACCGGTGCAGCGGGGGGTGTGGCAGGGGGTGTCAGCCTGGCGGGGGTGCATGCGGGGGTGCAGTGGGGGGTGCCAGTTTGGCGGGGGGTGCCTGCAGGGGTGCCAGTGGGGGTGCAGGTAGAGTTGCAGGCAGTGAGTTATGGCAAGAACGTATACAGTCCCAGTAGCAAAAGCAATCATGTATGTTTCTGCAGTTTGTCTTGCAAGTATCCAAGCTCTAAGTGGAAAGAATTTTGTATATGAAATCTGAATTCATGCTCAATCTCTGGCTATTGTGAGACAACTTATTAGTGAGTTAGTTCATCCTCTTATATACGACCCAGGAATGAATTGAGGGCATGTCAAATCCGCTATGTTCCATCTGTTCATGTTGCAGCTTGAGAAAATCATTTGCAAAGCATCACAGAACTTCTGATTTTCAATGAGTCCCAGTCAGGAAGTGAGACATTCAATGTGTACTTGACATGTGGTACAATGTGCCGCAGGGTAAGATTACACTGTGCTAACAGTGTGAACAGTTGACTAATAGCCATGTATGTAGAATGAGCGCACCAAAAAATCAATGAGATGACAGTGGACCCAGTGCAGCCAACCTACCCACCCTGCCGGTCAACACATGAACAAATCATAACTTGTATTTGACCCTACATAAACAGATTATACAGGTGCTATTGCATGTTTTCAATATCCCAGGCTCTGCTAAAGCACAAGGGAATCAAATATCTTTAGCTGCAGACCATACCAAGAAACCCCTGCCAAATTGAAGGATAATTATGTGACATTCTATGGCCATGGCCAGAATAGATACATCGAAATTTGATATAATGCACCCCTGCCCCTGCAGTAGACCTTGCAGTGGGCCCCGCATCTGACCCCTGCATCAATTTCAATGTCTTCCTATAAATTCCCAGTTGGCCTGTTGCCCTGCTCACCTCTACAAGATCTTCAATGAACAAAAATGGATCATAACAGACCAACCCTGGGGCAGCCCCCGCATCACCCCCCACGGCACCCCCTGCGGCACCCCCCGCGGCACCCCCCACGGCACCCCCCGCGGCAGCCCCTGCGGCAGGCCCTGCCAAATGATGGGATCAAGTGTGTCACCAATCCCATTGTGCAGGGTGCATTTTGGTTTTTCTAAGCTCAAGTTCATGTTTAACTAGCCTATTTACCTATGGAAATTATACTGGGATGATTTGGGGAGTCTTCCATTTTTTTGGCGGAAAATCACGTGATTTTGCGCCCATTGTCTGCCACAGCATGCAATGTATCAAGCAGCATTTCCAAAATCATGCCAAATGCTGCAAAAAAGGCGCCCAAAAAGTCACGTGATAATGCGCCCACTGCCCGCCATGGTGTGCGGGGGGGTGGTAGTGACCCCGCCAATGACGCCGCCAACCCCTGCCAGCATTTTGGTAATATTTGGTGCAGCGCATCACGTGATTTTTTTATCCCGCCATCCCGCCCATGCAGCGCGTCATGTGATTGGATTTTTTTTTCCCGCCCAGCTACCCGCTCTTATGGACAAGTCACATGCTACATACACCCCCCTCCTCCTGAACCCCGCATATGCCCCCGCTACTAAATCGACTAAATGGCCCCCCCACCCCCCGCCAGGGGGTACCTACTGGGTACCCTCAGCAAGACGTCTGAGGGTACCCAGTAGGTACCCCGCGGGGGGAGAACCGCGTGATGGCGGTGGTAACTGAGGTGGCCAATGAGGGGCAGGGGGAGAAGAAGAGGGTTTAAAGATGGGTCAGAGCAGGGCCCATAACCTGTTGAACACAGAAAACTCAGATGGGAGCCGCAGGAGGCTAGGGGCACAGATGGGAGGCGAAAAGCCCAGTAGGTCACATTGATCTGATGCTATATACTATGCGTCACAGAGTAATGTCACACCCTTTGTCCGAACCAAGCACATACAATATCCACACATCAACAGTTGGTGGTCAAGCGCGGCGTCGGCGCCGCCTCGTTTGAGTATGAACGCGGCTCCTCGCCCGAGGCTTTCTCGGTGAACTCGTCTCTTGCTGTATTTCACTTGGTGCTGAATGGAGGTCTCCAGATCCGTCTCGTGAACACCAACCTTGTCTGGCAGGCTGTCTACGACGACGAGACCAAGAAACACTCCGGTGACACGCCTACGGAGCGTATGAGCGCGCAGCCGTACGGGGAGAGACACGGGACTAGTCGGAGGTCGAGGGGAGTGAGCTGCGGCTCTGGCTCGCGCAGTATTTGTGTGTGGGATTCTGATCCTAAACAAGGTCAGGCTCGAGGAAATGAGCTCAACTGAAATGAGCAGGGGCCGTGGTGAGCAAAAAGGGGGGACGGAGGACAAGTCTAGGACAATAGGACGACAATGGGGGCGAGCGACGGGACGATGAGACGATAAAACGACGAGGGGAACCAATATGTAAGACTGTAGCACAAAATGGGAGTTTTGGGGGCGATGTTAGGGCAATAATGCAGAAGCGGGCGCCGAGAAAGCGAGATAGAAAGCACTGGGAAGTCGCTTTAGACTCTAGAGAGTGGGTGAAGAAGATTTCTTGTTTTTCTTGTACTGTACTACAGGTTTTTTATACTAAGTGTGAATCAAATCAGAAGGAGATAAGTAAATTGAACCTCCTGTTGATATGGTGACCATTGAGCTCTATGTTAATTTATTACTTTAGTCCGTGCTGAATTTCGCCGAAATGAAAGGTGTTAGAGCCACCAAGAGGGAATGAACTCCGAAATTTGATTTCGGCCCGACACTTGTCATCACGTGCCAGATCAATTGTGGCTGCTTTGTCAGACCAAGCAGCTTGCTACGTCATACCATGTGACATGTGATCATGTGATCAATTGATTGCGGGGCCAGGGTGTATCCACGCTCGTCATCTCCCTCCAACTGAAAATCTGACTGTCCCCAGTCAGTCGTCGAATCGAAATGAGGCTGAAGTGAGGGGGGATTATTGGTTCGGGGGCTTGATCACAATAGGTGCGTTCTGCGGAATGCGTTCTTGGTCATTGGGTTGCTAGAGCTCTGCTTCAGCGCCGCCCAACTCGCTCTGAGGCCCTGATTCTTCGTCGATCTCCTCCGGGTCCACCAGGAGGGATTCTTCGAGCTCACGCAACCGTTCCGTCGAAATATCGAGCAGATCCTCGAGTGGGGGAAGGGGAATAGAGCGGCGCGCAAAATAAGGTATGACGCGAAATGCGGCAATAGGCCGGTGGAAAACCGAGCCGTCGAGCTCACAGACGATGTAAGCGCCTCCCCGATTCCTTGAGACGACTATCAGCGGTCCCAGGTAGCGCTTGCGCATTTTCCTGCTTAGGGACTTCTCGATCGCCGTATTTCTCATCAAGACCAGGTCGCCGCGCTGAAAATCGTAGTCGCGGATTGTGTGGGCGTGCTCTTGCTCAAAACGGATTGCTGCTTGCACGCGGGCCTCGAGGACGGCGGAATGGAGGAACACCATTTGTTCCCGGCGCTTCTGCAGGGCGATGGCACGGTGTGAGATGAGCTCCGTGGACGAAAGGACGGATGCGGGGGCCGGGAGCAGGTAGGTCGCTTCGGAGATGTCGAGTGGAAGCAACGGGTGCGCGCCGGTGACGGCAAAGAACGGTGAGCATCCCATACGTCGACGCACAGTCACTCGATCTGCCCAGAAGACTGAGTGGGCTGTCGAGTGCCATTTGGACTGGATTCCGTCCGCGGCTTTGAAGAGGGACTCCCGGACGTCGAAATGTGGGCGTTCCGCCAGGTTTGCCTGTGAATTGTAACCGGAAATTCGAATGTGCCGGACGTTGTATTGTCTCTCAAGGTGAGTGAGCGCTTTCACGAACGGTGTCCCGTTGTCCGTCACAATCTCGACTAATGTCCCCCAGCGACACAAGATGTCCTGGAAGATCCACGTTGCGATCGCCACCGCGTTTTCTTGTCGAAGCATGCGCCATTCGGGGTAGTGGGTCAACGAACAACGCCCTTGGACAACGTACTTGAAGCCTCCACTGGTTGGTGAGTGCATCGTATCCATGTACATTTTCGCGAAGATTGGTGCCGGGGTTGCGACTACGGGCGGTATGTGGATCCTGCGCGTTTGCCGTTGCTGACACAGATCACAGGTGCGAACGTACCACACCACGTCACTCGAGAGATGTGGCCACCAGAACCGCTCGAAGATTAGCGCACGCGTCGCAAAGAAGCCTTTGTGGCCTGTGTCATCGTGCGCAGATCGCATAATGAAGATTCGACGTGCAGGGGGCACAACCAGTTTATGTCGTCCATGTGAGTCTTTCCGCCATAGTGCGCCGTCGCTGATGAAGAACTCCATGCAATAGCGCACAAATGTCTTGTATTCGGCGTCGGACATGTCGCGTGGACGCTGCAAGTTTCCATGCCAGGCTTGGACCAAGTCGACTCGGTGATCCGCAAGCAGATCTGCTGATGATCGAGGGACGTCCGTGTAAGACAGAGGGGGCGTTGGAGCGTCAACGACACTCTCTGGTACGTCCAAGGGTGTCTCGTTGAGCAGAGTAGCCACTTGTCGTTGAGATCCAGTCTGGAGATACGGTGCGTCATTGATCATATGCACAAACCCATGAAGCTGATCAATCCAGTCGTCGAAATCGTCGTCTTGTTCTGCTGTATCGCCAGGCTGTGGGGGCCGCCGAGAAAGACCATCGGGACGGTGAGAGATGCCCGGGACATGAACGAGCTCGAAATGGAAGGTGAGTATGCTCAAAATCCACCTGTTGATTGCTGCGTTGGGCGCTAAATCTGGGTTCGCCAGCATTCCTTTGATGTACCGTGCGTCTACTTCAACCACGAGGTTGCGCAAACCAATTAAGTGCATCTTCCATGCTCGAAGGGCTCTGAACAAACCATACAGCTCGAGCTTGGGCTGCGAAAACCGGGATTCGCGCTCGTTCAGCGTTATTGATCCAAAACGTGCGTAGAACCGTCGAGCTAGATTTTGTGGATCACACTGCGCAAGGGTGGAGCCAACAGCAATGTAGGATGTATCGACTGAGAGGATCACTGGGGCCAGGGACGTGTAGTCGAGAGGACGGAGCGCCGGTGAGCTAAGTAGGGCTTCTTTCAGATCGTCTTGAGCTCTGACCTGTTCGTTGCCAAAGACAAATGGGACGTCTTTTCGGGTCAGCGATACGAGAGGGCTTGCCCGGCGTGCAAAATCACGGATGAACATTCGCACCACGCCAACCGTGCCAAGGAAAGCGCGGACTTCGGACAGATCACGGCACGGTCCCCAACTGGCTATCTTCTCGACGCGGGAGGGGTCAGGGATGCGCCCTTCGTACGTGCAGACGTGGCCGAGGACCGTGATCGTTTCGGCGCATAAAATGGCCTTGGGCCCAGAAAAGGTACCTCCGCAGTACTTCATCCGTTGTACGATCCTATTGAGCGTCTGGAAGTGCTCCCAGACAAATCGTCGAATCCCAGGATTGCCTGGAATGACTTCGTAGCCGCCGCTGGGAAGCTCATAACGGGTGGCTGGTCCACGGACCGGGGTGTCGTCGATGTAGGGAATTGTGAAGTGAGGGATTTCAGGCTGAAGGATGAAGGTAACGTCGTCGTGGAAGATGGGTACGGAGTTTGACCATCCCATAGGTAAACTGGTGAGTCGCAGGGCGCCAAAAGGTGACTGGAACGTGGTGAAGTCACGGGAGGCTTCGTCGAGTACGCGCTCATCATAGCCAACGTAGAGATCAAGGATGCCGCCACAGGCGCGGCCCGCAAACTGCTCGGCAACTTGATCGGTGAGTGGTGGAACACCCGAGTGCTGAATGGTGACAGCGTTTAGCGGCTCGAGACTGTGCACAAGACGGAGGCTGCTGCCGTCCTTCTTTACCACGCAGAACCAGCGCGACCGGTAGGATGAATTTGACGGTTCGTAGACGCCAGCTGCCATTTTGCGGCGTATCAACTCACATACTTCGTTGTAGATGCCTGGTGGGACGGGAATGTTGCGTTGGACCCATGGCTTGTGTGGGACCACCGGCATGATCACCGGATGAAAGAAGTCAGTACGGAATTTCCCTCGCTCTGTATCTGTCCAAGCGAAGCCATCATTGTGCAGACACATGAAATGGTGCATTAATCGTCGTTCCTCGGGCCACAGGAAGTCCCCGGGATGAAGGGAGTCGATGATGTCACGACGCTCTGAGGTATAGCGGCCAGTCGGGACAAATGGAGGAGGATGGGGATCGAGGGTAGGAAGTGAGGCGAGGGGATCTCCCCGTATCTCGCGGACAATTCGAAAGTGCTCGGGTAGAGTACCAAGTACAGGGCGCACTTTTTGCGCTACTGGTTTGTATCGTTTCTTGGCAAACACGTCGACGTGGGAGGCGGCATAAGGATTGGAAGCAGATGTGGATTGGTTGTAGAGAGGGACAGACACGTCATATGGAGTGAAGATAGCTGGCGATGTGAACGGCAGAATGAACGGGGGAGTTGAATCCCCCGGTGGGGACTTGGACCCCGCAGTAGATAACGGTTGTGCGTTAGAGTATGCATACTGCAATTTTTCCGAATATTGGTCCAAATTATCACAACCTGTAAGATAAAGAATATTGAGGTCAGCAGACGAATATTTATCAGGGAGAGAAACGGAGGCTTCGAGAATCAATTTTTGGGGGTCTTGTGGGTCAGGTACAATGATAAAAGCGGCCTCTCCTTGATCTGGGATCAAATCCTCGAGTTGGGAAAATCCTGGACCCGGGGACGAGAACCACGGGGAACAGTAGCAATTGTGGTGATCTTGCCGGTGTTGGGATCTCGAATGGTGATCGTTTGGTTCTCGTCAGCGTAATTCCGGATGATGCTTTCCGTCAGGACATCAAAGGGACGTCCCAGGAGGATGTCGTAAGCAGGATTTCGTACAATGTGAACCTGCAGATAGAGGGTGATATCCCCAAACGCAAAAGGAACGTTCCGTGCTAGGCCAAGAGAGGGGGATATCGATCCGTTTGCTGACTGCATTCGGAGGACAACCGTGGGGTCGTAGGACGAGCCAAGCTGGTGGCAGACTGCCTCAGACATTGCGATGATTTGAGAACCGCCGTCAATGATGGATTCAACCCTGAGCCGATTGTCAACCACGGGAAGGACAGATCGAATGGCCGAGGACTCCAGGGAAACAACCAGGTCGTCAATAGACGCGCCGGAATGAACCAGTGTTTCGTAATAGTCCGGAATGATGATGGCGCCAGGTGGAAGGGCCGAATTCATGTAACCAGCAGGCATTGAGTCGAAGAACGCAGCGTTTCGTGCGTCACTGCGCTTCTGCTCGTCCAGAGTCTCGATGTAAGGGTCTGCTGGCAGGGGATCAACGGTATATTGTTCATAAATGTTCGTTGAGACTGGCGGGGCCGCGGTTTTACCATCAGCAGCCGGAGCAACTCGACGGCTACTGGTAGCATCGCGCATGCGGGAGCGCACCTCGGGGGAAATAGACATCAACTCCTGGACGGAGTTCTCGATTTTCGTGTCCATTATGCGCCCAAATACAGCGTCGGCGTGTTTCTCGTCGTAAACCGGGGCTGAGGAACGATAGGCCGGTTCGTTTTTCTTGGCTACTGGGGCCGGAACTCGTGCGCCAAAATTGCGGTCTTGTGGTGGCGCATAAGCGGCGTCTCTTGCACGGGCATACGGATGCTCGGGCACAGCGTTGGTCGGAGAAATAGCAGGCGCAGGGGCCGGAGCTGAAACCGGAGCACGGGCCGGCGTAGCAACAGCAGGGGCTGGAATACGAGCTGGGGGCGGTGTCGAGCGAATGGCCTGTTCAGGAGCTTCGGTAGGATCCCCAGATCGATCCCTGGCTTCGATCGCAGCACGGGCTTGTTGTCGAGTACGGACTGCCCAAATTTCGCGCTCTAGCTGCTCCAAACGTTCAGAATCCGTGAGAGAGAAGGTAGACACAGGAGGACTGAGTTTATTGGATGAAAGGAAATTCGTCGAGATGTCCTGGAAATTTGAGGCAGCTGTTTGTCCGGGATTCTGCCGGTGCCATTCGTCGAATCGAGCACGTAAATTAGCTCCCGCGATACGGCGTGGGATGTAGGCGCCGCTGGGTAGGACAACTTGTCCTTCAATGTTGCGTTTGCACTTGCCTGCGCGTATGTCATCCTCGACACGAGGGCAGCGCGCAATAAAATGGCCAGATTCACTGCAATATGAGCAGTTCGAGTCGCGTGGAGGCGCAGGGTATGAAGGCAACGGCGTGGTTGATGAAACGGCGGGCGCAGGGCCTAGGCGTGCAGCGTTCTGCGCCACAAGGAGCTTGAGGATTTCGCCGAGAATAGCCGAATTAGGGTCAGCTTCGGACTTGACAGTGACCGGGGACGAGGCAGCTGGAGGCGCCGTGGTCTGAAACGAAAATGACCCAGTGGAATCAGCCAAAACAAATTCCACGGCTTCGTTCATATCACCGAGTTCATATGGGTCTTCAGGATGAACATCAGGCTTCTTAATTTGTAGCCGCTGGTGCACGCGGTTCCAAAGCGAGGCAGGAGCGATGGCGGTTCGAAACGCCCGGGACTGCTCAACCAGAGACAGCCGTTGCTTTAATATGAGGTATTTCGAGATGACCAGGAAAAGGCGATAAAATTCGCTATATTCAGCGCGTGAGTGAATCCCCGAGCTGGCGTATTTGCCAATGAGCGCATGGAGGTCCGAAGTCGCATATTTGCGGTCAGAATCCGTGCCGGGATAAAGCTTCAAAACTTCAGCTTTCCATGCGTCGTAGTTGTGGGGCGCCGAAAACGAGTCTAGAGACTCCCAAAGTTCAGCCTCATCGAAAGGAAGAAACCGCAGGGCGTGGCGCTTCCGTTCTTGAGCATCGGCAATGCTGGCAAGCCCGAAATGGTATTCCAGGTCCGTGAAAAATCGAGGAAGCTCACGGGGCTTTGATGGGTCGAATTCAGGTGCTCCTCGGGCACCACGGGCGGGCATGGGCACAACAGCTGCCATGTTCTGGTTCGGAGGCGGTGGAGGCGGTGGAGGTGACGGGGAGGGTGATATGGGACGGAGAATGAAAGAAGGTGATGAGGACTGCGACGAGGACAAGGAATCGGTAAGGAAGTCGATGGTGGGCAGGTTAGAATGTGGTGAATCCGAGTTGTAGTGATGAGGGAGTCCGTGAGGAACAGGAACCAATAAGTCCTCTGAGGACGAATCGGTGTGATGCGCTGCGTCTGAGAGATTGAGAGGATTCTGGGAGATAGCCCTGAACTCTAGACGGAGATTTCGAGGTTCAGAAGGGCGGAGGGCGCGGTTAGAGCCTGAATCAATGTTGTAATTGGAACAAATCCCGCCAGGGGTTCCAAAATGACACGCCTACGGAGCGTATGAGCGCGCAGCCGTACGGGGAGAGACACGGGACTAGTCGGAGGTCGAGGGGAGTGAGCTGCGGCTCTGGCTCGCGCAGTATTTGTGTGTGGGATTCTGATCCTAAACAAGGTCAGGCTCGAGGAAATGAGCTCAACTGAAATGAGCAGGGGCCGTGGTGAGCAAAAAGGGGGGACGGAGGACAAGTCTAGGACAATAGGACGACAATGGGGGCGAGCGACGGGACGATGAGACGATAAAACGACGAGGGGAACCAATATGTAAGACTGTAGCACAAAATGGGAGTTTCGGGGGCGATGTTGGGGAATTAACGCAGAAGCGGGCACCGAGAAAGCAAGATAGAAAGCACTGGGAAGTCGCTTTAGACTCTAGAGAGTGGGTGAAGAAGATTTCTTGTTTTTCTTGTACTGTACTACAGGTTTTTTATACTAAGTGTGAATCAAATCAGAAGGAGATAAGTAAATTGAACCTCCTGTTGATATGGTGACCATTGAGCTCTATGTCAATTTACTACTTAGTCAGTGCTGAATTTCGCCGAAATGAAAGGTGTTAGAGCCACCAAGAGGGAATGAACTCCGAAATTTGATTTCGGCCCGACACTTGTCATCACGTGCCAGATCAATTGTGACTGCTTTGTCAGACCAAGCAGCTTGCTACGTCATACCATGTGACATGTGATCATGTGATCAATTGATTGCGGGGCCAGGGTGTATCCACGCTCGTCACCGGCCATGTGAGATTCCTCATTTTCATGGCTATCGAGTACATTTCTGAATATCATGAGCTGCAGGTCGAACTGAGGGAGAAGATTGAGAAATGGGAGCACGGGAGAGAGTACCAGGACTGGATCTTCACTAACTAGATCAGTCGTAACGGCATAGTAAGAAACATTGCTCAATTAAATCTTTGAAACATCGGCCCCGCTTATCTGCCGCACTCGCAAAGACTAGTCCCCCAACACTCAGTGTCAGATGTCCATTCATCGCTAAGAGCATGATCCCTTTGCGCGCCCTAAGAGAGGGCTGATAGCCCCTGCTTCGACGTTCCTACTGTGCCCGTACAAAATGCCACCCAAGGTCAAAATTCTTGAACACAGCGTAGAAGATACGGTAGATGCTGACACCTGTACAAGCCCAAGCTTACAGCGCCGATTCAGGGCTCCTGACGGATCACGTGGAAGGCGAGGGAAAGAAGTGCTTTGTCGCGTGTTTGGCGTGACGTGAGATTGTGTCTCTCTCCTCCTCAATGCCACCAAACCCTCGCGGATGCTTGCAGCTGACCGGTTTGAGTGCCGCACTGACCTACAATGTCGATTTGGCTGCGCGGATAGCTTTGGGAGTGACTGTCGGGGAGCAGCATGGGCTCAAGTCGCTGTGCACAGCCTTGGTGGCGTGTGTCACCCCAATGTCAATCCAGGAACGTCTACTCACAACGGCTGTCTTCCTGCAACGATGAAGAAACTGGCCTCCTGGACGCCTTCGCAGCTGCTCCCCCGCCTTCCGCCGTCGTCATTCAAAGCCAAAGCCAAGGCGGAGCACAACGCGTCCATCCCCGCCGCTGTCCTCCCACCCGAGATCCTCTCCCACGTCTTTCTCATCCTGTGCCAGGACTGCCTCCCGCCAGACTACTCCTGGATCGCCACCTCCCAGGTCTGCGCGTCCTGGCGCGCCGCAGCACTCGCCACCCAGGCCCTCTGGACGCACCTCGTCTTCCGCTCCCCCGCGTGGATCACGCGCTGCATCTCGCGTACGGGGACCCAGCTGCTAATCGTGCAGACGACGATCGGGAGCGATGCGGGGCTGAAGATGGTGCTCGATGTGCTGGAGCGGTACCGCGCTCGCATCGGTGCGATCTGCCTCGCGGTGTATGAGTCGTGGAGCCAGCCGTATCTGTGGAAGTTTCTGGCGGGAGACTTCCCGGCCGTAGTGGTCAAGCGGTATTCGGATTGGAGTGTGCCGAAATTGTATGAATAATCAAATGCTCGGGCAGAGGATATCTAGAATTGGGTAGCCACGTCTAGAATCCGTTAGATCCAGGCATCGTGACAGCAGTAGGAGTGATTCCAGGGACATTTTCCACATGACAGTTTGTACACAGGCTTATCGACACACCTAGCTGTTTCATCGTTCTGCTTATGTAGCCACAGCAAACGAATAGCTCATCTATGTCATAGCCTGACCGATAACGGATCTAATCAACTCATTCAAATTGATTCCGAGGGAACGCATGCCGTCACGCGGTCACGCGCTTTCTTCTTCCCACCACGACGCACGAGCCGAGAACCCACCCGTCATGCTCGCCGCCACGCAACAGGTATCCTACCCGATAGCCGGACCGTCGCAGCCCTACCCGGAACTCCCACCCGGCTCCTTTGCTCCACACAACAACACCACCAACAGCGGTCTGCCCTTCGCGATGGCCACGGCCCAGCCAGGCCCCGTCGCGCTGCCGCCAGATCCCAATTCCCCCGAGGCGTTCAAGCAGAACCTGGACATGATACAGCAGCAGGTGCTGCGGGTGCGCAGTATGGCGCGGCAGACACTGGACGGAATGTACGTCGGCGCGCTCAAACGAAACGGGAGGAGCCGCGCACGCGCCTGACGCGCGCCCACAGAAACAATGCGTATCAGCTGGGTCGGACGCCAGCCCAAACCGAAGGTACGCCGTGGAGCTGTTGCCTGCCCATGATGGTCTCATTTTCGCGCGCGCAGCGGACATCGCCACGCTGAAGCAGGCGACGGAGTTGCTCTTCGACATGCTAAGGCAGAGCGGCGTCGGCGCTCTCCCCCTCCTCCCTCCTCCGCCACCAAGTGACGACGGTTCTGTACCGCCAGCTCCGCCCGAGGAGCAGCTGCTCGTCCAGACGAACCGCGGCCTGTCTGCGACATACGACCAGCTGAAGCGATTACAGGACGCGGCGACGATCGGGATGAATCTCCTCGGGCAGGGACAGACGTATGGGGCTGTCGCCGGGGCAAGTCATGCGCAGATGCTGGCCCAGGGACACAAATGAGCAGAGCAGAAATCGAGATCGGGCGGAGGCGCACTGCTCTGGGGAACATGCTTTGATTGTGCCTATTACTCGTTCCAGTGGGATACTTCAATATTTCCATGCACTTTTGTTGGCAGCGAATCACCAAGAGAAAGGGAGTGAGAACCGAGAACTTGTGCCCATTGGGGTTGGGCTCATTGGAGTTCCAATTTGGCAGCTGGATCTAGGGCATTAATGGGGTAGTGGTAACCTGGGTCGTTGCCATGGCATTCAATGTCGACCCGCCGGGGGTTCGATTCCCCCTTAATGCAGTATCGATGAGTTGCATAGCTCTGAGTCTGAGCGTCGAACGTGCCCGTCTTCGTTGTGTGAAGCTGCCGCGCAAGTCTGGCCGTCATCTCTTGACACTGTTGACCAGATTACTCTTTTCTCATTCGCTTGAACTTCATTTTCTTTTGTGCTCCAGCTACGCTCCATTTGCATCTCCAATCCTCCTTCGGATCACATGGTTGGACCAAGTGGCAGAGAACAATTTTTTCATCATCTTGGACCAGGTCCCCGCACATCATTTTGGACGGGTGCATGCACAGGGAAGTGCATGTTCATTTTGATCAAAAGCAAACGGGAGTCTGTATCTGAATGACCGAATGTGGCAGCCTTCGGCGAATCACGGAACGGCGAGCTTGGTGGTGTAACTCATGGATAAGTAAGAACTTGCAGCCCGGTGGGATTACTGAACACAAAGAGATCCAGCCACTTCAGACCGGGTTTTCAGCTAAAACATTCAAATATGCAGTCAGCAGGAAGCGCCGTCGAATATCCTTTGGAAAATTTGAGCTCGAGTCTTGGGGTTTGGACATAAGACAAACGCGCAGGGAGGGACACCTGTAGACGTGGAATCAACATTTGAGGGAATTCAGTATTCAAGGATGATCAAGGCTGGTAGATTTATTTATCTGCGAGTACTCTTGTATCACGCTTGGGCACGTTCCACCGAGAAGTTCAAATTCAGATCATCAATCAACCAAAGCTACAGAAAGGTACTGAATTTCGGAATAGTCTCAATCCCGCCTTCGATCTTGCTCCTCCAGTCCGCGAGGTCCCACTCGCAGCATTTAGAAATCTTTTCCTTCGGAACTGCGGGAATGCTAAAGACAGTATCGAGCGCGCGGAGTGTGTCCACGCCGGCTGCCAGGTTCTGGAGCACAGCCGCAACGAGCTGCGTCCAACTGCAAGGGGCTGTGATGGCATACCCATTACGGGTGCAGTTTTTGCAATTATGGTTCTGTGCGCTAGACGCTGCCTGCGAAGAATGTGCCGACCATCCAATAGAAACTTGGGGATCGCCGCCCGTGGGCAGCTTCAGTGCGATGGTCTGATGGATCCGAGCCCACTCCTGCACGTAACGCGTCTGACTGCAAGCATCGGTGGTCAGATCAGAACACGATCGTCGGTGACGCACCCAGGGCCGAAACAAGTTTGGCGGAAGCAGATCAGCGACATCGATAGCCGGCAGACTAATCATCATCGGGCCGATCTCGCCGAGGAGGCAGGGGTAGTCGTGTTTGGCAGCGTATGCGGCCACCTCGACAGGGTGTTCCTTCGCCATATCACTGTTGAAGATCGCTTTAGTGGTGACAATCAGAGGGCATGTGCATGGACACGCACCGAAGCCGAATATGACAAATATTCATTGCTGGGAATACCTGGTACTTCTCCGCCGCCTCGGCGAGTGGGCCGAGAACCTCGAATGCGACCGTGTCGAGTCCAGGATGGCGCCGGGGGTAGATGAACTGGAAGAGCAACTCAAGGATGGTGGAAGACTCCTCCAGAGGGATGAGCTCTTGCGAGCCCGGCGACGCAACCTCGCACGGCGGGAATCCCTCAGTGCACACCTCCAGATTCTTTCGATGGACGCGGAAGAGGATGCGATCGGAGGAGATGAAGGAAACATCCGCATCGGAGGAATTAACTGCGGGCGCAATGTGAGTGAGGCATGCGGTGGATCAGCCGATGCATACATAGCGGCGATTCCGCAAGAGGCACATTGCTAGGAGCGCTAGTGGAGTCCCCCATATCGAAGTCAGGGATGGCTGGCAGAAGAGCAATCCCATCTGCGTTTATATGTGCTGCAGCCCATGACAAGACAAGAATGGAATTCTTCACACGCACCTCGTCTCATCGTCTTCCATGACTCTTATCGACGCTGTGCTCCCACCAGAAAAGGGGCCTGGCATCGATAAACGCCCAACTTGGAGTCACTTGAGCGAAATTTAAGTTCAGAGACACAAGACAGCCGCCTCGCTCAGAGCTTAAACCTCATGCTCTATGTCGCCGCAGCAGGACGAAACTGGGTTGAATCAATCAGACTGGATCCGATCGGTTTTCACTAGAATATGTGTAAATCGTTGTCTGTGCCTTGTAAGCTTCTAATCTGCCCAATAGCTCACTAGCCTTGGTAGTGTCCCGGTGCCGGATACTCCTTTGATACCAGCATTTGAAGACCCCCTTTTTATCCCCACTAGCGCCACCTGCCACTTTCATCCTTTGTGATTCCAGATCCCCTAGCTTTTCTCACTCTCTTTGTTCGATTTGTTGATAGAACCCACAACAATTTAAAAATAGTCACCAACCAGCCCCATTTGGTTTCTCTAACGCACATGGAAGACGTCATCCAGACCTACGGAACATCACACACGGCGGCCTCCTTCCAGTCAAAATCTGGGTTACACTTTGCTTTTCAGAGTATCTTCTCTGTTTGGTCTATCGATATTTCTTTGCTTCGAAGCTATCACCTGTATTAAGTTCACCGCCCACTGCCCGTCAAACACACCATTAGTAAAGTCTATAAATAAAATTGCGTGTACGTGACACTAAAAAGCCCGAGCACAAGAGCTGCTGCTAGTACTTGTTCCCCATCAAACTCTTCTCCTCCAACTCGATTTCGCGCGACACCTGTGTGATATCACACGGCGCGCACCAGTAGGATGTACAGCAGTCGCCGCATCCTCCGCCCTCGATACCGTAGCGTTCCCGCGTGGCCCCGCGGTTTTTGCACTGTAAGATGGCGCCCAGTCCGAGCAACGACTAAGCAGGGATTTATAAGTAAGCATAAGCAAATGATTCGCGTCGGTGGATAAGACGCACGGTCAACAGCATGTGGGTCAAACACATGCTCGAGCAGCAGGAGCCTCCGTCTGGGTGCGGGGTCCCCTCATTTTCGAGATGCGCCAGCCGTTGTGCGTTTTTGCCGTACGCAATGCAGGGGCAGAAGCAAGCGCTGCAGACTTGTCGCGCAAAGCATCAGCAAGCGTGAAATGGCAGCAGAGGCTCAGCGCAGCGCGTACAAGTTCCACAGTCCCCGGAGCATCCGAGCAGACTCTCACTCCATTCACGTTTGCCGCTGCTGTTGATCGGCTTGTTCAAGGCGTTGCGGTTCCCGCCCGGACCAATTTGCATAGCCATCGTGGGTTGTGGCTGCTGCGACATCTGAGGTTCTTGGTTTTGGTATGCCGTGTCGCGGTTCGAGTGGTTGAGAGAGAGAACAGGAAGGTAGATGAGGAGCGAAAAGGGAGTAAAAATGACACCCGGTGAATGGTGGAAAGCGATTTAAGTAAGGAACCCAGCAGAGCACAAAGGGACGAGAGAAATGGCAGAATGGACCGCACGATCCTCCCGTCGGAGCTTTATTGAATCCGATGCTCAAAATCCCCGGAGGCGACAGAAGGCATCGGCGTGCGCGCTTAGGCGTGCCTCCAATCTGCAGATCTTCACGCGGAGACTGCCGAGTTACTCCTACATGCCGACGCCCCCGGTCACTCGGTAGGCAGTCGGTCCGGAATAGTTGAAGTACTTAATCTCCCGAAGAGGGTCGGAATCGAATCTGAAACATAGTGCAAATCGGCAAATGGACACAAAATCTCAGGTTTACTTAGTGCCAACAGCGGAGCAGCGCTCTTGGAATTCGAATTAGAATTGGGGCACATCAGAGGTGTATCATACTCATAGAAATGAGAAGGGCTAACCGGTGTCTGGAGGGAACTGACTGACTCAGGGGTAGCAGGGGGGCAGAGGGGATGACCGACGGTCAGGGCGCAGAGCCGTTGAACTGCTGAGAACCAGGATGATGATCCCCTCCGCCAATCAGGCATAATCCTCGGTGTTATAAAATTCCCGAGCCATGGTGAGCGAATTAATCTCGGGAAGCACTTTACGCTGCGTGCGTTCTAAATCAATGCGCATATGGCTTCGAAGCATTTGAGTCATGAAAGGTCATGAAGGGAGAAACACATGTTCAAGCCTTGTCATATGTATTACTCGGCGGAAATCAGACAAATTTCTGCTGTCGGATACTGAGTAGAGATGAAGCAATGTCAATATGGCATGTCAGCCTGCTTGACGTCCATGACAGATGGTGCTTACGATCGTCTAAGTCACACCCGTCACGGCGTAAGTGTGACCCCCAAAATGTCTGCAGCAACACCATCCCGGACCCCACGATCCAACTTTACTCTCCAGGACGTATTCCTCGTGTCACACAGAACTCTTCGTCGCAGTCGGGGACCCCTCGTGCGCGCACAATGACACATCGCCCTCCGCATGCCTGGCCGTCTTACGTCCAGTCGTTCGCTCGCTCTCCTTATCGACCTCCATCTGCGCCAGGGCTCCATCGCGCGGTCTCTTCCCCTCGCAAGCGACGATTGCTGCTGATTCGACAAACATGGAGCGCACCGGCTGTACTCGATCCCTCTAATACATACGTCTTCTGAACTTTTGACGGTCCGTTCCAGCCGATGAAACGAAACATCAGACACGGGCCCCGGTCGACTCTTCGAAGTAGGTTCCGTGCATGACTCGGTGACGAACACACTTATCTATCGGTTCATGACGCTTCCAGGACTTTGGATCCAGGTGCCCGGTTGCCGCTCCCACGGAAGAACTCGCCGTTCAAGCTCTGGTCTAAGGCGAGTCGGCTGGCTGCGATATCGAGGCCCTTGAAGGACGTCGTCGACAAGTTGGCTGCGGATCCGGGAAGAGCGCATACAGTGCCTATCCAGGGCGAACTGGGGATAAACCTCCGCGTCGTAAGTGTCCAGATTCTGTGCGAGGCGACCCGGCTGCTCATCCTTTTCTCGGATCGTGTATCAGGAACTCTGTGGGGCGAGTGAGGTTTTGCAACGGAGCAGGGAAGCGGTCCTGAGGCGCAAGAGAATCTTGGATCGCCTCGGGAAGTCGCAAGCGGCATTCGAACATCTGGCTCAACTGGCGCTGCCTTTCTGTGAAGTGTGTCACCCTCAATTACAGTGATTTCGTTCAGCTCTTGGGTTGACCATCCCAAAAGTTGAATCCGATAACAAAAGCAATCACTGGTGCACTAGGTGTCATATATACCGTGCGTCGATTGCCACCCCGCCTTCTAGTTCCTTTTTCGAGGGATGCAAACCCCGCAGAATCTCAAAGACTTGCAAGACTGGGACGCCAACCTAGTCCAGCTTATAGACGACATGACCCAAGCTCTCGCTTACGTCCAAGACCTGCGGGCGATGGAATCGACGGCCCATCTCAAGCAGACTCTGATCGAATTCGACCACTCGGTCCAAGACTGTGCGGCTCTCAGTCTCATCGCAGATCAGGCCAAAACCGGTGCGTCCTGAAATTTCACTGCCGTTGTCGAGATGCGAACTGACTTTTTTCTGCTGTAAGGCTGGAAGGACGCGCTGACCGGCGCACATGTGACAGCGATGCAGGCTCTGTGCCGTCGCTTTGAGCGCTGGCGTGTTCAGTTTCACGTCAGTCTGCAGGTCGACATACGGTCCACGTTGAACGACATCACCGAACAACAAAAGAAGTTCTGTACGTACGATCCGCACACGCCAAAGTGACACACGCGTGCTGACGAAATATGTATTGCATTGTGCTGCCAGTCGAGAGGGAGCGCTGGAAGATTCTCGACATGATCCGGCCGCTGGAGGGCGCAGACGAGTGCCTCGTCTCCGGATGCATGGCAGGCACGCGCGAGCGCGTGCTTACCCGCGTCGACGCCTGGGCCCGGCGCACCGACGAGAAGAACATCCTCTGGATCACGGGCCACCCCGGCTCCGGCAAGAGCTGTGTCGCACGATCCGTCGCCGACCGGCTCGACGCGGACTACTCAGGCTCGGCCGCCTGCTTCTTCTTCTCCCGCGGGACAAGCTGCAATCCCATCACCGCTACGCGGGCGCTGTGCGCTGATCTCGCGCAGTCGCAGCCTGCCTTTGCGGATATCCTCAGCGCCCAGTTCACAGATAGCCGCTCCTCCACGATCAATTTCCGACTGGCCAAGGCCCCCGAGACGTGGAGCAGACTGATCCACACTCCGCTGGGTCGGTATGCGGAGAATACAGTGGACGACGGGCAGCGCACGCTCGTCCTTGTCATCGATGCCCTGGACGAGTCTGACGGCGTTGCGAATACACCCTCGGCGACTCCAGCGACTGGGTTCCTGGACGCATTGGCGACGTGGGCCACCCTGTCCACGTCGTTGCGACTCATCGTGACGAGCCGCACGCAGCACCCGATTCCCGAGGCACTAGAAGCGATCAGCGAGCGCCTGGATCTTTCGGCTACCACGGCCGACGAGACGTGGCGCGATATTTACCACTTCTTGACGGCGAGCCTCCAGCGGATCCGCGCGGAGTTCCTGCTCCCCCGCTCGTGGCCGCGCGAGGCTGACATCGACCGGCTCGTGGATCTGGCCGGCGGGCTGTGGGTCTGGGCACACACGGTCGTGCAGCTGCTGTGGACGGTCGAGGCCGAGTCCGTACTGCGCCGCATTCTGTCTGTAGGCATCGCAAAGGGGGGGCAGATATGGGAGCTGTACCGCACCGTGCTGCTGATCGCGTTTCCCCGACAGCAGGAGGACGGCGACTGGGGCCCCGCGTTTCTGGAGGACTACGCGCGCCTCGTCGGCGCCCTCGCGTGCTTCCCTGGTCGCGTGGCGCGCCGCGGCTCGCCGTTGCTCCGCATCCTGCGTGTCAACCGGCCCACGCGCAAGTGGATCGTCCAGCAGCTGCGCCCGGTACTCAAGGACCACGCGCAGTATCTGGCATTCGAGCACCGCACCTTCGTCGAGTTCCTGACTCGCTCTGAGCGGTGTCCGGAGGAATTGCGCATCGACAGCGCTGTTGCAGCTAGGATGATCGCGTGCGCGATGCTGGATGAGCTCAGAGCGAGTCTGCGATTCGATGAAACATGCTTCAAGTCTTCGAGGAGGGAGAACAGTCCCCGAAGTACGGATATTTCCGAGGAGTTGAAATTCGCAAGCTTGTAAGTACTGGGCTGAGGGGTTACCCGCTTTGCTTGATCCGGATGATGAAGATCAGTTCTCGGGACTGATCCGCGATTTCTTGATGACGAAGTTCCTCTTTTGGTTGGAGGTGCTGAGCTTGTGCGGGCGGATGGAGAGAGCGCTTGTTCAATTAGAGAGTCTGAAGCAGGCTTTACGGGTGTGCATTTCTCACTATGGTACTCGCCAGTCGGTGATTCCCCTGCAGAAAACTCGATGGCGACTCGACGCTCTCACGGTTCCACCAAGCACGTGGTCAATGTTGGATTTCATCGACGATGCGCTATCGTTCGTCGAATGCTTCATGCCATGCGTGAAGCGCAGTGCCCCGCATATCTACCTCTCCTCCATCTCCCTATGCGATTTGACCTCAAGGATACACCAAACTTACGCGCCCTCGCTGGCGCGCTATGCCCACGTGACAGTCCAAACCGCGCACGATCTCCGAGATGGCCGTGACGAGACATTGCAGGATGTGATCCACGTCCCAGACGTGTCGGACGACGTGCTGTTGCTCGAGGGCCACGCGGACCGCGTCATCGGTGTCGCGTTCACCGCCGCGGACGAACACGTGGTATCCTGCTCGGCGGACGGGTCCGTGCGGTTCTGGGACCCGCTCACGGGCAGGCCGATATTGACGCCGTTCGTCGAGGAGGGTGCGGCACGGGTGTGCGCGGTATCGCCGTGCGCGGTGTTTCTTGGTGCAGGCTTCGTGAATGGAAAGGTGAGGGTCTGGGATTTGGACGCCCACGCGCCAATCGCCTCGTTCGACGTGCATGCGTCGCCTGTGGTAGCCTGCGCTCTGTCCGCGGCGGGCGGGCGCGCCGCCGTGGGGCACAGAGACGGGACGGTTCGGTTTTGGAACGTCACAGAGCAGTCCGAGTATCGGCAGCCTTTCAGCTCCGGTTCGAGCGTGCGCATCTCCGCCGTGGTGTTCGTGGATGCGCACACGTGCCTCTCTGTGCAGGGTCACGTCGTCACGCTGCACCGCGCTGACGGTCAAAGCCACGTGATTCTCCAACATGCGAAGGCATTACAAACGGTGGCCCTCGCTCACGATCCTCGCCGTCTCATCGCTACGACGTCGACGAACCAAGTCGTCGTCTGGGACATATCGGATTTAGACAGCCCGAGCGACGGGATGGAGCTGCCGGCCGGGATCCCGAACGACATCCACTGCGTCGCCGCGCACGCCGATCTCCTCGCACTCGGCATCAGGGACACGATCCAAGTGTGGGACATCCGCCTGGAAAAGCCCGTCCTGGGCTCCCTGGCGGGCCATTCCGGGCGCGTGACCGCCCTAGCTTTCTCACGTGACGGCGAGCGCCTGCTGTCCGGCTCCCAGGACCGGTCGATCCGGGTCTGGGACATCAGCACGCCAGATGCGACGAGCGTGCAGGGCATCCCGAACGACGCGAGGATGGACTCGGAGGGGTGGATCGTTTCGGGGAGTGATCTGATCGTGTGGGTGCCGCCCCATCTGCGACGACGACTCTGCTGGGGCCGCACGAAGGCGGTGCTCGGCGGCCGGCCGGCCGCAGTGATCGAAGTCGTCCCGGAGCTGATCGGGAGCAGATGGCACAAATGCTGGCTGGGCAAGAATAAATAAATAGACGACGGGGTATCATTATATTGAACTGCCATGGGATCGGCAGGGAGTATGTATTCGATTCGAGCGTTTAGAGTCCCAGTGTGAGAGCGACGGTGTGCGCCGCGCCGGGCAACGTGACGCGGAACACCATGAACTGATTATCGACGTCCTCTCCGGCGTCGTACGGCACACCCAGCGAGACACCCTGGGTCGTCAGGAAATCGTTGTCGCTCTGGTAGTAGTAGTTTATGCACGTCAGCGTTTCCTCCATGAACCAGCTACCCAGGGACGCACAGCAGTGAACAAAAAGTAGTCGTCCGGGGCCCGCGGATCGCCGACCGGCGCCAGCGCGAGACTCTCCCACTTGGAGTCCGGCAGCGTGTTGTCGTCGGGGTCGCCCGTATGCAGCCCGAAGCGCGCGAGGTCTGTCGCGTTCACGTAGTTGACGAACCCGACGTACGTAACGGGCGTGATCGCGGGATCGAGCACGCCGCCGGGCGCGACGGGGAACGCGGGCGAGTCGAAGCGCGTGCCGTGGATGTCCGTCGCGTTCACGATGCTGAACAGATCCGCTTGTCTGAATTTTCACCCCAGTCAGGTGTGTGCACGAGACATCGACTCGGACGCACTTGTACTTGAATTTCGTCCCGCTGCCGCCATGCCCGTTCCCATCCCTAGACAAACACAGGAACACGCCGTCGCTGACGAGATGGATCTCGCTCGTCGCCTCGACTTTCCCGTTGCTGATCACGGGCAGCAGAAGCACCCATTCGCCCACGAGTGGGATCGTCCCGGCAGCAGCATTCGTCAGGTCGTATGCAAATAGCCGGGTGACCTGCCCTGCGCCGTCCTGTACAGTTCCCGATTGCAGCACCGCGTAGAGAATGCGCTTGGCGAAATCGAGCGTTAGACCTTCGAAGCCTGGGTACCTGTTACACACAAAACCGCAAAAAAGAAAAACGAGAGAAACGTGCCTTGATTGCCTTGCCGCCCCGTATCCGGATTCGTCTCTGACGTAAAGTTGAGCGTTCCATTGATCATCGGGAGGATCGCCGCGGGGGGTTGAATCGTCTGGATGAGGCTGCCATTCGCCGCAAAGTGGTAGATGTACGGGCCGTACTCGTCGCTCGTCCAGAACCTGCCTATTCTGAACGCGCCCTGCGAGCAGCTGAGCACGGCTTTTCTCACAGTCAGTCGAACCCGGGGGCACGAACGTGCGCACAGATCACACGAAGAAGTGTGTGCGGGTTGTCGCAAATGACATGCGCGTAGACAGGTATCTGCAGGTGTAAGATGGACGTAGCGTGCTCTGCTCAGATGTCGAGAAAAATGAGGTGGCTTCGGAAACAGTTGCCTTGCTTGTCAAGGCACTCTCCAGACCCTATATTCCACGAATCAGATGCAATAGTTCCGTATGTTGATCCGATCATGTGCCTATGCGAAATGCCGCTTCATGTAATTGTTCCAGAATCTGATCCGATCTGATTCTGCTTACTCTTGTAAGTATGTACGCATGCGTCTGCCGTGCTTTCATTTCCGCTGTGCGCTCTTTGGCGTGAGTCCGGCACAACACCGTGGTAGGTTGTTCCAAGCCGCGTCGTCAAGTACATTCCATGGGAAGGCTGGTTTATGTATACAGGGGCGTTTCTTTTGTATGTGCATTGGCTATCTGCTCCTTTCCGTTCATTCTACTTGTACATTCTCACTCTTACCTCTTGATTTGAAATCAACCGTAGTGTACCGTAATCGAGTAGCAAGGCATGATGTCGGCTCCGCCGACACTTTCTAGTCTGAGAGCGGAGACAGAAGGAGTCTAATGATGGGATCACTGGTGTGATTGAGGAAGTCTCATGATCAGTTTGTCTATATAAAAGTATCACGATGGACGCCATTTGCGGACACACCGTGAAACCAATATAGCACCGAAAGATTATTTGATCTCTTTCAAACAATCAGGTGTAAAAGGCAGAAGCGAAATGTTACGGTTTTGGTATCAGTGCGGTTTCGACCTGTCTGAACACACTTTGAAGTTTGGATGCAGCGCCACGTGAGCAACGATGACGACATCGCCTTGCTAGCCCTATCAGGGTGCTATGCCATTGGTGCACGCACGGTATGGGACTACTCAAGAACTGGTTAGGAGCCTTTGCATCAACGCTAATTCGAATGTTCTCAACATTTCTCGGTTGCTTCTCTTCGTTGTAATCCTTGAAGAGTGGTGGCAATTCACCTTCGGTAAAGCCGGGGCAGTCATATTACAAGTCCAGATCCATCCCAGGATATCGACCTCGGGTATGCTTACTAGTAGTACTACAGATTAATCAATATACGGTCCGCGTTCCGATCTACTGATAGGATGCTCCATTGCCAGCGCCGGCCTCCCTCCGCGCCTCGTACTCGCTCTCGCCCACATCGTTCTGCGGGCGGTTTCCCATCTGCGTGGGGCTGGTGTATCCCATCGCACCACCGTCGGCAGACTTGTAGTCGTGCACGGGCGGCCCGCCAGCGAGGTACGTCGGCGGCTGGTTCGTGTTATTCCCGCTGTAAGCGTTGGGCCCCCGGCCAAGGTCCGACGGTGCGTTGGTTGTAGAGTCTGGAGCAGCAAGTCAGTCAGGTAGAGGGTGCACAGAGTGACGGGGTCGACTTACTCTGAGCATACTCAGCGCCCTTGGGCGGGGCGAATCCCGTCGCGTTCGTCGTGGCCTCCGGGTTAGCGCCATTGATGCCGCTTCCCCACCCTGCCCACCAATCAGTCCTCGATCCAAGTCCTCTCTGTCCGGAGAAGAACTTACCTTGGAGCGACTCCCCCGGCCCGTTGTTCACCCGCGCTCCAGCAAGACCCTGCTGGCCGGCGTAAGCACGGCCCTTGATCATGGAGATACCCTCCTCGATCTCCATGCGGCCCTTGCGCACCATCTCGTCGTTCGCCGCAGAGTCCCGGCGCTCGACGGCGTCGATCGCGCCCATCGTCGTGCCGCGGATGGTGTCACCCAGTCCCTGCGCGACTTTGGCGCCGCCTCTGAACAGATGTGAGCATGACGAACGACAGCGGTGGGTGGATGGATGCGTACTTGAACTTGGTGCCGATGCTGACTTTGGTGTTGGGTGCATCGGAGTTGTTGTTGGTCATGTTCGTATTCGTGGTGGCAGACATGATTTGATCGTGAAAAGATATGAGAGTGTGAGAGTGTGATGTAGGTATGAATCTCGCTGAGATGCAGCGACAGGTTTTATAGTCCCATTCACTCTGCGGCGCAGCATGCTATGACGATCGATGACGACAGGCGGAGCAGGTCTTGGCGTGTGACGCCACAAACGGAAATTCCCGGACTCCTCCGGCGGCTTCCGGGGGCCTTCACGTGCCAGGGTTAACGCCGTCGCCGCGGAATCAAATTGAACTTCACCATAAGTCGGAGGTAATCACAGTGGCACACGAGGAAAATGCGTTCGATGGAGTGTGTCCCAGCTGTGGTGTCCTCACGCCTTCGGCCCTCCCACACCCTTCACTCTATTTAGGTAAGGGGCGTCCAGGGTATATAATAAACGTCCGCTTCGAATATCGCGTCTGCCGAACAAGCGTCTGCTTCTCGACCCCTCATGCTCGCTCTGCTGCACAGGTCCGAATTTTTGTTGCTCGACTCCTGCCGCGGTCCATCGAGCTGATCTGTCCGGCCAGCTGCTTCATTCCCTTGGCTTTCAGCTTACTGGTTCATGCCACCGTCTCTAATCTACAAGCCCCGATCGCTGCCGTCTCTGGCGGCAGTATAACCGTGACTTGGGCGAACGACGGCACCGATAGGTGGGCCGCAGTCGATTTGTTTCTCATCACTCACCTCCGCAGCCAGCCGCTGACCTTGGCGCTCTTTGGCGCATTTGTACGTGTTGCTTCTTTGTCTTGCCCCCGCCCCCCTCCCGCCACTACGGGGTATATTCTGATAATTTGGATCCAATGCAGAACGGTCCTTTTGCTATTGCCAACGATGTCGACCCGCTACAAGACACCATGACTGTCGCGCTGCCCCCTGTCCCTCCGGGGTACGCACTCGATCTCCCGCGGCATGAGGAGATGCAGCTAACGCATCCGCAGTTCGCAGTACACCCTCGGCCTAATCAGCATGTCGAACACCGCCAATGTCCTGGCGACCAGCCCTGCGTTCGAGATCTATTCTCCGGGATCGACGCCGACAGGGGCCAAAGTCACTCCGTGCGTTTTGCGTCCTCTTAGAGAGACTGAACCGGGGCTGATTCCCAGCAAAGATCTCCGGCAGTGATTCCGACGCCGGTTCTGACCACTGCCACTGCTGCTGCCACCACTACTGCTGCTACCGCCACAATGGTCACGACTGGCGGCGCGGCTGCATCGTCCGCTACGGGCAAGCACTCGTTCTCGGTCATCTCTTTCACGGAAACGCAGCGTGTGACTGTTACTAGCTTTGGACCTCAGCCTAGCACGAGCCGGGGAGACCGAATGCAGTTTTTTCCGACGGTATGGATGACTGCGCTGGTCATCTGGCGTGGGCTAGCACTAGCGTACGCTGTAGTTTAGATGAGGCAGCTATGACGTCATTGCCCCCAGCCCTTATCTAAGCGAGGCTCTTGTTCTCGCACCCTAAGAGGACTTTCCGACCAGTAATTCACAGGTTGCTCAGACGCAAGATCACCTCTGTTCACGATGCATCATCGAGTAGAGAACGACTTCCAGTCGCCAAAGTCTCCCCTCTAAGCCCGCGAAGTCGCGGTCCCTTATAATTACGGAATCGGCACTCAGGCTATCCAGTCTTCCCTCTCCCACCCACGGTACTCACACGACGATGCCACACGCACTCCTCCGCGCCCTCCGCGCCAAAACCCCCGCGTTCGGTCTCTGGCTGACGGCCCCCGGCTTCCTGCACACCCGCACAGCCGTGCACGCCGCCCCGCGCGGCGTTCTCTCCTGGGTCGCCCTCGACTGCGAGCACGGCGTCGTCCCCGGCTCGGGTGCCCAGCTCGCTGAATCGATCGCTGCGGTGCACCTCGACGACGGCTCGGGCGGAGTGCGGCCGAGTGCGGTGGTGCGCGTTGCGGCTCTGGGGAGCGATGCACGTCAGGGCGGCGTGGGGTGGCAGGTGAAGCACGCGCTGGATGTGGGTGCGAGGGGCGTCATAGTGCCCATGGTGTGTCCCACTGTCGCCTACCCGTTAAACCTTCCCCGAATCGCGGGTGACGCCGCTGCCAGGTGTCCACGGCCGACGAAGCGCACGCGATCGCCAGATGCGCGCGGTACCCACCCCGCGGCCGGCGCGGCTTCGGCAGCCCCTACACGCATCTCATGTGGGGCCAGCCCTCCGCGGCGGACTACCTCGCAGGGGCGGACGGCGCGGTGCTGGTGATGGCGCAGATCGAGACGCGCGAGGGCGCGCAGAACGTGCGTGCCATTGCGTGTGTCGATGGGATTGGTGGGTGCCCGTCCGTTCCTGTGCCGGCGATGTCGGCTCACTTGCGTTCCACGTTATAGACGTGCTGTTCGTTGGCCCGTACGATCTGTCGATGGCGTTGGGATTCCCACCGCCGAACCCGGACCCGCATCCCGAGGTCGAGAAGGTCATCCAGCAGATTCTCGCAACCAGTCGCCGGGAAGGAAAGAAGTGGTGCGTTGCTCACCAACCAGCCTCTGCTCGTGCTAAGCCTTGTCTTCCGCAGTGCTATTTACTGCACGAACGGAGCGCAAGCTGCACAGCGTGCGAAGGAAGGATTCGACATGGTCTGTGCTAAGTCTGCTGTTTCGCGTCTGTTTCTCATCGGAGAACATGTGCATTTTACGCAGATCAACGTTCTGAACGACGTTCGAGCCTTGTCGAGCGCTATCGAGCAGGAATTGCTGGTCGCAAGTGGCAGCAAGAGTGGAGGGACCGTCTGAAATGTCCGGTCTCTAAAAATGGTCCTGTTTCGCTCGCAAACCCATGATCGTGCTCGACATGTCGTACCAATACTGACCAATGGCTGAGTATCTGTAACACTGCCGAGTATGACTTGTTTGGAACATCTTTAGTGCACGGCAGTCTCAGCTGGGTTGCCACTTGGAGATTGACACCCAAGTTCTAACTTTTACAGTTACACATACATGAAACGAGGCGGCCACGAGAATTTGCAGAATGTCGCCGGACCAGTGGGTGAGCGGCATGCAGAGCAGAAAACAACCGGCAGCATCAATGCATTGAGACAGGCTATCAATCCTGACTTGGAAGTCGGACTTCCCGCGCCGAGGATAAAAGCCATACCCTCGTTCCTGGAAAGGATGAAAAATTAACCAGCGTGCCCCAGAGCACAATCGTGTTTGTGCATTAAGGGGGAATCGAACCCCCGGCGGGTCGATACGACGTACTTATGGCAACGACCCAGGTTACCACTACCCCATTAATGCGGTGACAGATAGTAGGGGAGGAAAATATATCCGTGCGGGCTCTGAATGCTGCAGCCGAAACCCTTAATTATTATACAATTGGATCAACAAAGTCGGCCACCAAAAATCCCGGAGCACTCGTTGAGTCGGCTGAACGAAACCCGCGGCAAATCCGATTCTCAGTGCTCGACAGAAAAGTCGAGAACAGGACATCCGTCCTTTCTCCGCTGAGCGTCTCGGAATCGTATTCGGACGAGCCGCTCAATGCGGGGTCCCGGATGTTCAGCATGAGGCGCGAGATCATGACTGAGGAGATGCTATCGGCAGGGCAATATGAGCGTCGCGAAGAATTTGAAGGAAAGGCATCTGCATACACGTTCATGAAGGTCGTTGCTACACCGCGGGTGTAGTCCTGCAGGGCGATAAGAATGCATGGGACGCTCAGTTTGGGTTATCGGATCCCACCTTTCCTACCTGGGGGACAAGTTTAGAGTATGAGCAGCTGGCCTACAAATGCTACGCACGATGTACGTCATGATATTACACAGATTCGTGATGACCATGACCCTAGTACAAGATTAGCTCGGCGACGGAGAGCCATCGGCGACGCGCACCCGAAATAGATCGACCCGTCTCGGAGTAAAACAGAAAGCAGCGAAAGAGCACCCCCGTTCGATCGGCGCCTAAACTGCAGCGCGCGGTGAACCGTCAGAAAGAAGATAATGATGTCGAACACGCCCATGGATCCCCACGCGTAAATCAGTCCGATACCCCTGTCAGAGAAGCGGAGCTCAATTATACTTGGGTCGCATAGATCGAGGTCGCACAGTGATACGCACTGCTTATGGTCGATTTGATAGTTGCAGCCAATCAGCAGTGGCAGATTCGGCTGGCGCTCCTTGGGGCTGCCGAGGAAGACCGTGCCGTACTGGGGGGAGGGAGCGGGGTGAGATGGGTATCATCAGCAATGTAGTAGTCGAGCAATGCGCACCACACCGCAGACGATGACGCCCACGCCGATGAGCAGGAGGAAGCACAGCACCAGGCGGTTGCGTTCGTACAGCGCGTACGTCCGAAGGATGAGCAGGACTGGGACCGGGCTGATATAAGCAACGTGGGAACCCAGCGACGCAGTGTATGGAACGCACCTCCGACAATGATCTGCGAGACGACGATGAAGTACTCGTGGTACGTCTCCAGCGCCTGACATCTTAGTTTCTCCGCGCGTCAGCCTCGACATCCCCTCGATAAACGCGAAATCGGCCGACGTACATCTGCATCGTCGGACAAGTGAGTGAGCAAGTCATTAGCGCATGCAGAAAGGCGAGACGCACTGATTCTTTGCCCTCAGTCGGCTCAGTCGTCCAGAAATACTGGATCACCACGGGGATGTTGCCCAGGAGCGTGAGGTAGCGGTTCGCGAAGAACAGAATCGATGCCCCGTTCCATCGCCTCTGCCCGCGCGTAAGCAGGGTCCAGTACCGCGCGACTTCAGCCGGGAGCGTCAGAAAGTAATCGTAGAAAAGGATCGCTGGGAAAAGCAAGTGAGATCGCGCAAAGCAACGATAAACACGGGCGCGCAGACGCACTAAATGAGATGGCGTTCAAGTAGTAGCTCGAGTTCCTGTGGGGCTGTGTTCGCCAGGGGACGCTACCACCAAAAGAAGAGGACGCACAGCTCAATCTGAATCTGTGTGGCACTCATAGAGCGAGGCCAGACACAAACATCGGCCGTGCCAGGCGAAGTCGTGGAAGAGAAGCAAGAAAGAAGGTGGAGGGAACGCACCGGCTGATTTGTCCCCTAACAGCAGCCTTCCCAGGGGCTCGATTCAGTCCCCACCAGACCCCGAGTCCGCCGCCCAAAATTGCAAATCATGATGGAAGGAGGCAGTCTGACAGACAGACAGACGCCAAAACGTCAAGGTTCAGCGTGCATTCTGACAGATGGCTGGAGCTCGACTGACGGAATCAGAGCGATCTCTGCCACGCGAGGTGTATGATAGGCGGGAGCTCTACATCCAAGGAGGACGAGGGAATGCCTGGGAATGCGCGGCTTCGACTGAGGCAATTATCGTGGAAGAAAGTCACATGTTGATGTGACTGTGGCAGGGCACTGTCCATCGCAAGTGTCACGTTATCCTCAGTTTGCTGAGACGATATTCTCTTCCGCTGGGAATCTCAGTTGGGTAGAAGATTAGTTAGATCGTCTCAACCGCAGTCACCAGCACTAGGAATCCCCTCAAGATTTCACTCTATTTCATAAATGCGCAAGGGTCATAATTTGGAACTTGACTACTTGCAAGGATCAAGCTCATCCAGTCAGATCCAGCCCGGGTTCCTCCGGACCTGACGATCAATGATCTGCCGTTTTTCTCACATCTGCCACCATCAATTGCCGGGTGAAAAATTCAGGCTGTGCGTTTGAACACAGATTTATCATATTCCTTTCCTTCCTCTGCGGAATTCGATCCGACATGATTTAAGATTGAGAACTTGGTCATAATCCATCCACAAGGCGTGCTTTAAAACTGGTAATTCTGCCCAAGCGGCAATCACCCGCTGAACCGTCGTCAGTATGCGTGATCGTTCGTGGGCGTCTCGTCTGATTCTGCACTCTGCATCCAATTATTTCTTCTCTTCATTCGAGGCAGCCTCCTTAGCCCGGATCCACATTCCATCCTGCCATCCGGTCCATTTTCAGCGCTGTACAAAAGAGCATATGAAAGCACACCACTTACAGCAGCATACATCGTCAGGTGTACTTTCGGCCGGAACCGATCCGTGCCCCTGCGTCGTGCGGTGCCCCGGCTGGCCGTCTTCCACTCAGTAGGCACGTGCGCCTCGGGGGCCCACGCATCTTCCTCCGCGAGCGCGAAGCTCTCGAAGGCCTGCAGCAGGCGCACGAGGACGAAGGACATCTCGTTGTACGCGAACTGCTGGCCGAGGCAGATGCGCGGGCCCGCGTTAAACGGGAGGAACGCGAAGGTGTTTGCGAGGAGGGAGGATTTGAGCCGCGCGGGGTCGATGAAGCGGTCGGGGTCAAATTCTTCCGCTGCGAGGAGAGTTTGGACCAGTCAAGTGTGGAGAGGAGAGGTAGTCTGACCGTCGTTGCCCCACAGATCTTTGCGGCGATGCATCAGGAATACGGAGTATGGGCATCTGTGGGCCGTTCAGCAGACTGGATGAGCCATGTTGGAAGACTGATGCGCACTTGGTTTGGGCCGGGATATAGAGCGGTTTTTCATTTGGATCGGGTGATGGCCAGGTCGTCGCGTTGACCGAATCCCTGTCAAAGGGCCATCAATTTCACGACGGGACTTTGATACCGTCCAGGTGAGTCACCTGATGTTAAACGGCCTGTCGGTGATGCGCCATCAATAAGAGTTTTGTTCGAGTGTCAGGTTGACTCACACAGAGGGATATAGCCGCATCGACTCTGTTTGATCATGGTCACAAGATATCCAGCTGCAGCAGGGAGTGGCGCACCGTTGATCACGGCACGGAGATACTTCATATTCTTAACGTCATCGTAGGTCGGCCGCCGCGTCGGGCCGACGTATTCCAGGACCTCTGCTCGCAAACGAGCACAGACATCAGGATACATCGAGAGGCTAATCGACACCGGCTATCAGATTGCTCGAGGACAGAGAGAAGGCGTTTGCGTACAAGTAGATGACCATCGTCGTGACGTGCATTGTCGTGTCGCGTCCAGCTGGATACTGCGTCAGAGGGTGGTCGGACACGAAGGGCTTGTGACTTCACCGAGCAGGATGTTCAAGGTTTCGTCTTTGAGAACCTTGGGATCTGTTGCACCACTCATCAGCGTTCTATTCAGGAGCTAAGTTCGAGCAGATCCGCACCGTCAGTGGATACCAAAAGCTCATCGAGAAGCGTCGAATCTTCATTCTGATCGCCATCCACGGCCTCCCCCGCCCCCCGCATCTGCTTTTTCATCCTCTTCCGCTCCACAGCAGCCTCAATGATAGGATCCAGGAACGCGCTGACGACTGCCATGGGCGCCGCCGTCTTGTCCTCCCACATCTCGAACAGCGGCCACACATTCCCAAGGACCTCGCGCTCGGAAATCGCGTGCATCGCCGCAGCGAATGCGTCCAGAAACGCATTCGCGACCTGCGCGGCCTCGGACGGCTGCGGGAACGCACCCACGTTGTGCGCGAACGGCACGTCGGCCTGCAACGAGTTTACGCACGTGCCGAAGAGGAACTCAGTCGCCGAGTCCATCGTGAACCGCCCGATGAGGTCCTGGAAGTCGACCGCGTAGCCCGCGCGTAGCCGCGTTCTGAGGATGGATATGACGCTATTTGCGTGTGCGTCGAAGATCTCGAAGTGGCTGATGCGATCCCGCGAGAAGTAGGGCTGTGAGCGTGTTAATTGTTTACGTGATCTGATAAGCCAGGAGACGAAGCGCTGGACGTACGCGGGTAAGCGTCCGGTGGAACTTCCACATTTCGCCGTCGGAGTTGAATACCCCGGACCCGAGGACACTGTTCATCTCCTGCTGGAATCGCTCGCCTGCAAATGAATTGATGGGCAATGAGATGCGCTCGGCCTCCGCGGGACACACGACAGACGCGCCTTTCTCGTAGTTGTTGAAATCTGTGGCCAGAATCTGCTTGATGTGGTCCGGGCTTGTCTGCATTGACGAGTGGGACGCTGTGTCATCGAGCCATTCATTCAACGAGGACGACTCACCGTCAGGATGTTGTCCACCCAGAGCACTCGCACGTTGATTACCGGGCCGAGCTCTTCGACCCATTCTGCGAAGCCGTCACCTGCGCGGCGTCTCCTTAGCGCCTACCTAATCCAATACTGGGAGAGGGCACTGACCGGGATACCCGTGCACCCGGGCATGGCGCAGCATGGTGAGCAAGTCCAAGTTCGCGAAGCGCTTCCCTTTGACCACAGGAACCGGCCGCGCGCCGAGCGCCCGCGCCTCCCGCCGCTGCCGCCACATCTTGCGCTGCACGAGAAACACCATCGACAGCGGGTACGCAAGAAGCGTCAGCAATATCGTCGTGGGAGCGCGGAGCCGGAGGCCCGTGAAACGATTGACGGCGTAGTGCACAGCGAGAATGAGCAGGATGGGTCGGCCCACGAACCGGGCGAGGAGGTGGGCGAGGAATCTGACTCCGGGAGTCGGCATTGTTATTCGGTGTAAGGTAGAGTGGTGGGTCTGCAAACGAGAGTTAATGCTCGTGGGAACTTGTGGGCCCGGGAAGTCATCTTCTCGTTGCCCGGATACGCGGAAATGCGGAGTACGGAAGTCGTAAACCGTTTGACGAAAAACAGGCCGGACCCATCGTCAAGTGACCCCCCGGGATCTCCATTACCAAGGCACGAGATGTGTTCCTGTGAGCCTCGGGCGGCCGGAGTCGAGACGGGTATCGATCGGAAGGTCAATCGTGGGCTAACGAGGACGATTGAAGCCAGACATGAGTGATCTGCGTGATCGGGTTGATCCGACCCTGTTCAGGTAAGATTGAATCCGCTCAGGTGATAATACCAACTGCGATATCAGTGTCCGCTAGTTCTTGCTCCCGGTCACTTTCGAAATGGGCTTCTTAGCAGTGTTCTAGATGTGCTAAGAAATCTTGTTCCTCGGTCTTCCTGGTTTCTATTTTAGCTGGTATGCGCAGCTACTTCAGATCCTCTAACAGTACTAGCCGAGGCGCCCAGTATCACGTGCGACACTTTCAGGGAAGTTGAACGGGATCACAGTTGAGCAGAGACTCGAATGTCCACGACGGAGTGACTGTCAAAATTTTCATGACAGCCTGAAATCTGAAATGAATCAGTTCATTCTACAATTATAAGGTAAATAGTTGGGATGCATCAAGTATTCGAAAGTCGGAGCCCAGAGATGACGTTTCTTCCGACTCCGACAAAGAACTTCTTCCACTGATCACCGCCCCGCAGCCAGTAGATAGATTCTGAAGGTATCTCAGACATGAAGTACTGAGAAGATGAGATGGCGAGCGCTTACCGGAGACGCGCCGGAGTTTCTTGAGCGCAATAAACATCTCCGCTCTCAGCCAGTAGTCCCAATCTCCCCGCACACCGCGCTCCCATTCCTCCTTCAAGTCATACACCTCCAACACCACGAAACGAGCATCGCAGATCTCGAGGGAGCGAACGTACTCTGCAGGGTTGAGCGCCCCGAACTCGCGCCACTGATTCGCAACGACACGCAGCTGATTGCACTCCCTAGTGATGCCACCCACCAGAGCGGGTGACAGCGGCCCAAAGAACGACAGATGCGTCAGATTGCCCAAGTGGCGTATCTCGCTCCACCCGCCATCAGCACCCGCCTCCCACGCGGCTGCCGACACGTCGTCCATGACCATGAGGTGCGTGAGCGCCCAGAACACCGGCCCGCTCGTGAGGGTCTCGAACGCAAACGCCTCGGTCAGCTGCCCGACGTGCGTCGCGAGGCGCCGCAGCTGCGGCATCGCCTCGAAGTACACAAGGAAGTCCCACCGCGCGGGGTACACGAGGACGCTCGCCGCGCGCGTGCACGTGTCGAAGATAGCCTGCGGCGAGCGCGGCTCGTACAGGAACAGATGCCGCATCGTCGCGCGCGTCGCGGCCGGGCCCAGGTCGCGCAGCTTCTCCCACGCCGCGGTGAACTGCTCGGCTGCCTGGCGTGCGTCGGTCGCCAGCTGCGGCGCGATGACCAGCGCGAGAGACGGGAACCATTCCGTCCTGGTTGTTCTGTTTCAGCAGTGGGAGCGGGAATTTGGGGCGAGCGGCAGGTACGCACTCCTGTAGCTCGCGTCCGGCGTATGCCTCTGCGAGGCTGTCCAAGCATATGTCGCAAAAATAATTGATTTGTTATCAGGCCTGACAAACTGATCAGGGTCTGACAAGGCGCGATAAGTTGTGATCAGGCAGCGGTCGGTCACTGATCAGATTGCTCAGGCCTGGTCAGTCATGGTCAGTGTCTTGTCAGACAATGTCAGCAATTGATTGCATGTTCTCAGATCTGATATTGGGTAATTAAGGAGATAGCCAATAAATCAATAGCAGACATGATGTACAGAGTTTAGGGCTCGAAGGAACTGAGTGGAGTCCGTCATGGTGGCCTGCGTCATTGTGCGCCAGGTGGCTGTGTCGTTTCTCCGATGTCACTTACCCGACAATCACACCTGTCACTACATGCACACGTAGACTAGTAGTAAAGTACCCACTCCGATTGTGGAGCAAGTAATGAGAAAGCCACCTGAGTTCAATTCCTACCTTGAGTTGCATATCCTGGCAAGCTTGAATCACATAGAACATTAATGAGCTAAGTAAGCAAGAAAGAAAGAAGGAAATGAATTCAGAAAGCTGTGAGGGGTAAGAAATAACAAGGAGGTCAGTGAGAAAATCCATTTTTGTTTGCCCCTTCCCAACCCCCACCCGACCATGGACTGACAACCAGATGATAGATTGCTGACTGCTGCCTGACCAGCGTCTGATAAGTACTGATTCGAGCTTTTCCATTGGCATCGGGGAACCGTCAGCCTGATGGTCTGACCGCTTGTTATCGGTCCTGCTCAGGAACAATAACAAATCAATTATTTTTGCGACATAGATGTCCCCGGCCGTCCAGCGGCATGCGGTATGCGTTATTGAAGGCTTGTCGGCAGTACAGAAGAGGGGTCCGGCCCGCCATTTCGGTTCGCTCAACACCGGGGATCAAGTTGTGAGAACGGGGTTCGGCGACGGTGTGCCATTTATGCGACAGCTATCCGAACAAAGGCGGCGGTGGCATGAGGAAAGCGCGGTGGCAAAGGAAGGGAATTATCAGGCAAAGCTCCGTACGCGTTATATTCAGAAAGCGTGTTATCATTCTGAACAATGGAGAGACAGGTGCGCTTTATCGTAAACGTGAAAGTCAGCACGAGGAGACTCACGTGAATATCACGCGCTGCTGCTTCATAGTTGATGGGGCACGTGGCATTCATGCAGATTCTCACCGACGTTGTGATCGCTGCAGCAGTCCATCCCGGCACCCTGGGCCGCGCAACCGCGTTTCTCATCTCCACCCACTTGTTCTGAAGCCCGGCGTTAATGAAGGTCTCTTGCACGTCTCTTGGCTGGTCAAAGTACGCCGAGATCACCTTTCATGTCTGCATCCCCATGGTGACACGTGGTGAGCAGGTGGGCGGATCGCATTCGAGCTGGATCCACTCGCTGTCAGTCGAGATGTGGGCTCGCAAGTGTTGTGACTTGAGATTGCCTGTATTGCTGGTTGAATCACCATGCAGATGGGTCTTGTGCATGAACTATGACCGATTTGAGACCCTTTCACATACATATAGACCAAACCCATGAGTTGTGTCTTCGATCTTCGCCTCTCCACTGACATTTACGGGCCCATGCATCACTCTCCTCCATCCTTCCAGACGTGTAAAACCTCGCTATCCGCCGAAGGGCGCACAATCTCGGGATCCTCCGAGCATCCAGCCTCAGGACCCGTCCGATCAGCTCTCCCAAACGCGAAAAACACGGTGCAGAGACGGGCTGCACATAATGCTGTCGAACGTTCTCGCAGGAAATCACTGAATGCACAGTTTCAAGTCCGTTCAGATGTTTTCTTTTTGTTCAATCCAAGGAAACCTCTGACCGATGTTACAGGATCTCGCGGAGCTCCTCCCGAACCTACGCCAGCTGCGACGCCCGACCAAGTCAGCCATCGTGGACTCGTCCATCGCACACGTGCGCGCGTATCGCCGCTATCGAACGAACGCAGCGCACCAGGTCCGCATGCTCAGTGCCGAGCGCGACGAGCTGCGCCGGGAGCTGGAGGGCTGGCGCTCACGGGCCGGCGTGAACTGCGTCGAATCTCCGGACAGGGAAGCCGAGTGGGTGGAGAGATTCGACGAAGGGTTTGGATCTCAGGTGTTGGTCCACAGAGATGATCGCGACGATAAGATGACCGGCTACATTCATTCATGAAGACAGAAACTCCACACATTTGCTAACCCTCGGAGACTGTTGTCTCGACACAAGTGGACCGAGTCTTCATGCAGCTTGAGAGGGCGCATTATATACCCATTTTTTTTATCAATGAATCTCCTACTCTTACGCACCGATTCATATGCCCCATACCCGTCAAACCCTACTACATCAACAATATTATAAATCCAGAAACGATTTCCCTCGCCCATAGTCAGCGTATGTGGTCCTCGCAGTCCAACTTTTGCCGTCTTCGGAAGAAAGTCCCAGAAGGTACGGATTATTCAATGCCGATGTACGCACATTCTCCTCCATGTTCTTGCACAACCACCACGCGAGGTTGTACGTGATGATTAGCCCGTGCTCGCAGTTCCCAGGGATTTCACAGTCGAATTTGCTCGAGCCAATCTGATAAGCTCGTCAGACAAAGGCGCGCAGGACAGCTAGCGGTCTAGGCATGTGTATTGAGACCTCCAGATCGCCATGACCTCAACTCCGCAGCGCCGGGGTTCCCGCACTGTCGACCACGTCCGCGAACGCGAGCACCGCTAGCACGTTGACGCCCCCCGGCCCAGGCTCGGACGACCGGAAGCGGACTGTGCTGGGACCCGGAGTGGTGCGGATCGGCGAGGGTGTCGATATTCCTGCAGGGTGGCCTACCGGCCAAATCTTCGCCGATGTGCACTTTGATCGCGCCTGTGCGACGATGGCGTCGGCGTAGCATTGGTTGCAATGTACCGCATTGACCTGTACCGGGGTGAATACATTGGTTGAGGGCGCAATGAGGCAGTTAGTAGCGGTGCGGAACGTACAGGAAGCTGTACGTCGCAGATGAGTTGCATTCCAGACACCGGGTCGTAGTTCTTGACAGCCTTCAGCATCATCAGTCCTTAGATCTTGAAGATGAGCTGCTTTCGACTCACCTGTTGGCTATGTCGCAGAAGCTTCGTCATAATAAGGTCCTGAAAAGGCCAGAACCCAAACACTCTTTATATCATTGCCAAGCACACAGCAAAGCGCAGGCCGCATTGTGTACTTTGAGGATTTTGTTTCTTGTCAAAGGTTACAATTCGTCCGGGATCATTGTTTTCTAATGACTCGCTTTCCCTGGTGATCATGATCGTGTCAGGGCGCACGGATCCTAGAAATGAACGAGGGACATAGTGCGGTCAGAGATGACCAATCTGATCCAATTTGGTCCGGCTTGGTTTTTGTGACCATGATGTCACACTGACCGCGGCATCTCAAGGCATGCCATTTTGGTCAGGGTCCGCATCGCATGTAAACACAGATAGGATTCTCTTCCATCAACCATCTCCAATTTCCAAATGGGTAACTCTACCGATGCTCCTCACGCTCTGCCTCTCGCGGAATCTTCGCTCTGTACGCATGGGCTGATCCTCCGTGTGCATCACTCATATCGCGCCTGCAGTTAATGCCTCCGATGCGGATGTTTCCTTCATCTCCTCCGATCGCATCCTCTTCCGCGTCCATCGAAAGAATCTAGAGGTGTGCGCGGAGGGATTCCCGCCGTGTGATGTCGCGCCGCCGGGCTCGCAGGAGCTCATCCCGCTGGAGGAGTCGTCTACGACACTTGAGTTGCTGTTCCAGTTCGTCTACCCCCGCCGCCACCCTGGGCTCGACACAGTCAAGTTTGAGGTTCTTGCCCCACTCGCCGAGGCGGCGGAGAAGTACCAAGTGTTCCCTGCGATGAACATTTGTCATTTTCGACTCCGGTACGTGTCCAAGCACACGCCCTGCGACCGTCCACACTCAAAAGATCCTCAACAGTGATATGGGGAAGGATCACCCTGTTGAGGTGGCCGCATACGCTGCTAAACACGACTACCCGTACCTACTCGGCGAGATAGGCCCGATGATGATCAGCATGCCAGCTATTGACGTCGCCGACCTGCTCCCGCCGAACTTGTTTCGGCCCTGGGTGTGTGGCTGACGATCGTGTGATGGTCTGACCACCGATGCTTGCAGTCAGACGCGTTACGTGCAGGAGTGGGCTCGGATCCATCAGTCTGTCGCACTCAAGCTGCCCACGGGCTACAACCCCCAATCGGATGGTGGATGGTCGGGACACTCCTCGCAGGCAAAGCACGCACAGAATCATAGTTGTAGATCTTGCAGCCGCAACGGGTACAACAACAGCACCTCTTGCAGCTGGCCGCAGCTCATCGCGGCTGTGCTCCAGAATTTGGCAGCCGGCGTGCACACGCTTCGTGCGCTAGATCATGTCTTCAACATTCCCGTGGTTCCAAAGGAGAGTATTTCTGCATGCTGTCAGTGGGACCTAGCGGACTGGCGGCGCAAGATCGAAGCCGGAATCGAGACTATTCCGAAGTTCGGTACTTTTCTGTAGCTGTTCTCTTTTCACGTTCTGCGTTGCAAACACTTCTTTGAAGGCGCGCAAGTGCGATGTGAAATTGCCCAAAAAGCACGCGGCTGGACCACTCGAGCGCATAACTCTTCTTTGTCATCGTTCCTCAGTCGTTTCACATTGATCGCCAGGGGCTTTTTGCAGAACCCGCCAGATCTTCGTCCAGTAACATGAACGGCACCGCAAACGAAGATTATTGAGTACCTGAGTGCTATGAAGTGTACAACTCTAAACTAGGCCGAAACCCCAATGTAGAACTTGACCCTGTCATCAAACTTGGATTCATAGGTTTCGATCTCCGGGTAAAATGCAGGGTAACAGAAGACGGAATGACTCCCTTACTAGTGGTCAATGGACCAAGTATGGCGTCATCCAAACTAGGCCAGAAAGCTGTTAACTCCTAGATTCGTCAGCTTCTGTGATACTTCCTCAATCATCGGATCAACAAGCACTTTGCCAGAATTCCAAAGAATCAAGTAGCAGAAGTTCAGGTGAATATGAGACGTTGTGCTCGACATGCACTTCAGATGATGGGGACTGAACTTTGCAAGAAAACCTTGTGGATGCCAAAGATAGTGTTCCGCAATAAAATTGTATGGACCAGGGAAATCTGTGACAAGTGCTGTACATTCTTTTTCATCAAGGAATATCATATCATTCCACATCATCGAAATTCACGGCATAGCGACTCGCTGGGAGACGCTTCTCAACTCACATGTTCCCCGAGTGATGCGGAAAGCGGCTCACCATCAACTGCGCCAGATAATCGGTTGGCGATCCTTCGAGCTGCCCTGGCCCAATAGTCGTTCCGACCCAATACCCCATCTTGCCAGTCTTCAATGTAATCAGGAACAGACACCAGAACAATTCGTTTGTCCGTCATCAAAATCCGGCGGTCGTCTTCCGAGAGGGAGTTCGGAGAGACGACGCGATAAGCGCTTACGATGACGAGACTCTCCAACCTCTGCAAGTGCGGAATGACCTCGGGCAAGGAGCGGATAACGGCTGTTGCGCTTATCGCAAGATGTGCCAAATGTGGAAAGTGCTCTTCGCTCAGCAGGCCGAGGAGAGTTTGGGTCACACCGCCGTGGGATGGGCTGTCAACGTTGAACAGCTCCAGATGAGTCAAAGATGGGAAATTAAACCCTAGCACTGCATTTTCAAGAGAATTGACAGCAGAAACAATCTTTCTTGCGTACCTTCTGGTTTCCACGAGAGCAGTTCCAAGGTCTCCGCGGTGCAATGTAATCTTCGAAGGGAGGGAAAAAGCTGAGACAAATCCAGCCCGTCAGTGGTGCATCCAGCGAGGAACACATTCTCCGCCCCGTTGCAGCTGCTCAGCACCCGCCCCACAGTATCCCGCGGCTCCCCGATCAGCATAATATTCTTCACAACTGTATCCAAGGCGCCCGGATAAGCAGAAGATACGCGCTCGATCGCGTCTATCTCGCAGGAGGGCAGTCTCTGCTCGTCGGATCCGTCGTTGAATATGAGTGTGCGGTACAGTGCTGGCTCGAGCCTTCTCAGCATCCGTCAGATTGTCTCGCGGGCTGCCCGGGGGAATGGAATATATGCACCATGCTCGCATTCGATGGCAGACGGGAAGCAGCTGAAGAATGCGCTCTGGGCCGGGACATTCGAGTGCATACATCTCGACGATGTACCGTTCCAGCTCGGGTGGGACTCTAGGGGTCATTGTCTTGGTGTGAGTCATGCTTGTCCTAAGGAACCAGCACATAGTTTGAAGGCAATTTCTTCGGCTCAGCGAGTATATAGTCGCTCGGTGAGACGGGACAGAAATGGGAAGCAAGAATTCCGGGGGGTTGGGGTACCGGAATTGACTGACGAGCAAGGTTATATGTAAGTGCAGTGATTCGGTTCTGACGTGATACCATCGTGTGTGGCGATTGTCAAGGCGTCCTGTCCTCAGGTGTCTTTATGCGGAACGCGTACCTCCGAGAGACCTGCGATGCCGCTGTTCTGTATTCCGTCAGTGGCTGATATTTTGTATATCTGTCGCAATTTTTTTTTGGAGTGATGATTATCCAGGCAGTGGGCATTCTGCTCCCCTTTGCTCAAATTCACACTTCGGTGTTCATCCCCGGTGTAAACTCCCGTCATTCACGTTGCGTGATCGCCCTCGGTATCATTGGCTTGTAATCGCACTTTGTCACTTCGGTGAAACCGCCAGCCATGTGCCGCTACGTGCTTCCCTCCTCAGACTGTTGAATGATTGTGTTCATGCTGCTCGAGCCCAGTCTGGACCTCAAGTCTCATGCCAATCCCACCTTCTGAGAGCTTTCGAAAGTTCAGGTCCGAGGCCAAGCCCAAACACAGGGCCGGACTTCCCCGAGACTTGCATGGAGAATTTAGGCGGCACATCAAATGTAGCGCGCTGCAGTCCGTAAGAGTCTGGAGTTTGCTCCGAAGCGAGGGGAGTGACAAGAATGGTAGAAATAAACAACCCCTAACAAAGGTCGAACTGCCTAAGTGCGAGCTGACATGGCTATATGAGGACGAGCAGAGATGAACATCTTCTAGAGCAGTCCTTAGTATTCATGTGTGTATGTATATATGTATGTATGGCCGAGGAATGGCTGCGAAAAACTCCCAATCTGCTGAACCCCCGAGTAAAGTTTCTTTATGTGATCCTCTACATGCACACAAATGAGGGGGTCCCAACTACTAGCCAAGAGTTTGGCGTTACAGCAGCCTCCATTGAGCTCATCGTTTGCGACAGACCAGGCTCTGAAAGCTCGATGCGTGGTCTCCGGGACTTCGGGCCTAAACCCCGAGCTCGCACAACAGAATGCACACAAAAAAGAAAAGTGCCAGACTCTCTGTACATTTTTTTTTTGCGCTTCCCGATGCCATGACTCCACTTGGGCGGTGAAAAATTTGCTGAGTGGGTTTCCTTGCACCGTGTGGTACCCGAGACCAGCATTTCCGTGCCGGACGATAACCTCAGATTCCAGAAGTTTCGCCCGGCACCTCTCTGCCTCCGATACTGTCTTCCTGGCGCTTCTGTCTTCTCGCATGATTTTTTATGGGTGGCTGGGCATAGGAGCATTTTCTCCATGCATCTCCTCGCTGGAATGACAACTGCAGATGGTGATGATCGGCCCGTTTGAGTGATTTTTTGACTGACATCCGGAAGGAAGCATATTCATGCTTACGACGATGCTATTTATCCACTGGAGCACTAGTCGTCCATTTTGCTTTGGCACGGATGCGATCCTTAGAGTCGGCGGGAGCCCAAAGGGGACCATATACGCACGACGGTGCTCGCGCGGTAACTCGTAAGGCCCTGAAACTAAAATGGTGCGTTTCGCGCGCAGCACGTGGGTTGCGGTTTCAGCAAAGTGACAAACTGCTGTCACAAGACAAGGTTGCGGAGGGCGATCACGCAACGTAAATTACGGAAGTATAGACCAGGGATGAACACCGCAGTGTGTAATGGAGCAAAAGCGATAAAACAAAATGCTCCTGAATTATTCTTACTTCAGAGTCTCCGAATTCTTTCGGCTGCAAATACCAAATATCAAGCAAAAGTGGAACATAGAGCAGCAGCATCACAGGTCTTGCGCAGGTACGGTTTCCGCATTAAGATATGAAAGGACGGGCCGCCTTAACAATCGCCACACAAGATGGTATCACGTCAGCTCCAACTCACTGCACTTACATATAACCTACTTGTCAGTCCATCTCGGTCCTCCAGCACTCGCAATTTTTGCTTCCTGTCTCTGTCCCATTTCAGATCACCACCATATACGCCTTAGGCTGAAGAAATCCTCATCGAGCGATGTCCTGGTTTTCAAGGAAAAGCACCCCTCAAATCCAGACATCGGACCCCAGACTACCCCCCGAATTGGAACGGTACATTTTCGAGATGTATGCACTCGAATATGCCGACCCGGAGCGCATCCTGCAGCTCCTTCCCGTCTGCCATCGGGTACGAGTTCAGTGCCTTCATTCCATTTCGCCGGGCAGCCTTCGAGACGATCTGACGGTTGCTCACAAGGCTCGAACCAGCACTCTGCCGCACACGCATATTCAACGACGGATCCGATGAGCAGAGACTTCCCACCTGCGAGATAGATGTGATTGACCGTCTGTCTACTGCCTATCCAGGCGCCCTCCAGAACATTGTGAAGAACATCATGCTGATCGGCGAAAGGCGAGATACTGTGGAGCGGATGCTGAGGAGCTGCAATGGGGCAGAGAATGTGTTCCTCGCTGGATGCGCCACTCGTGGGCTTGATCTATCGCTAATTTCGCCGTCCCTCCGGCATTTTCATTGTACTGCGGAGACCTTGGAACTGCTCAATTGGAAACCAGAAGGTGCGATCGACTATTTTCGCTGTGGACTCTTGTCACAACGAACAATCAGGTTGTACCTTCCCAGCTCTGACGCATCTCGAACTGTTCAACATTGACGGTCATTCCCACGGCCGCGTACCTCAGACCCTTCTCCGCCTGCTGAGCAGAAAGCACTTTCCACGTCTGGCACATCTTGCCATAAGCGCCACGTCTGTAATCCGCTACCAGCCCGAGGTCATTCCGCACTTGCAAAACCTGGAGAGCATCTTCATCGTGAGCGCTTACCGGATTGTCTCCTCGACCCCTCTGAATCTTAAGGGGAGACCAGAGACTAGTTCTGGTCTCTGTTTCTGATTACGTCGAAGACTGGCAAGATGGGGTGTTGACTGCGAACGACTTCTGGGCAAGGGCAGCACGAAGAATCGCGAATCGATTATCCGGCGCAGTGGATGGTGAGTTCACTTTCGCATGACTTGGCAACGCATCGATTGAGAGTCATGTCCCAGCGAGTCACTATGCCGTGAATTTCGACGACACGGAATGACGTGTTTCTCACAGATTGAAACATAATGTACACTCTTTTTTTTTTTGTAGAACTATCCACTCATACCGCATAAAGTTTCATTGACGCTGTTCCGGGGAAAGATATATTTGAATCCCTATCTAGCTCTGAGGGTACCCAGTAGGGCCCCCGCGGGGGTGCACCCACGTGATGGCGGTGGTAACTGATGTCGGGGTGACCAAGGTGAGCCTGGGAGACAGGGGATGCAATTCATGGTGTCCAACGCCCTCTTTGCATAAGATCGGTGGCGCTCAGATGTGAGACGGAGGACGTTCCCGCAAGGTAGCGATGATCGACAGACGAAAGTCAGTGTTACAGACCGACACAGGGCCACAGAACCGCCCATTGAGAGGAAACTTCCATGAAGATCATTGCACCCAGAACGATCTAGCAGCGAGATTTGAAAAATGGAACGTCTTAGCGGAATAAAGATACTCGTACCATGGTACCCGGGCCCAAAGTCGACAACACCATGGATCATGACGCAAATGATCCCCGTCCTGGAAGCTTGCAGGATAGATGAATCGTGCAGAAAAGTTACGCAGAGGAGCGTGCCGTGCCTTTTGCCGTGAAGAACAAGACCGCTGCGAAAACCTCGACTCACGAGATCTCGTCGTAGCGCAGCTTGTCGTATCCCATCGTCTACCAAGTTCCCAGTCGTTGTCAGTCCAGAGGCTCGAATATCCGGCTCGTGTCGCGGTTCGCAAAGAACTGGACTTTCCCCCATTTGCCTTTACAGCCACAGAGGACGGATTGAAGACGACAGGGAAGCGCTCTTCACTCCACGTGCAGTCCTAAAGGCGCACAAGAGACACAAAGATCGTGTGGTGCTCGGATATAACAGACGAGACAGGGCTTCCAATTCGGATTCTCGGCCAAGGACAAATAACTGCAGGTCATCGGGCGCCGGTATAGAACCGCATAAGCGTTGCTTATACAGAGGTACGAGTACAAGTGGCAGATTCAAATGGCGCAGACAGATCCCCATGGATGAAATCTTACAACCGTGCTTTCTAATTTAGTTCTCATAGACCCCCTGGACTCGTGAATAGTCCCCGTTCTGTTGAGCCTACAGAACTCGCCGCGGGACGCCTGAAAAATCCAAGTCCCGCACTCAACGACGGTGGCACTGTTTGGTCTTCTGTAAACAATAGCATAGAGTGTGATGTAGTAGATAGCCACCCCAATTCATTGCCTCAGTTTTAGTATTGACATCGTTGAGAACGATGAGGTCCAAGAGTCGGGTCCCGGAATCTACTGAAAGCGGGACTAAACCCAGCGGGACTCCAGCGGGTCCCAGCGGGTCCCGCGGCTCATTCATTTTGCCCCGTTCTGTTCTGTCGTGACCGGCGTGCACTTCCGCAGCCTGTCCGTCTGCATGCCCTCGCCGCTGGTGGGATTTGTGGTCCCTGGTTGTAGAAAGTGCTTCTGGACACGCAATAGCCTTCGGGGAACATGAATCTACGATGAGCCTCGTGGAGACGTGGATGATTGTCACTGGGTGATTTTGGATGGCGGGCACGTGAGGAAATGAAATCACGTTCTTCATTTGATGAATCGCAGACGCTGGACAGCAAAGTGATCCCCTTCCGCCTTCTCATGGCGTTCCGATTCTACCCTGGTGCTGAGAGTATCACGTCTGGCCTGAAGTCTGCGCTTCTAGCCGAAGTTTTGTCTACATTGAACGTATCCAGGCCTGTGTGTCTGGCAATTGAAAACAGATTGTACAGAGTGGTCTGATTTCTGACCATGAAATTGAAGTGATGAAGGATAAAGTTTATCCTCGAGCACTCAGTCAGCAGAAGCGAGTCATGCGACAGGAAATCCGTGAATTGTGTAAGCCTGTATGATTCAAATTGAGAGCCATTACGAAGAACCCTGTATGGCGCGCTTAGCAGCGGAGCATATGTATATGGCTACCCTAGGCTTGTCAAGCCTTCTTACATCGTCTAAGCGTAGATCTGTCGAACGGCGAAACTCTCCCGATCTGTATCCATCATCGAGAGTGCTTCGCACTAGCCGCCTGACTCAAAGAATTTCGGCGTCATGTGTTTTTTGTCGCAGACTTTTTCACTTTCTCCGCCACTCCTGCTTGCAGAAGTAGTCGGCTCTGCGCGCGGTTTATCTCAAGCCGCTAGCGTTAGCCTAAACTCGTCGAAACACACACTCGACTCTTAGGATCGCTCAACGCAGATTGTGAGCCTAGCTCAACTTCCAAGTAACACGCATCAAACGCTAGTGAGCAAATTGCAACTACACAGTCACTTTACAGCTCGGACGAGTGATCCGTGCTCCATCGCTTACCCCAAGGCAGGCACGTTTACCAGGTTGGCGGGGATACAGAAATGATGTTCTGTCGCCGCTGGCTTGTCATATCTTCTGACTCGACGGTCCGATAATATCGAGGGCATGGGAAAGCTGGAGAAAATGCTACATAAGGAGCTCGTGCGCTCAGACTCGATCCTCAGATTCGCCATGATCACTTCGGTCCTAGTGCCCACTGCTCTCGCAATACTCTCGCCGATCATCCTCTTGATCTGCAGGATCCTATATCGCAACAGAACCTCTCCTCTGCACTTCGTTAATGGCCCGGCCGGTGCAAATTTTATCCTCGGACACTCAAATTTGATTATGGTAAGTGCTTTGCTACGCCCTTTTCAGTTGATCCCGACATCTGGGCACAGGACGTTCCCGCAATCACTGATGAATGGCGGGAGAAATTCGGGGCGACATTCATGGCGAAGGGATTCTTTGGCGTCAGTTCTTCGATGTTGGTTACCTGTTGAATGCCTGGATCTTGATAAAACCCCAGGAAAACGAGCTGCATACCAAAGACCTCAAAGCGGTAGCCCATATGGTCTCTCGCGGCACAATTTACCAAAGAACAACATCATCCTTGGCGCAAATCACTCGCCTCCTTGGAGAGGGCCTCCTGTCCGTCGAGCACGATCCACACAAGCGCCAAGTAAGTGTCTTATAGGCTGTTTCAATGCCAGATATTCACCATCTTTGATGTTTCTAGCGACGGGTTCTCGTGAGTCCAGACCACATTTATGTTCTTGGTGCTTACGATTCTCTGCTGCACTAGAATCCCGCTTTCGGTGTTGCGCAAGTCAGGATGATGAATGAAGTGTTCATAGAGAAAGGAAACATGGTGCGTTCGCTGGCAAATATTTATATGAGAACTGAATACTCGGATTCACACACTAGCTGCGAGACCTGCTGCTGGAAGAGGTCAAAAAAGGCAGCGGATCAGCCATTGTTGATCTCTCCGGCTGGATGAGCCAGGTCACCCTGGATATTATCGGACAGGCCGGTAAGCAGCACTAGAATCTTCTCGATACCGCAAATGGTGGACAAATTTCCAGGATTCGGGTACCAATTCAATTCCTTGGAATCCCGTGGAAAGGACGAGGCCGAGCTCAGCACTGTCGTTCGCTCGCTGTTTCACTCTCCGAACGCCAATGTCTATCAAACCGTGCAGCTCGCGCAAGCGGTTCTTCCAGTGCTGCAACTCGTTGTGCGTCATCAGCCTCTAAATGCTGTCTGAGCTCAATAAACAAACCGCAATCAGCCACTTCCAGGCTGGCAGATTATACGTCTCGCTCAAAGGAAACTGCGCTCAATTGGGACGCAGCTGATGTACAAATCCAGTCGTGAATCCGTTTCTGCTGCTGCCGCCGACAAGGACCTCGGAAAGAGTAGGAACCTGCTTGCTCTTCTCATCAAGGCGAACAGGTCGAGTGATGTCCCTGCCAGTCAGAAACTGAGTGATGAGGAGGTGATATCGCGTACGTCTGCTTCATTGGTCATATTTTGTGCAACGTGGGTTGATTCCGTGATATTTTCTAGAGATTCCGACGTTTGTTCTTGCAGGGCACGAAACAACCAGCACGGCGCTTTCCTGGGCAGTGCATGCTCTGTCGCAGCATCGCGAAGTGCAGGAGAAGCTCCGCCAGGAATTATTCTCGCTCCCCACTGACCATCCCACCATGGATGAACTCAATGCACTTCCGTTCCTCGAGAACTTCATCAGGGAGTCAATGAGATTATACGCGCCAGCTGTGTTAGTGCAGAGAATGGCAAGCCAGGACGACATTCTGCCTCTTGCAAAGCCTTATCTGGATCGTCAAGGCGTGTCGCACGACACTCTCCCGTCAGTCCTACCTTATCTATATTTCACACATGTCAATAAGCGTCACCACAAAAACAGGATCCGTAAAGGCCAAGTCCTCACAATCCCCATCCTTGCGATCAACACAGACAAGGAAACTTGGGGTGAAGATGCTCTAGAATTCAAGTGAGTTTTGAATGTGTGAAATTTCCGAGTCTCTCAAGCTTAACGTGGATTTTACAGGCCAGAGCGGTGGGATCATCTCCCCGAAGCGGTGAACTCTGTCCCGGGCGTCTGGGCAAACCAGATGACATTCTTCGCTGGCTCGCACAACTGCATTGGCTTCCGCTTCAGTCTTGTCGAGTGCGTTCCTCGTTCTCTTCGTGAACAACTTGTTTAAGCAAAGCATTTTGAACAGACAGAAGTCTATTCTTTTCACGCTTCTTCGCACATTGCAGTTCTCTCCCGGAGCTGAGATCATCGGGCCGATCCTCAGTAATGTGCTCCAGCGACCTGTGGCATTTGAATCAGGAAAGGCCGGCTTAGTGTCGACCGGGAAATTCCCGGTCATGCTCAAGGAGTATACAGATGAATGAGCATGGGCCCTGTGAACAAGATGCGGTCAATCTCACTGGATGGAATTTCATAGTGTAGAATGACCATGTGCTAACAAATGAATCTTGAACTGTCCAAATAATGTTGCTTTGTCCACTTTGGTCAGGTGGGCATGGATCCGGCGAGGGACATTTACCGCCGGTTAAAGCCTTTCCCACTGAGTCCATATCATAGGGCTACATGAATTAGCCGCGGGACCCGCTGGGACCCGCTGGAGTCCCGCTGGAGTCCCGCAGGGCACCCACAGTGGTAGGATTTAGGCTAAGGACATGGATGTAGCCATAAAAACTTTAGTCTAAAGTCATGAATCTAGCCATGGCTTGGCTGTAGCCATGTTCCCGAGACTATTGCGTGGCATCACATGGCTCGGATATCGCAGATGATATACAGCGGGCCGCTGTACCGACCACGTGCCTCATACAATCACCCGGCAGGCAGCCGGCATTGCTGTCTATCACACGCGAGTGTCTGTGCCGTGAATATGTCACCAAAGCCGTGTTGATTGTATCAAATCCCGCCCCGTCAGCCTCGGCAATTAAGCGTTAAGCATTCTTATGCCCGCCCCAGGTCAAAATCCCGCCCCATCTTATCTTATCATCCATTCAGTCTCAATCCCGACCGATCTTATCTGACCATGCTTATCTTATCTACCTAACGTCCTCGAGTCTGATCCGCCACCGTGGCAAGAATCCTACTGCCCCACTTGTCCTTCAACTGGGTTCGCAGTTGCACATGCCAATCCGCTTGCTTTGCTGCATATGCAGCGGCACCTGCGCGGACCTCCCTGGACCAATCATCACTCGATCGTCGATTACCCCACCATGTCGACTGCCAATCCAGGTACGCAACAACTCGCCGCATCTCTTCTCGTAACAAAAGCACTTCCTCTGTCCACCTGTCCCGACGCGCGCGCGCTCGACACCGCTCGACTCGGATAACTGGATAATCATCAGTCAGAACTTGATCAATAGAGAATGGAGTCAACTCACACTCATGAAGGTCCTTTTCGCAATCATCCAGAGCACCAGCAGCAGTCCATATCCAGGACATGACCTGCTTCGACGAACCCGCCTCGTGTCTAGGAGTGCCCCGCCCCCAGCGCAGCGATCTTCTTCGCGGTTCGCACATCCGTCTTCTTGGCATCAGTTGCCATGGCAACACCGCTCATCTGGAGATCCTCATCCTTCAGCTCCCTCAGCTGAGGAAACCTCATCTCTGCTCCTGCATCCACCAATGCCTGCCTGCCCTTCTGATACCTCTCTGCGAGCGACTTGACCTTCTCCCCGACCTCACCGATCAGCGTCCGTGCCCTGCTTGTCTGATTCTGCCCTGTGAGATTGGCGTTTCGGAAACTGATGAGATGGCGCTTGGCATGGAGGTGGGACCGGATCTGCGACAAGCAGTTCTCACATTGCGCCGTGCGAGGCTTGGTCTCCATCTCCACCAGTCCTGACACAGAACCTCTCTGCTCTCCAAGTTCCGCAGGCATCTCGGTGATAGGCTGGCTACCAGACGCGCTCTGCACCAGCTCTGTAAGGGCGTATTTTTGGGCTTTCACAGAGTTTACTCTTGAACCACTCGGTGTATCGTGTCGCGGTTGACAGTGTTGCGTTCAGTAGGACTTAAGGGTCTACTGCCCAGTCGACGACTGTGGATAGTGTCGACGATACCAAGGCAGTCAGACCACTACTGTGGAATTGGTCTTATGAGTCTACACCAGGCTCAGGGCCATTAGTGACGAACGCTTGGACCGCGACCATTCCCCAAAAAGGGATCTGTCGTTGCGTCGACTTCTCAAAAAGGGTCATTCTCTGCAGATGGGAACTTGGGCTGAAGGGCTGAGCAATGCGCGACGTTCTCAATAATAGAACTACTACTGGACAGGACTTGGCGCTACGAGATTGAACCAATCTTGTCGCGGCAACTCCCGGTCTTGAGTCGGACGTTTCCTCAGATCATGCCACGACGACGGCTTGTCACATGTCAGGATCCATTCGATCACGGGACATTGTGGACGCGTCGCGGTGACACTCCCAAGTGTCACGGCAAGTAGCGTCCATACCCAAACACACTAAAATCGACACGGCTAGATCCGTGAACCGAGCCATGTGGGGGACGACTGGCGTGCCTAGGGCCATACGGCTTCTTGGGGCGCCCACGTTGGTCTCACTTGCCAAGACATACCCGTTGGCCAATCCAGCACGTCGTATTCCAAAAGTATGACGCGGTGGGTTGACCCACATCAAAAGTATCATCTTCTTCAGTTGAGCCTTTGCTGGCCAGACATTCCGTCAAATAAAATACTGTGTTGCACAACAGTAGTGTGATTGGGTGTGGGAGCTGAGCCCAGGGCGCAAAGCCGGCGGGGTGCGGATGACCCCGCAGACTCTGCTCTACTGCTGTACAGCAATCAAAATCAAACAGGCTGTGGGTGGGTGGGTGAGCGCAGAAATGGGAATTTGTTGAGGATGAGATCGCCGGCAGGTGGGTGGAAGGAGAGAGTGAGCTCACAGCCACCCCCTGCTCTTCGGCTCTCTCCCTCACAAGATGATGCATTGATCTCCCTCTCTCACTCAATGCATCCATCTTCTTCAGTTGAGCCTTTGCTGGCCAGACATTCCGTCAAATAAAATACTGTGTTGCACAACAGTAGTGTGATTGGGTGTGGGAGCTGAGCCCAGGGCGCAAAGCCGGCGGGGTGCGGATGACCCCAAAATGTGCTGCCCAGCCAGAACAACGCCGGCTCACCCAAAGAAAGCAGCACAACTTGTGTGTCAGTAAAGTATGCACGATATGCACGCCGGAAAATGTGCAGGCTATGCACAGTACACAATATGCGCATGTGCAGGCTATGCACCGTCAAAAATGCACGATAGGCAGTCGAATTATCCATGATATGCACGCCGGCAAATGTGCAGGTTATGCACCGTCAAAATATGCATGATATGCAGTCGAGATATGCACGATATGCACCCAGGAAACAACGCAGGATATGCGCAGCGCATGATATGCGCAATTCTTGGCTAATGAACGTCAAAGTATGTACAATATGCACGCCGGAAAATGTGCAGGATATGCACAGTGCACAAGATGCACAGATGCAGGCTATGCATTGTCAAAAATGCATGATATACACCGCAGGAAAACGCAGGATATGCGCAATTCTAGGCTAATCAAAGTCGAAATAGGCGAAATATGCAAGCCGGAAAATGTGCAGGCTACGCCCAGTGCATGAAATGAGCATGTGCAGGCAATGCACGGTCAAATATGGATGATATTCAGCCGAAATATGGACGATATGCCTGCCGGAAAATGTGTAGGCTATGCACGGCGCACGATATGCGTGGGTGCAGGCTATGCACGTCAGAGAATGCGCAGGATGTGCACAGTGCACAATATGCGTGGGTGCAGGCAACGAATAGGCGTAAGTGCATGCTATCCACTGCCGAAAAGCACGATATGCACAGTAGAAAATACACAGGATATGCGCAAGTGCAGGCTATGCACTGTCTAAAGCACGATATGCACAGGAGAAAACAGTGCACAATATGCGCAAGTGCAGGCTATTGAAAAGCACGATATGCACGGCAGGAAATATGCAGGCTATGCACCATCGAAATGCACAATATGCGTGCCAGAAATATGCAGGATATGCGCAGCGCAAGGTATGCGCAGGTGCAGCCTATGCACCATCAAGAATGCACGATATGCATCCCAGAGAATACGCAGAATGTGCGCAAGTGCAGGCTATGCACAGCCGAAAATGCAAGATAGGAACCACAGGAAAGGCGCAGGATATGCGCAGGGCAGGATATGCGCGATGCAGGCTATGCACAGTAGAAAATGCATGATATGCACAGTAGAAAATATGCAGGATATGCGCAGGTGCAGGCTAAGCACAGTCGAAAATGTACAACATGCACAACATGCACAATATGCACGCCCACGAAATACGCAGAATATGCACAATCAAAGAGTGCACAATATGCACGCCAGAAACGACGCAGAATATGCGCAGCGCACAATATGCGCAAGTGCAGGCTATGCACGGTCAAAAAATGCATGATATGCACGCCCAAAAATATGCAGAATATGCGCAGTGCACAATACACAATATGCATGCCAGAAAGGACGCAGAATATGCGCAGTGCACGATATGCGCATGTGCAGGCTATGCACGGTTGAAAATGCACGCTATGCACGCCAGAAAGGACGCAGAATATGCGCAGCACAAGATATGCACATGTGCAGCCTATGTACACTCAAAATGCACGATATGCACACCAAAAATATGCAGACTATGCGCAGCGCACAATATGCACCATCAAAAAATGCACGACATGCACAACGTGCACAATATGCATGCCCAAAAATACAGACTCTGCGCAGCACAAGATATGCGCAAGTGCAGGCTATGCAAAGTCGAAAATGCATGATATGCATGCCAGAAAATATGCAGGATAGGCGCAGGTGCAGGCTATGCATGGTCAAAAAGTGCATGATATGCACTACAGGAAATCTGCAGAATATGCGCAGCGCACAATATGAGCCAGTGCAGGCTATGCACACTCAAAATGCACGGTATGCACACCCAAAATACGCAGACTTTGCGCAGCGCACGGTATGCACCATCAGAAATGCGCGATATGCACAGTAAAACACACAGAGACTATGCGCAGCGCACAATATGCACCATCAAAAATGCGCGATATGCACAGTAAAACACACGCAGAACATGTGCAGCGCACGATAGGCGCAGGTGCAGGGGATTCACCATCAAAATGCACAATATGGCCAGTGGAAAATACGCAGAATATACGCAGTGCACAATATGCACAGTCAAAAACGCACGATATGCACTGCAGGAAAGGTGCAGGATATGCGCAGCACACGATATGCGCAGTGCAGGCTATGCACAGTCGAAAATGCACAACATGCGCTAAGGAAAGGCGCAGGATATGCCCAGCGCACAATAGGCGCAAGTGCAAGCTATGCATGGTCGAAAAATGCACGATATGCACTACAGGAAAGGCGCAGAATATGCGCAGCGCACAATGGGCGCAAGTGCAGGCTATGCACAATTGAAAAATGCACGATATGCACGCCAGAAAGGACGCAGAACATGCGCAGTGCACAATATGTGCAAGTGCAGGCCATGCACGGTCCCAAGATGCACGATATGCACGCCCAAAAATACGCAGAATATGCGCAGCGCACGATATGCGCAAGTGCAGGCCATGCACGGTCAAAAATGCACAACATGCACTAAGGAAGGGCACAGGATATGCGCAGCGCACGATATGCGCAAGTGCAGGCTATGCACGGTCAAAAATGCACAATATGCATGACAGGGAGGGCGCAGAATATGCACAGCGCACGATATGCGCAAGTGCAGGCTATGCACGGTCGAAAGATGCACGATATGCACGACAGGGAGGGCGCAGAATATGCGCAGCGCACAATGGGCGCAAGTGCAGGCTATGCACGGTCGAAAAATGCACAATATGCACTACAGGGAGGGCGCAGAATATGCGCAGCGCACGATATGCGCAAGTGCAGGCTATGCACGGTCAAAAATGCACAATATGCATGACAGGGAGGGCGCAGAATATGCACAGCGCACGATATGCGCAAGTGCAGGCTATGCACGGTCGAAAGATGCACGATATGCACGACAGGGAGGGCGCAGAATATGCGCAGCGCACGATATGCGCAAGTGCAGGCTATGCACGGTCAAAAATGCACAATATGCATGACAGGGAGGGCGCAGAATATGCACAGCGCACGATATGCGCAAGTGCAGGCTATGCACGGTCGAAAGATGCACGATATGCACGACAGGGAGGGCGCAGAATATGCGCAGCGCACAATGGGCGCAAGTGCAGGCTATGCACGGTCGAAAAATGCACAATATGCACTACAGGGAGGGCGCAGAATATGCGCAGCGCACGATATGCGCAAGTGCAGGCTATGCACGGTCAAAAATGCACAATATGCATGACAGGGAGGGCGCAGAATATGCACAGCGCACGATATGCGCAAGTGCAGGCTATGCACGGTCGAAAGATGCACGATATGCACGACAGGGAGGGCGCAGAATATGCGCAGCGCACAATGGGCGCAAGTGCAGGCTATGCACGGTCGAAAAATGCACGATATGCACGACAGGGAGGGCGCAGAATATGCGCAGCGCACGATATGCGCAAGTGCAGGCTATGCACAGTCGAAAAATGCACGATATGCATAAATATTGACGCTATGTGGAATCGAGCAGCGCCTGGCCCAGGAAAACACAATCCAGAATGACGAGTCGCCGTGGAATACCCCTGCAACGTTGTCAGACAATGCAAGGAACCCAAAAGACCGAAAATATGCCATAATCTCGCACTGGGTGCGATTAAATCGCAGGAAACGAGCACCCAATAGGAATGGGAGTGAAAAGCGAATAAGCGCCGGAATTCAAGCGAAAAACCTGGCTCCAGTCCGCAGGCTGCAGGGGGGAGACTGTTGCTCGTCCAGAATGTGGGCTGACCGTGAAATAACCCTGCAGCGTAGTCAGACAAGTGAAGGAGCCCCAAAGATCGAAAATATGCGATAATATCGCTCTGGGTGCGATTAAATCGCAGGATTTGAGCGCCCAATGAGAGAGGGAGGGAAACCCGAATAAGCGTGCATCTGAAGCGAAGAGGCATTCGCAGCATGCAGGGTATGGGGCAGGGGATTTTGGAGCGAATGGGCGGCCAGAATTCGAAGGAATGGACTGGGATTACTGTCTGGAAGATCAGGGGGGGTCGGCAGCTCGAAATGGGCAGCAAGGGGAGCGTTTTGAAGGCTGGGGGATGTAGATGGGGTCGTTCTAATGCCAGGATCGAGTCGACGAGCAGTGTATATGTCGAGCTGTAACTGTGAAAAGAGAGGGAAATACTCAGCTTCATGGATGGAATTGGGGTGTACCCCAGAGACACTCTTATATAGCATCCAAATTCGAGCTTGAGATGGAATCCGTGGTGTACAGAGATTTATGCAGATAGTGTCGAGTTCTGGGTGATAGTCAGTCATATAGAAGCATTAACGAGTGTGTAATAAGAGCGCAGAAATGGGAATTTGTCGAGGATGAGATCGCCGGCAGGTGGGTGGAAGGAGAGAGTGAGCTCACAGCCACCCCCTGCTCTTCGGCTCTCTCCCTCACAAGATGATGCATTGATCTCCCTCTCTCACTCAATGCATCCATATGGACTATGGGGCGGGGTCCTGATCACTCAGGACCTGTCCGATCGTTCAACTTTTCAATTACCCTAAAAGGCAACCGATCTTAGATAGCGTAGCTACTATGCAGTTGTACAGGACTTTACTAAGCACCGTCGTAGACAGTATAAGTAGCACGTCGTTTCTTTGTATTGGGGAGCTTTCCCCCGGACTGTGAATCACTCTCATTTCAGATTGTTTTGTACAATTTGCGTGTCGCGTGATTCCACCCTAAGAAGTTCTGCTACCCCTGCCCGGTCGCGACGAGTTGCTCCCTGAGCACTTGTAGCTACTGTGATTTGAGTTTTGAGTTGAGAAATCAGAAAGTCGGATTCGCCGCATCTGGTATTGTCGCGGCATTTAGTGTCATCGCCTTAGGGCTTTGTTGAGATCGTTCCACACCTCTAGCTTGGCAGTGCGTCGACTAGTTGTGCTCGGGTTGTTTTGGTCAGTTGGCAGTGCGTCGACTTGAGAACTTTGGTTCCACACTTCTTGCTTGGCAGTGCGTCGACAAGTTGTGCTCGGGTTTTGGACATTGGATATTGGCTGTTAGTTGGCAGTGCGTCGACGCGGCATTTTGGTTTACTAGTTGGCAGTGTGTCGACTCAGTACTTTTGGTCGTGTCAGTTGGCAGTGCGTCGACTTGACATTTTGGTTCTGCTAGTTGGCAGTGCATCAACTTGATATTTGGGTTTTGCGTCGCCATCTAGACGCTGTTGCTACAAGGGATCTTAATACTTCGTATTAAGTTCTGACTTGTTATATTGTTGGTTGTGATTGGATTGGTGTTGGTTTCGTCTGTATAGAAGATATTGGTTGAGACACCATTGTTTACTATATATAAATTCTTGTCGTTGACTTCGTCTTCCGCGACTATTGGATCTGCGTCTATTGAGAGTTGTGATACTGGTGCTCTGTCCACCCTGAAGCCCTCGCATCTTTCACACACTGAGAAGCTGATTACGAGGAGTGTGAACGTGTTTATACTTGGGTTTACTTTCATAGTAGATTCACTTGTGAGCGCGCCCTCAGCATTTCATCTGGAGCCCACCGCGAGGGGCTTCTAAAGTTTCATAAAACTTTAAAAATCAATAAACCGGATTCTTTACCGCGACGTCGGATAGAGACCAAGGGTTTATCCCGCGAAGCAGTTTATTTCGATCCCAAGCTCCTGCGCGCCCCTCGAGGACCAAGCGGAGATTGAGACTGAAGGAAACGCTTCAACCTCAGGACCTTTCGAAAAACCACGAAGGTCTGCAAGACATAAAACACCTTTGTATCTACCAACCTTGCCCTCCAAGGCAAAAGGAAAACAAAGAGTGAATTCGACGTCGAAGCTTCCAGCTTTAGACGCGGCTACTTCGAGTTCGACGACAATCAGTCGATCTCAGACTAGCTCACAAACCCTCTCAGAATTGTCTAGTAGCGTCAACGCTACAAACACGAATTCTAACCACATCCCTACTTCCCCTGTGACTTCAGTCGCGACAACTATGGCTCCAAAGACTGGGTTCAAAATCCCTCAACCTTGGGACACAAGTAGACCTATACTTTATGAAAAGGATCCTTTGTCAATCGAGGCATATTTGCGTCACTGCGCGCAGATCGTAGAGGATGGTGGCATTACAGAAGTCAAACAAGCAAAAAGTATGTACATCCGTTATTTGCCGTCGCGGCAAGTAATGGACGTATGGGAAGGTCTTGATACCTATTCCGACGACACAAAAACTGTCGCGGAGTTCGAGGCCGAAATCTTAAAAGGATACCCTGAAGTGTCCAAGCGAAAAACGGGGACCATGGCAGATCTAGACCGACTCTGTCTCGAGAACCGTGGAATCAAAATCACGGATGAGGGAGATTTGAAGCGCTTCGGCCTTCAAATGTACAGTCACTACAAGCGACTGTCAGTCCCTCCTGCCATTATTACCAACAAAGTTGCGTGTGAACGCTATATGCGTACTTTGGACTCTGAGTTCAGTACCGTCTTGCGGAATGCTTTGGCTACGAGTCAAGTATTCAACAAACGCTACCAGACTCGCGCCGGTGAAATGCTGAGGGCGTGCTCACAAGTGAATCTACTATGAAAGTAAACCCAAATATAAACACGTTCACACTCCTCGTAATCAGCTTCTCAGTGTGTGAAAGATGCGAGGGCTTCGGGGTGGACAGAGCACCAGTATCACAACTCTCAATAGACGCAGATCCAATAGTCGCGGAGACGGAGTCGACGACAAGGATATATATATAGCAAACAATGGTATCTCAACCAATATCTTCTATACGAGCACAACCAATATCTTCTTCAGTCGAGCCTTTGCTGGCCAGACATTTCATCAAATAAAATACTGTGTTGCACAACAGTAGTGTGATTGGGTGTGGGAGCTGAGCCCAGGGCGCAAAGCCGGCGGGGTGCGGATGACCCCAAAATGTGCTGCCCAGCCAGAACAACGCCGGCTCACCCAAAGAAAGCAGCACAACTTGTGTGTCAGTAAAATATGCACGATATGCACGCCGGAAAATGTGCAGGTTATGCCCAGTACACAATATGCGGATGTGCAGGCTATATACTGTCAAAATGCACGAAATGCAATCGAATTATGCATGATATGCACGCCGGAAAATGTGCAGGCTATGCATGGCGCAGGATATGCGTGGGTGCAGGCAACAAATAGGCGTAGGTGCATACTATGCACTGCCAAAAAGCACAATATGCATAGGAGAAAATGCACAGCATATGCGCTAGTGCAGGCTATGCACTGTCAAAAAGCACGATATGCACAGGAGAAAACAGTGCAGAATATGCGCAAGTGCAGGCTATTGAAAAAGCACGATATGCACCACAAGAAATATGCAGGATATGCGCAGGTGTAGGCTATACACCGTTGAAAATGCACAATATGCACGCAGAAATATGCAGGATATGCGCAGCGCAAGGTATGCGCAAGTGCAGGCTATGCACAGTCGAAATTGTATGATGTGCATTGAGAAAAGGCGCAGGATATGCGCAGCGCACAATATGTGCAAATGCAGGCTATGCACCATCAAAAATGCATGAAATGCACGCCGAAAATACGCAGGATATGCGCAGGTGCAGGCTATGCGCAGGTGCAGGCTATGCACCATCAAAAGTGCACGATATGCACAGTGGAACACACGCAAAATATGCGCAGCGCACAATGGGCGCAGGTGCAGGGGATTCACCATCAAAAATGCACAATATGCCCAGTAGAAAATACGCAGAATATGCGCAAGTGCAGGCTATGCATAGTCGAAAAATGCATGATATGCATGCCAGGAATGCGCAGGACATGCGCAGCACACAAATGGTGCATGTGCAAGTTATGCACCATCAAAAATGCATGATATGCGCGCCGAAAATACGCAGGATATGCGCAGGTGCAGGCTATGCACCATCAAAAATGCACAATATGCCCACTGAAAATACGCAGGATATTGCCCAGTAGAAAAGACGCAGAATATGCGCAAGTGCAGGCTATGCACAGTCGAAAAATGTATGATATGCACCACAGGAAGGGCGCAGAATATGCGCAGCGCACAATATGTGCAAATGCAGGCTATGCATGGTCGAAAGATGCACGATATGCACGCCAGAAAAGACACAGAATATGCGCAGCACATGATCTGCGCATGTGCAGCCTATGAACACTCAAAATGCACGATATGCATGCCCAAAAGATACGCAGAATATGCACGAATGAAGAGTGCACAATATGCACGCCAGAAAGGACGCAGAATAATCGCAGCGCACTCTATGCTCAAGGGCAGGCTATGCACAGTCGAAAATTGCACGACATGCACGACATGCACGATATGCACGCCCAAAATATGCAGGATATGCGCAGCACACGATATGCGCAAGTGCAAGCTATGCAGACTCAAAACATGCACGATATGCACACCCAAAAATACGCAGGATATGCGCAGCGCACAATATGCGCAGTGCAGGATATGCACAGTCGAGAAAAAGCATGATATGCACCTAGGAGAGGCGTAGAATGTGCCCAGCGCATGATAGGCGCAGATCCAGGCTATACACAGTGGAAAATGCACAGTATGCCCAGTAGGAAAATACGCAGAGTATGCGCCGCAAGTGCAGGCTATGCACAGTAGAAAAATGAACGATATGCATGCCCAAAATACGCAGAATATGCGCAGCGCACAATGAGCGCAGGTGCAGTCTATGCACAGTCGAAAATTGCACAACAAGCACAACATGCATGATATGCACGCCCAAATAATACGCAGAATATGCACGGTGCATAATACACAATATGCACGCCAGAAAGGAAGCAGAATACGCGCCGCGCATGATATGCGTATGTGCAGGCTATGCACAGTGGAAAATGCACGATATGCACACCCAAAAACAGCAGAATATGCGCAGCGCACGATATGCACAAGTGCAGGCTATGCACAGTCGAAAAATGCACGATATGCACGGCAGAAAGGACGCAGAATATGCGCAGCGCACAATATGCGCAAGTGCAGGCTATGCACGGTCGAAAGATGCACGATATGCGAGCCCAAAATACGAAGAATATGCCCAGCGCACAATGAGCGCAGGCGCAGGCTATGCAAAGTTGAGAAAAAGCACGATATGCACCAAGGAAAGGCGCAGAATATGCGCAGCACACGATATGCGCAAGTGCAGGCTAGGCACAGTCGAAAAATGCACGATATGCACAACGGGGAGGGCGCAGAATATGCGCAGCGCACGATATGCGCAAGTGCAGGCTATGCACAGTCGAAAAATGCACGATATGCACGACAGGTGGGGCGCAGAATATGCGCAGCACACGATATGCGCAAGTGCAGGCTAGGCACAGTCGAAAAATGCACGATATGCACAACGGGGAGGGCGCAGAATATGCGCAGCGCACGATATGCGCAAGTGCAGGCTATGCACAGTCGAAAAATGCACGATATGCACGACAGGTGGGGCGCAGAATATGCGCAGCGCATGATATGCACAGGTGCAGGCTATGCACGGTCGAAAAATGCACGATATGCACGACGGGGAGGGCGCAGAATATGCGCAGCGCACGATATGCGCAGTGCAGGCTATGCACAGTCGAAAAATGCACAATATGCACAAATGCCAAGTAAATATTGACGCTATGTGGAATCGAGCAGCGCCTGGTCCAGGAAAAACAATCCAGAATGACGAGTGGCCGTGGAATACCCCTGGAGCGTTGTCAGAAGACGCCAGGAACCCAAAAGACCGAAAATATGCCATAATCTTGCACTGGGTGCGATTTAATCGCAGGAAATGAGCATCCAATAGGACTGGGAGGGAAAAGCGAATAAGCGCTGGAATCCAAGCGAAAAACCTGGCTCCAGGCTGCAGGCTGCAGGGGGGAGACTGTTGCTTGTCCAGAATGAGGGCTGACCGCGAAATAACCCTGCAGCGTAGTCAGACAACGGAAAGTGCCCCAAGGATCAAAAATATGCGATAATATCGCTCTGGGTGCGATTAAATCGCAGGATTTGAGCGCCCAATGAGAGAGGGAGGGAAACCCGAATAAGCGTGCAACTGAAGCGAAGAGGCATTCGCAGCTTGCAGGGAATGGGGCAGGGAATTTCGTAGCAAATGGGCGGCCAGAATTCGAAGGAATGGACTGGGATTACTGTCTGGAAGATCAGGGGGGTCGGCAGCTCGAAGTGGGCGGAAAGGGGAGGGTTCTGAAGGCTGGGGAATGTAGATGGCGTCGTTCTAATGCCAGGATCGAGTCAACGAGCAGTGTATCTGTCGAGCTCCAACTGTAAGAAGAGAGGGAACTACTCAGCTTCGTGAATGGAATTGGGTGTATAGGCCCAGAGACACTCTCAAATAGCATCCAAATTTCGAGCTTGAGACAGATTCCATAGTTCACAGAGACGAATGCAGATAGTGTCGAGTTCTGGGTGATAGTCAGTCATATAGAAGCATTAAAGAGTGTGTAATAAGAGCGCAGAAATGGGGATTTGTTGAGGATGAGATCGCCGGCAGGTGGGTGGAAGGAGAGAGTGAGCTCACAGCCACCCCCTGCTCTTCGGCTCTCTCCCTCACAAGATGATGCATTGATCTCCTTCTCTCACTCAATGCATTCACTAATACAATCCACAACCAACGATATAACAAGTCAGAGCTTAATACGAAGTATTAAGATCCCTTGTAGCGACAGCGTCTAGATGGCGACGCAAAGCCCAAATATCAAGTCGACGCACTGCCAACCGATACAACCAATATACTGAGTCGACGCACTGCCAACTAGTAGAACCAAAATGTCAAGTCGACGCGCTGCCAACTGACACAACCAAAAGTACTGAGTCGACGCACTGCCAACTAGTAAACCAAAATGCCGCGTCGACGCACTGCCAACTAACAGCCAATATCCAATGTCCAAAAACCCGAGCACAACTTGTCGACGCACTGCCAAGCAAGAAGTGTGGAACCAAAGTTCTCAAGTCGACGCACTGCCAACTGACCAAAACAACCCGAGCACAACTAGTCGACGCACTGCCAAGTTAGAGGTGTGGAACGATCTCAACAAAGCCCTAAGGCGATGACACTAAATGCCGCGACAATACCAGATGCGGCGAATCCGACTTTCTGATATCTCAAAACTCAAAACTCAAATCACAGTAGCTACAAGTGCTCAGGGAGCAACTCGTCGCGACCGGGCAGGGGTAGCAGAACTTCTTAGGGTGGAATCACGCGGCACGCAAATTGTACAAAACAATCTGAAATGAGAGTGATTCACAGTCCGGGGAAAAGCTTCCTAATACAAAGAGACGACGTACTACTTATACTGTCTACGACGCTGCTTAGTAAAGTCCTGTACAACTATATAGTAGCTACGCTATCTAAGATCGGTTGCCTTTTTAGGGTAATTGAAAGTTGAACGATCGGACAGGTCCTGAGTGATCAGGACCCCGCCCCATTGTCCATATGATACTTTTGATGTGGGCCAACTCACCGCGTCATACTTTTGGAATACGACGTGCTGGATTGGCCAACGGGTATGTCTTGGCATGTGAGACCAACGTGGGCGCCCCAAGAAGCCGTATGGCTCTAGGCACG